AGACCAGGTTACTGGAGCATTTGATGACTGACTTCATTCCGCTGATCGATGACCACTCCATCCAGATTTGTTTCCATCGCATCCTGGATTCGGTTCCTTTGGCGATTGGTTTTTTAGAGAACTGAGGTGCCAGTGGATCCACTTTAAAGATCTTAAGAAGCTGGTTGTGTCATGTTCTTTTTGAATACACCCATTCGACTTTCATCCACTCTTCAATTCAAGCCGTTGTAGCAAGAACAATAAAGGTTTCTCGAAGGATGAAACAACCATTCCTCATAGTGGTTTCACAGGGAAGAAGACCAACATCAGATTGATTTATATTAAGTTCTGGACTTAAGTGTTGTGGTGTTGCTTTTCGGCTGTATACTGCAATGTATAAATCTGCAAGGGTCTTGCTGGCTTCAAGGCTCCTTGTCAGTGGTGAATGGTTACTTTCCTTTGTCGAGTTATATTGACTGCATTGATTGAGTCAATGCTGAGTGTGTGTTGTATCAGGTAGCAGCTCAGATCCTAGCAGGTTCTATATAACATGTTTTCCCGCATGGAATCTAGTCAGTCCGCATCTTCGGGCATGAATGCCAGGGTACCCCGAGGCGGCACCAGGCAGACCCACACGCATGTTAATTATGTTATACATGACTCCAATATATATAGTGTTTCCGAACGGTTACGCAATGCAATGAACCGGAAGAATGTGTTCAAGGCGGGAAAAAAAACAAAAAAAGTAACACTGGACCCAATTCTTGTTGCTTTAGAAGTCATGATTTCAACAAGATGCCTCCATTATTGAGGTGGTTGTCTCAACCACAAACCAGTTGATCCTTGGTTGACACCAGTTTTGCAATTTGTGTTGGTTCTATGACATCCCCAATTAGCCATGGCTCCAAATCCTCAAGCTTGACAAACATTGGACTGTCTACTGAGAAACACTGCAAGTTTTAATGTATAACTGGGTACCAGGAGATTGATGTTTACTTGCCTATGTCATATGATTTCACCATGTATATTGAGTCATAACCATTTGACAAGGCATTTTGACACATCTCCGTTGGGTTGAAAGCAGCCTGTCCAGCCTGCGATCTTTCCCACGTTTGTCGGTAAGGCGCCAACCCTTTTAGTCGCTGTTCCCATGTATCTTGTTTATTCTGAAATTCCCATAGTGGTTAGTTTCAATTCAATTCTGTTTTTCTCCAGCCAGATTCTGGTTATACATCTAGATTTCGCTGTTTCCCCTGTTTGTTGGTTAGATTGTTTTTTGTTTGAAGCATGATCCGCAGCGATGGATTTCGGGATAAAAAAATATCGTCCAATCCCTTTTTCACCGGTTGAATCCCGTATTCTCCGTTTCAAATCTATTGTTTTTCCTTTCAAATCCCAGAGTTTGTTGCTGAAAAACGGAGATTTTTGGCTCCGGAGGTGGTGAAGAACGATTCCGATCGCTGCTGGGACGTCTTGAAGCACATGGAGAAACGCGGCTGTCATCCCAACAACGTGACCTGCTCCTCAGACAAAAACCTGCCGTTCCAGTGACTGGTGAGATATAATATCAATAGTTATATAGGGATTTATAGGGTTTTTTAGGGATTTATAGGGATTTAGTGGGACTATAATGGGAATATGACGGGAGTTGATTGGATAAAAAAAGGGATCTACCCAGCAATTTTTCACATAGATAATGGAAACGCCCAGTTAGTTCGAGGGTTTACCAACACTGGTGATGTTCCATAGCGCGCTGTCAAAGGTTCGCAAGGGAAGGATTGACCCTTTGAATGAAGTCAATGGACAGCTGGCATTATTTATAACGATACTTTGGATGATAATCCCGAGCATTATATAGTTGTTTTCCACTGTTGGGTTGGTTCAAACAACCAACCTTTGGTATAAAGTTATTTGCAGAAGTTCTTCTGAGGATGTAAACCCCTGGCTATACAGCAATCTACTACTTCATTTATGATATTTATGGTAAATGTATAGTTCTGTATGTTGTTTTATGTTTTTTTGAACAATCACTAGGAGATCATTGGTGACAACCATGCTGCTTTGACTCCAGCAGCCAGGCTCCATTCTTTTGAAGGGTGTCCAGAAGGACATGAAGGACGCAGCTGAGCAATGCTGAGCATTGGGTACCCCTAAAATCCATGGTTTATCATGTTTTTTTTCCTCCATTAAACATGCATTTTTTGTGGGGCATCAAATATTTTCAGACAAACCATGACAAAGCGATCAGGGAAAACACAGCTGGTGGATTCCATGGAATTAACATGAGGTCTCCAAGAATTTTTTTTTTGCGCCTATGGCCATTCGTATCCGGTGAAACTTGGTGAAACTTGAGGGTCACATAGAACTGTTGGCTGACAGGAATCCCAACCATCCCTCGCCGATCTATTGATTCTCCATTAAGGGTGAGTTTTTGCATCACTAGCCAAATTGTTACGTAAAGGGCAACAATTTAACCTCCGAAAACGGATCGTCATCACGGTCATGATATGATCATCATGAGTAAATACGAAGCATGACCAATTTCCTGGGTTGGAACCCCTTTTTTGAGCCAGACAAGATTGTTTTCGCCGTGAGCATCTTCTCCAAGCCTCAAAAAGTCATCCGGGAAATGTGTTTGTCTGAAAATAGATGAAAATAGGGTATCACTGTTTATCACAGTTCAAATTTATGACAGTTGCCATGAATATGGGCACCCTGTGTTGTGAAGCGCAGAAGCGCAGAGTTGGCTCAGTTTTACCCGGAGGACGACTACTTGAAGCAGGTGATGAATGTCATTGACTCAAGAGCCAACAAGGAAATGGACGAGGCCGACATCGATTCTACTTGAGTCATGGATTCGGTGAAACAAATGGTTATAACATGCTAGAACTATGGGATTCTATCCCCCATAAGTTGAGATATGACGTGTATGTGTATATTATACTATACATATATATATATATATATATGTGTGTGTATAGTAGTATAGTATCATAACTTATCATAAGTATATAACCCCTTTATCCTATAGCCCTTTGATTCATATATCCACTTATGACTCACTGTAACTGCACCCCCAAATACCCAAGAATCAAATCTAATCGACTCCTAAAACTGGTGTATAACTGGGGATGTGTCCACTAGGTGCTATCCATCGTTTCCACGTACTTCTGATCTTCCTGTTGCCGAGTTCGTAGGCTTTGCACAAATTGCCAATTTTCAATATCACCATTGTCATTATGAGTACATTGATACTGTATTTTTTATGTTATTGTTTTTTTGTCAAAAATAAGTTATAGTACTTCTGTAAATTAGATATGTTTTCAATTGTTTTCACAATTATTCATCTTTAGTTTTGTATCCTCCTCCTCCTCCTCCACCTCCACCTCCACCTCCACCACCTCCTTACCACTACTACTACTACTGCCACTACTACCACTACTACCACCACCACTACTACTACCACTACCACTACCACTACTACTACCACTACCACTACCACTACTACTACCACTACCACTACCACTACTACTAGTTACCACCACCACCACCACTACTACTGTTGCTATTGCTACTTATGATAAATTGTTGTATTGTTATCTTGTGCATGTTATCAATGTTATCTTGCTGTCCAATGCGTTTCGTTAGAGTCCCCATTATCCCCATCTTATTATACAATTATACGTTATTATCCAATATGTTTACTTGTTTATCATTATCTTATGTACATTCCATTGTTATTCGGTTGTTTATCATTTTGATAAATTTATCTTATTTGTTATTGTTTATATGTTGTTGTCCTATTTTCCATGGGGTACACATAAAAAAAACATGTGGAAAACCATGGTTTCCCTGGGAAAATGAGCTACTACCGGTTTTTCCACATCTATGTTAGTTCGTACCCCCCAAAAAAATTGTAGAAGTACTAAAATCGAATCGATGGGCTAAAACACCATTTTTGGGTACTTGGAGGGTCTAGGTTGTTTTACCATATCTCCCTTCTTGTTGGAGCCCCGCGCATTCGTCGAGGTGCTGTTGGGATCGCTCTACGAAGCATGCATTCGATGCGGTCAGGCCAGGGACACCATGGATGCGCACGCGACCTGGGGTACCCGGGGGATTCCGAATTTGTTGAAGTCGATTTTTAGTATAACCATCCAACAATTGGGGTTCTCAATTTTGACCCATACTCAATGTAAATTAGTAGAGATTTGGCAAAATTATCTTTTATGATTTTATATCATCTTATATCTACAGATCTAGCTATTGCAGGGAATAACTATACATCACTGGATCTGGAGGGTATCTTGGGATATGCAGGGATGTCCCCAGTATAGTGGAAATATATGGATATATATATATGGAAATATATTGGGAATAGAATTTGGATATTAAACAACATGATAATTGGGTTTGTCTGAAATGAGGTATACCTTCCGGTTATGGCCATTGAATGGCCATTGAATAATAGGGGAACATGATGATCAACTACGGGATCTTGGGGTGGCCAATTTTCAGTCAAACCCATACATATAACAGGTGTTTTGTCCATATTTGCTGTTATTTGGTATACCATGTTTAATTTCGGTAATAAGTTAGCATGATGGAGATCAAAGATTATTCAAAGTCTTACGCGGGACATCCAAGTATCCACACACATGGCCATCCAAAAATGGTCTGGCGCAAGGTGAAAGAGTTGTTGGCATATGTGCAGAAACTCCGCGAAGAGACTGGAGCCTGGGCGATGATAGAGCCAGGTGTATCCCAAAGCCACAATCAGACAACCATTTTGATGAGTGAGGGGAAAAACAAGAAACCGTGGTTTCCTGTAATTTGAGCAATCTCACTCAGCTCAGTGAGTTTGGGGAATTGAAAGTTCATTTCACAAGTTTAACATGCTTTGCAGATGGGTTTCCTCGTCACCAAAAATCTCCCCAAAATATCTCCTTTGCAGATGGGAACATTTGCCATGTTGTTTCCTCCAAAACTCTGCGCTGAAATCTCCGAAATACCCGAAAGGCATGGTGTCGGTGCGCAGTGCTCACACGGTGGGCTCCATCATCCGAGCCTACGGCGCAGACCAGGTCCGGCTGGAGATCACCTATGGAAAACACCTGGTGGAAACCATGTGAAAAATGATGAAAAATGAACATCTCCTGAGATGTTTTTATTTTGATTTTGGGTTGAATGGGATTTTATGGGATTTTTTTTAATGGGATCTAATGAGATTTGAATATGAGATTTAAATGGGATATGTAAGCAGCAATATGATATATAATGTGGTAAACCCAATGCCATAAACCTACGATTTGGGCTACCATTTGGGGATGGTTTATTCCTGTTTTACCAACCCCATATATATATATTATAATATATAACTGTTTCATCAAAGAACATGGGCTGTTAAAGCACACTGAGTTCATGGCTTCGGGGGCCTTTCGGATCCCAGTTCCGCAAAGGATGATTGGTAGAGAAGTTACTAAGAGAGCCCCCCCCCACTTACACATTTTGGTTGAGAATCCCAATAGATATCCATAAATATCCATAGATATTCAGTCACCATCAGTAACCCAAGGAAAGTCATAGACCCAATAGCCATCTCCCCTGTGATTCGTCGCATCTCGGAGTTCCTGCAGGATTTGGAAGGTGTGTGGGCCACCTGGAACGACATGAAGGCCTGACATTTCGCACATGGTGAAGTCATGATACCTCAGCAGTGAGCCTCAGCAGTGAGTCGAAATCCCAACGGATTTGGTGAATTCCCAACGGCATAAATGGCATAGCGGCGTGCAGCACGCCATTTGATGCCATCAGGTGAAATGCCAACAAGCCATGGGCATGTGCCATTTTGATCGCCCAAATACGAGGCCAAGAACGTGATTCCCAGCCGTATCACCTTGGGATGCATGGTCGAAGCCTTGGCCTCCAACAACGATCCGGAAGGCGCTGGGAATGTTCAGCAAGAGCTATACGATGCTATACGAAGAATCGTGGAAAATCTCGTGTTTTTTGTTTAGGAACAAAAATGGGAGAACAATTTAAGGCCGGTTTTCACGAAGAACATATTTCTGTATGGGATATTTCTGTATGGAAGAATCTGGTCAAATGTAAGGACCACGATACACTGATCTCCTCATGGTGTTCAGCATTTTTGGCATCTCGTTTTTCGGGCACAAAAAAATTAAACTCATATTGACATATTGACTCATATGGGGCCGATAGAAACTTGTTGGGGTGGATCCATCGGCACCCACCCAGATCAAAAAACGGTTGAAATCACCGCACTGGGCGCCCGGTGCCAGTAGCGATATTTTCCAGGGAAATTTTGGACTCGAACTGAGTCAGATTGAAAAACTGTATACTGTATACAATATCATGTATATCGAAATATGGGTTTAAAATGGTTTAAATGTGTCAAATGATTTCAAATGTGTACTCTAGCAGGATCATATAGCATCCACCAAATTACAAGGTCAACGAGCATTGTATGTCCATATCTCACCCGCCACACATGAAATCCCAGTAAGTTGTTGTGATCTAAATCTGCAAGTTTCGACCATGTTGAATCCCAAGTTGCTGAGGATTAACCCCCCAAGGACTTGTCATTTCAATGGGAGATTCAACGGGGAACCAAAAACGATCGGTGTTTGTTGGTTGATGCACCCCATTCAACTAGCAATTTATATAATGGGATTCAATATATGACTTAATCATATTGAATCATCGTTTATGGGGGCATAAGTCATATACAGTTGATGATAAATGACGGCTGGTCGATGATTTTTCTGGGGGTTCTATTCCCATCTAGTTCACTAATATATATATATAATAATATATGATCAATATTATAATATCATATTTATACATAAGGTGTATATATTGGAGTTGATCATAATCCAGTAGTATCCACGATGGGAATCTTCGGTTTCAGGCGCCTATGACATCATCCAACAAGCCTTGGCCGAGCCACAGACCAAGGGCTTGGTGAATGCCGTGACTTACAGCTCGGTTGCTGGGATGGTGCTCATCCAATGGATCCAATGTTGGTAAAGCAATAGGATGGATCCACATGGATCCACCATCCCCAATAAAAACCACAGATGAATGGTTTTTCAAGCACATATGGGTGATTTGTTATTGTTTTACTCACATGAATGAGGAAATGATGGGTATACTAATCAATGGTGAGAACTGGTCTGTGGTTTACGTTTTTGTTCATTTATGTTTAACGTTCAACCATATTTGTTATTCTGATCCCAATGACGACAATATTTTCCGGGTGGGCTGAGAAAGGTTAGACCCAAGTTGGCAAACCAACTTGAATGTTTGGAGTTTAAACATATGACACCATGCTCTCGAAAACTAGCTGATATGTTTATTGTTTTCTTCAAACACGTTCACTGGCCATTTGGTATTGATTACCCTCTGGTAAACTAACAGAACTATGGAAAATCACCATGTTTAATGGTAAATCAACTATAAATGGCCATTTTCAATAGCAAACTGTTTGTTTACCAGAGGGTAATTTTGATGATGATTCTGGTGAATCAGCAAGGAGACTTTCGCGAGGAAACAGTTGGTTGGACCAAGACCAGACAGTGGGAATGTTGCCGCGTGATGCACCAGCTGAAACACGACTGTCAATGTGGAAATCGGAAGCCGGCCGTTTTCAATGAAGGTAGCAATTCCAATCGATGGTTTGTTTTATGTTTAAAGAATGTTGTAAAACTGATGATTTTTCATGGAGACTTGCTGGTTGCTACCAGCCATAGTGGTGGGCCACTGTGTGGAGTTCCATGGAAACCATATCCCCTCCGCAGAAGTCTTCTATTGAGGCAACACCTCCAGAGTCCTCCAGTCTCTAGTAGCCGGATCAGCCAAAGGCAAAAGCTACCAGTACCCTAGGGGAAAACCAACATCGATATGGGAAAACCAAGGAAAATCCACCAATGTAATTCAATATTTTTCCAGGGAATCCCATTGATTTCCGTATTGTTTTCTTGATTTGCTGGAAGGTAGTTGTGGTCTGGTGAAATCTGGTGAAGCTCAGGTTTTGAAGAGCTTCAATCATCAAAAATCCTTCCACCGTGTTTGGGACGTCTATGATGAGATGATTCGCGGAAAGGCGGGGAATGCTACGGCCCCACCACCCTCTAAGAAAGGTGGTGCTGAAGATATCATAGTAGTATCAGTCATAAGAAAATCATGGAAAAATCGTTCTGCAAGAGTGACACTCCTCATGACCCCTCATATTCACTGTAAATGCATATAAATGGTCCAATGTGTAACACCCTTCCGCTACTTGTGTTTATGTAAGTCGTATGGTACATATTGAATGGTAACCCAAGATTCTTGGGGCCTTTCTAAAGCCCTCAAATTAAGGGCATTAAGAGGGTTGGCAATCCCTATCCATATATATATATAGCTAATATATCCTTATGTGGTTATCCTCCGGTAGGTTAACATAGCTTAGCTATTGTGTATGTATATATATATTTAATAATATGGTCCATTTAGTGAGAAATGATTTACGTATTAGACATGTTGGTTGATTTTCCAGTAGCTATGTTAAATTAGCAGAGGCTAATCGATTTGTTGTGGTTTTTCTTTAGTATTGCCACAACCCAACCATAAATGTCCACAGTGTTAATCCACATTAATCCATATTACAGTTCGAAGTATTGTTCATATTAATTATAAATTCTAATTTCCATAATATAGATTTTCGTAATTGTAATATATTATAATATGAATCCTACAGATTTCCATAATTGTTGGCCGGATTTCCAGGTGGAGTTTTCAGTCACGACTTACAATGCCCTGCTGGATGTCTGCGCGCGTAGCGGGGAGATCTCCCGTGCTGAGCCTCTTTTGAAAGAGATGGCCGTCCAAGGCAAGAAGAAATGGTCACAGTAGGTTTGGGCGGGTTTTTTTTCTGCGTGTACTGTGGAGGAGTTTTGAAGTTACATTCTGGTGCCAACTTTCCACTGGTAAATTTACACACTTTGCGTCGGAACATCATCATCCTAAAAAGGTAAATGGTCTACAAATGGGCCGTTTGACATAACTATGTTAGTTTGCTGGAGGATACTGGGGGGGTGTACACCTTACAATATGATCTGGGTAGGTTGGGTCGGTGTGTAACTTGGGTGATCAGTCGGCTAAACTGATGGATTGGAAAGATCCCAGTAATTGTTGTGTAAACTGTATGGAACTTGTTGATAAACAACCCGTCGCGCCGTTTTCCGTACGTGCGTTTTGCACAATTTCATCATCATCATCAGGTCCACTTAAAGTTCATTTCGTGTGGGAGGCATTAAGCGTTTTTTGTTCAGCATGCACAAAATGATGTGGAAATTGGCTGGTGTTTTTTGAAAAAGTCATATTTCGCTTGTGTTTTCATGCAATTTTGACCGAGAATTATGTGAAATTTAACATCGTTTGGAATAGGCTCTGCCCGCATAATATGTGTCATCACATCAAAATAGGAAAGAGAAAACGTGGCCTGCGTGGCATATTCATCATCATTTTTGTCCAAAATTTGTCGAAATCAGTACGCATTTAGAGTGGTTTTACTTTTTTTTCCTTCTCGCTGTGGTGGGGTACATGTATTTCTTCAAAGTGCTGTTTTCCCAATGACAGCCATCACAACACAGTCTGCGCACTGTGTTTTCTTCTTCACTTTCGCAGCAAGTTGAGCTGGTTGATGGTCTTCGTGCGAATCAGAGTGAGGCGATTGACATACCTCCACTGGAACGCGCGCAAGTAAACCTCAATCAATTCTGATTGGCTTCCCAGACGATCATCTAGAGACAGGCGCCAAGAACGTTATTACACCCCCCACCCCCCAAACCCATTTCACAAGAGTATGTGCAGAGACGTTCACAGACGTGTGCTAGCGTAGCATCCAATGCGTGCCAGCAAGTACGTGAGACGGTGCTAGTGTAGCATGCCGTCATAGAAGAAAGACGATCATCTAGAGACAGACGCCAAGAACGTTATTACACCCCCCACCCCCCCCAAACCCCCCCATATGAGAAACGTCAAAAACCTGCATTTTACTAGTACGGTTTTCGGCGCGTAGGCATAAACAACTAAAAGGGGATTCCAATAGCACACTTGACGAAATTAGACCATCATAGTGAGGGCCGTGATGCGCTTGATCTTTGGAGTCGGGTTATATATAAAGATACAAAAATGAGATATCCATATCCATATCCATATACTAATGGATAGGGTTATATATGGTTATAATGTTCCTTGAGATATCCTAATATATCATATATCTTTACATTCGTCCCTGATCTTTGCCTAAATGGTGAAAGGTTCCCTGATGAAATCCGGCAGGTATCACACCAAACATCATCACCTATGGCACCGTGATCAAGGAGCGTTGCCGCTGGGAAAAATGGGTTCTAGTTCTGCACCTGGCTGGCAGAATCAGCCAATTTCTTGATGTGGGGTTGGAAATTCCCTTTGATGATTGCTCAATTTTCCCATGATTTGGATGCCAAAGTCCCAAAAGAAGATCATAGATTCCTACTGTAGTGGTTTTTCGCATGGGGAGTTTCTGGACTAATCCCCCTCAAAGAAAAAGACAACTAATCCATCCATCCACTGTTTCCTACTTGGTGATTCACCAGAAACCATGGTGGATGTAGGGGATTAGACATATTTGGGGACCATCGAGCCGGGGCTGTTTACGTTAATAATGTTGATAGTGGGATGGGATCAAAAGTCGATACCTACTATATATATATTATGTTATATAAGTCATGTATATATAATATTATATATAGTATATGTAGCCATGGCCGGATGACAGGCCTACTGCTCAGCGAACCGCCTGGACCAAGCCTTTGCAGTCTTTTCGGATGCATGGCTTGAGGGCGGCACCAGGGGGTGGCTCATTATTATATCTTTATTATATCTTTTTATTATTATTATTATTACATTCAATGTTTCATCAATATTACAATATTATATATATATATACACGCATTACTATATATATATATACTACAATATATTGCAATATATTACAATATATTACAATATATTACCACGCATTACAGTATTATATAATATTGTATGATAAATGGTATAACGTTACATAATATTATATAATATGATACAATATTGCATAATATGTTATTGTACGATATGATAGGAATTATCACATGTACCATGGTCAAATAGTTGGGAATGTCGGTGGACCATACCCAGGACATGCAGGCGAACACCGATTTGCACCCAGATGAAGTGCCTTGGCTCACGGGGTCCGGCGATTTTTGGCGGTTTTTCAGTCAAAAAACCCTCTCTGGTTTTCACATCAAAAAGGCTGGTGTCTATAGATCATCCCTCAAACATGGTATATGTGATCCCACAACTGGTTGGTGGTTTGGAACATGTTTTATTTTCCATTTCATATATGGGATAATCCTTCTCATTGACGAACTCATATTTTTCAAGATGGTTATTGCACCACCAACCAGCCACAAGTTTGCATATTTCCCCGGTGCGGAACAAGGTGACGTACAACACGCTGCTGGACGGCTGTGCCCGCTATGGCTCATTCGATCGCGGGCTGGAAGTGATGGCTGCCACTGGTGCTGAATGGTCGGTGCGGTTGGCTTGTTTTGTTTGCTTTCTATGTCATTTTCGAAGGAACTATTTCAAAGATGTCAGTGAAAAAAAGCACAAGGTCAAATTGATTATGGTAATCAAGATTAATTAATCATTACGATGAAGAAATCAATTGTTGAAACTGGAGATTGAGGAGAATCATAGTTCAAACTCTCTTTCTGATCTTTCTGGGGCATTCTATCTGTTGGGATGTATAATTTGGGATACAAGAGGTTACCAGGAAAGGCCAATTTTTGTCAGCAGACCATCTGGGGAATTTGGAATGGCACCGACCCGTACCAGCACCAGATGTGTGCATCGTCTATGAAAAATATTTCCAAAATGAAGTGGAACCGTGCACCCGTACCAGCACCAACTAAGATGAAGCGAGGTAGACATGTCCTTCTATTGCGATATATATATATATATATTATATACTTTTGCTATTTCTACAGCGACAAGTGAGTAGCATTTGGGTTTCTTCTCAAACTTGGGGACACCCAAAGGTCAGTCCTTGCTCAGATGCCGAATGATGTCAAGGGAGATGTTGCTCATCGAACTTGTGTTGCAAGCCGCAATGGCAGTTGATTCATGAAAGCGACAGGACATGTTTTGGATTCGCATTGGCTTTGTTGAACGAATGAAACAGCAATGAAAACAGGAAACACGTGTGAAATAATCTCTGATGCAGGTTGCCCAACATAGGCCCTCACGGCTTCATTCTCCCATTGGCACATTTAATTTTGGAGTGTAGAACAAGCTTTCCATGAAGGGGACCTTTGATTCGTGTTAATAAGCCCCTACTGTAGGCTCTGTAGCAAATGCCAAAGCGCAGCCTGCAAGTGTGTATGTGTGTGTGTGTGTGCTGTGTGTGTGTATGTGTGCTTAATGAGAATTATGATATGTATCGAAAAAGCTACGAAGCCCAAATCTGAATTCTACAGATTTCTACATTTTTTAGGCTCCAGGGGGATGGAGGCAGAGATTCACCATGGCAGCGGCTGGTGGGTAGCTGGTCGCTAAGGATATGAAGAAGGCTAAGGTACCTCCCAGCAACTACACTCTCTCTGCGCCTTGGCTATCGAAGGATCATTGATATCCCCGTCTCAGATTGTTGGTTGTAAATATAATTAGGATATAATTTAATAATAATAATAATAATAATATATAATTACACATCATTATATATAATATATCCCATGATATTCCCATTGTATTACCATGATTGTTGTCGAAACCCAGGCCATCTCACCCCATGATAGTGGACAGTTTGCCACATGGCTACCCTCAATGACTCACAGTGTGCAAACTGGAAAATCACCCCCAACGAGAATGATAGGTACATGACATTCATCTAAATTGGGCCATGGCCATGTTCCATAGCCATGTCAAGACTCCCATCCATCCGTGGATGAGTTCCCTGGGCCCACTGGGACACTGAAGGCCAGTCCCACACTTTTCTTTCATGCGATATGGGGGAGTTGGGAGCTGCTTATGTGCGTTTTGCACCTTTGGCAATAGTGTGGCATATTATATCACGTATAACTATATTATAACATATGCTATAAATACCGTATAACTATAACGACAATGATACATATATTCATATACCCAATTACCAGATATCCATATCACGTTGTTGGTCATTTTCCCATCGTATCCTGATTATATTCCCATCTTTGGTTGGCTTTACACCCCATGTACTCTTCTTGGTTAATCTCCCCAGAGCATACATTATTACATACCCATTCTTATTGGCTAAACACTGCTAAACCATGTAAAACACCATGTTCAGTAGCCTAGAAGACATTTGGGAAGATGGTAAATCCACTAGAGAGCCATCTAAATATGATGTGTTTCGAAGACAAATAGTAAAAACACTCGAGTCACCAAAGACTAAGACACCCCGGATCCATCCGGATTCAGTTCCCACAGAGGTCATTGCCAAGTTGGCCAATCGCAGCAAGAAGCCCAAGTTGGCCTTTCAGATGGTGGAGGAGTTACGTCGGGGCACCCGGGAATTGTTTGCCCTGGGAATCGCAAGCCGCAATGTGTTTACTTAATGATGAGGATACATTATAGTCAGATTCATAAATGATCATAAATGTATATGATTCTATATAATTGTACACACATCATGAACATTTTGTATATGACGCATATTTATTTTGAATATGATGCATATTATGTATGTTGTGTATATGATGTGTATGATGTATATCATGATGTATATCATGTATATTATGTAACAATCGATATGTATATGGAATGTACACAGCTGTGTACCTTCCATGTTTATTTCCGTGTCGGTGAAACCACTTTCCATTGTGGATGTACGACCAATCCAAGTAGACCGATGACATCCGATGACATCCAGGTAAGCAATTAATACAAACATACTACTAGTACGCATATAACTAATATATTTTTTTTTCCACGGCTCTTTGTGACTGACGTCGCTGCGAGCTCTGTTGAATTCCCAGACTGGGCTCAGTGGCCTCCGAAGTCTGGCCCAATGTGGGTGCCAAAAGTTCGTGATATCATCGAACAGCACCTCTGATAAAAAACCTGGTCAATGCCCTGATCTGCACAATGGGGATGGGCTTGAAACCAGTGGCAAAAGGACAGAGCAAATGCTCTGTTCATTGCCGGTGGGTATTCCTTCAGGGGAGACGTCTTCCAGGATCCGTCTTTCCCTTTGCCTATGGCACTGCGCTTTGGCAGGTCTTTGGAAATCTGATGCTCCCTCAGCTGTGTTCTCAAAGAGGGCAAATTCAACGCCAGCAAACGCGTCGGTTTCGGGGACCATGCGCCAAGAAGTCCCTGTGCTAGGTCGATATGCTCCACGTTGGGGAAGCGCAGCAGCAATCGGGTTATAGCCAATCTCCAAATTGAGGGTCTTGTCTCATCGTCCGGTTCTTGTGGATGCTCAAGGACGCCGAAACCCTGAGCACATGCAAGGGAGAAAAGGAGCTCAATGGAAAAGAGTAAGAGTTCATTGCCTGTAGCAACCTGCAACGCTTCGCGAATGCTAAGCGAGCTAAATCCTCACAGCTCGAAGATGTCCCTTAAAGGTCGAGGACCATGTCGAGGTAGAGGCTGCTGGTCTGTAGCTGCGTCAACGAAACGAGCCTGCGACCACGTCTCACAGGGTGGGCCGCAAAGTGCCCCGCAGACCCATCCTGCTCTAACCCCTTCCAACCAGAAGGTCTGAGTAGTCTCCTGTCTGACGTTGCCCCACTGCTGGTCAATGATCAAGTCTAATGACACGACGCAAAGGGTGGTGCCATCTGCGCAAAGTTGATCATAGAGCTTCTCCATGAAAAATTGCAGATCTCCTTCTCTGCGCCGCCCTGAAAAGACATGGAGGAAGATCCTCTCCTTCGCGCATGGGTGCGGAATCTCTGGCTGTGTAGGCTCGATGAGCGCGTGGTCAAAGTCCTCCTCAATCTGTGCCAGGTCCAAGCGGCCATGTGTTGGGGGTTGATGGTGCAGCAGGAAAGGCCATGCTCTGGAGGAGCACAATGAAATCAAACAATGCTTCATGTGGTCCACTGTCTCTTTGGTCTGTTCCAATTCCGCTTCCTCCAACACATTAATGATGCGTCGCAATGTCCTTTGGCATAGTGTCCATGAGATGGCATAGTGCTTGATGGTCGCTCTTATGATGTGCTCAAAGTCCCTGATGTTGTCGTCCGACATCTCGACCACATGTAGTGTGATGGCTTCCAGCAACTCAGGGTGCTCTTCATCAAAGTCTCGGGGGATTACCGGCTCCAAACAGGGTCCTTCTGCTTGTAGAACCGGAAGCCGTCCATCCCAAACTTCATGCTGCAGGGCAACTTGTGTGGATCCCAGACCTGGCTAATATATATATATATACATGTTTAGTATTAATATTAAGATTAAGATTAATATTATGTTTAGTATTAATTATTAATAGTTTTATCAATATTAATGTTGTATGATTATATTATATCATATCATATCATATTACAGTAGATTGCAATGTATTTTGTTATGTTATTTATTTCATTTTATATCATACTATATTTTATTACGTAATTTATGTTATTTTTTTAATACTATGTTTTGTTGTATTATTATATATATATTGTAGCATATTGTATCATATTCTATTATATTATATTGTATTAAAATATCATATTGTATTAAAATATTATATTATAGTATATTGTATTATATTTTATATTATATCATATTCCTGTATATATACATATATATAGATATATATGTATATGTGTAGATATATATATATATACAGTATGTATGTATATGTATATATGTGTAGATATGTTTTTATTATGTATATATGTACTGTAGATATGTTTTATATATGATTTGCATGTGAATGCAATGATGTACACGAAACACACATATGTATACCAAGTGGCTCTGCCATGGGTGCAGACAATGTCTATGAACCTTCAGTCTATCGTGTGACTCACATGGGGGTTTCCATAAATGGGGGCACCCCAAAATTTCTGGTTTACAATGGAAAATCCTATTTAAAATGGATGATTTGGGGTTACCCCCATATTTTAGGGAACCTCCACATGTCTATGGATCTTCCTGAGGTCAAGAGTTCAAGATCAAACTCAATATGCACGTTTCTTGTCTGCTTGACCGGTCATGGATCCACCGCTGCGACGTGTTTCTTGTTTTGTGAATGCGACCCATTTAGAATCCTTGCTCTATTGATCTTTAGTGGTGGTCAATTCTGGTGATGTTTGAGAGTTCATATAAACACATATACACATATACTTGTTATATACACATGATACACGAAAAATAGATGTAATTCCATGTATATAATTCCGATCATCACAACTGAAGCATCACAATTCTGTTGCATTAGACCTAACGCACTGGAATGAATTCACCAGGGCCAGAAGTGGTATGATGAAGCACTGTTACAACGGCAACAAAAAAACAATTGCAATCAACTTAAAGCCTGGTAAGAACCCAGAATTGACTTGAGTTTCTTTTGGCAGGGGCCCCCACATTTGGCTGCTAGAATCCATGGTTTCCGATGGTTTCTGGTAGATGTTCCAGGTATCCAGCGCGGGACCCCCCCAATGATAAACAGAGCCATGTCAGCCATGTCCTGTTGATATCAGCGGCTCCAGGTGTATAACAATTTGATCCAAGCGGCCACTTGCGACAACGACATCATGAAAGCACAGGAGGGGACGGTTTCATTGGAACATGCTTTCATTGTTTTCTTGGATGCATTTGTATATATATATTACACACACATGTATACAGTTGTATAGACATCTATATGTACTAATATGATCTAATATGTACGTATATCTTGTCATACAACATATCTAAAGATGCAATACTCTAGCATATATTATATAAATGATTTTACATGATCTATGCATGCATTTCATTATTTGGTACAATTACCCAGTCCAGGGCGGTTTACCATTCACTTTGTCATTGATAGGGGCCGACGGATTCTCACTGCTGCATTCCTTCCACTTGACAAGTTCACCGGTTGGTGGATTCATTTCTTTATGTTTGCTTGGGCATGTTCCATTGACTAGCAAGCAACAAAGCATTTGGTACCCTCTGGTAAACTAACATAGCTATGGAAAATGGCCCATTTATTAAAAATGGTGATTTTCTTTAGCTATGTTAAATTACCAAAGGGTAGCTCAATATGAGAACGAAATGATGGGCAAGCACACAGACACAGATACTTCGCGCCGTTGAAAGTACTGGCCATTCGTGCATCGCCCGTCTATTTGCGACAAGGCGAATCATTGGTTTCTTTATACTTCCCTTTTCCGTCACGTCATTTGAGACCAACATGCTTCGATTATCTCTGGTTGATGAAAAGAATTGAGAAACTCCGCATCAGATTCTTGCAATTGAGTCAAACGTGGCTTCCAATGCACCCCTAAATTCACCTTTCCGGACCTTTCCTGTTCAAATTTGAGCAGTGCACATTTGCTGGACTTCCCGAAAGGCCTATGCGCACTTTATGTTTGGTGGATTATCAACAGCTTTGTTGGTTAAAAAACGTGTTAAAAGCCGAAAGCCTTTACAATTGGCTAAAACACGTCAAAATCCTCATGTATCTTGGTTAACAAAACTGTTGACCCATTTTGAGTGGTTAAAAGTTAAAACATGTCAAAAGTTGACAGAAAGCCTCAAGTTCATTGCTTAAAACATGTAACTGTTGCCCCCATGTTGTTTTGAGACTTCAAGCGATGGGGATAACATGGCGATTAGATGGGATAACCAAATGGGGGGTTTCCTGAAATAGGGGAAACCCCAAATCATCCATTTTAATGGGAACTTTCTCTATAAACCATCCATTTTGGGGTACCTTCATTTTAGGAAACCCCCAAATATTTGATCAGGAGACCTTTGCCAAGATGCTGAGCCACCGCGTGCGGCCCGACGGGCATCTTGGCATCCGAGGTGGTGGCGAAATGTGAACTCGCCAACCATGGACAAAGCCACAACATGCCACAAATATAGACAGTATATGACAGTGTAATATAGTTAATGTTCTATATATATATATTATACATATATGATGTGATTATATACAGATACATGCGATTCTATTGAACATGTGTATACATCAGAATACATTATAATGATGCATGTAATAAATGTGTATCGTGCCATGTGATATGTGGTTTGCAATATCAATGCGGACATGTGCATGTATATGTGGATGTATACATATTATATATTATATACATATACGTATGTGAATGCAGATGTGAACATATAATTGTGAGTGTAAATTGTACTGGTAGTATCTTGTGTGGTATTCTGATGCAGATAGGACTTAGAGAAAAACCATCTCCACGCGCAAAATTCACCTGTGGGATGAGCCACTCAGGAGAACCTACACGCTGCTTCTCCGCTTCTGCGTGCCTCGAATCTTGGTCGAAGGTCAGATTATACCCATATTGCGAGATGGTCATCAACCCATACATAAGGATTTATATAACCTTTGTGAGGATTGCCATTAATACTGTATACATAATATATATATATATAATTTTACGTGTGATTATATATCTTATTTTATATGTGATATATGATACATTGTATATTATTTATATTATTATCATTTAGTATGTGTATATATATTTATATTTATATTTATCTATTATATATATATATCTTATACGTGTTTTTGTGTACATTTGCACTTTGTGTAGAATTCCTTGGTGATCTTCAAGGGGCTCAGGAATTCCATCTCACTCATTTTGGGTTTGCCAGGTCACATTGGAAGGGTCCAGGGCCCCTGATCTCCACAATTTGCTGGAGGGCGTCATAGGGTGTCCGTTGAAAAACAATGTGGACCCACTAGGTTTCAGTTGGTTTATACTGTTTATAACATGTTATAGCATGTTATAGCCCCATCCATCTATGGCATGCAATAGAAATGTTTACCCCCAAGCAAGTAAACCGTGATCGCCAACTAGGCAGCACCACTTTGGGCCTAGGAAGAGCTCATGCACTGTCCGTAATCTTGCTACGAACCGCACTGGGCACCTCGCCGGCAAGGGAATGTGAGCGGTTGGAGTGGTTGTTGCATAGTTTTTGCGGACAAGAAATGAATTTTGAATCAATGGTAAGGATCTAACCAACAGTTGGATATAGCACGGTGAAGCATGACCAATCCAAATGGAGACACCTGAAAGGGCGCCAATGGGTGTTCCACTGCAGACCTCATCGTATCACCATGTGGGAGTTGTTCTGAAGGTCTTTGTATGGATTGTACATTAGGATTGCAACCTTTGTTTAAACTTCATGTTTTATAACTTCTGAGTTTTTTTGAGGCTAAGGCTAAAGAACATGGCTAAAGTATGCTAGAGTTTCAGTGATGTTTATCATTTGTCAATATTTGTCATGTTTCTAGTGTAGAATTACTGGGGAATTGGTTTTGTGGGAAGTTTAGGAATGGAAACTTGGAGGAACGGTTGCTTTGTGGATCTTCGTGGCCCGATTTCTGCGTTCTACCATGTTTTACCATTTTTACTTCAACAGGAAGAACGATTAATTTGTTTGCCAGAGTTACCGAACTGCAAAAAAAGACACGCACCCTGCACCCTCTGGTAATGTCACAGCTCGATATGGCTACAAACAGTTTGGGCAGAGACGAAGGCTCAGAGGATGGCCCATCGGAGAAAATCGTCTCGCCTTCCAAGTTGGGAATTGATATATGCTAAAAATTGCTAAAATTATGATGATATGATATACTGTATACTGTATTATACTGTATATATAACATTATGTATGTATATTATATATAGAGAGAGATACATGATTTTAACATGTTTTAAAATTTAATTTCAATTAAACTACACCATGTTGTTACGGAACACATGCACATATGCGATATATTGTGGTAAAATCGATCTATCAAAGCTTTCTGGGGGCCTTTGCCGAGTTGCTAACAAGTCATGAGTAAAGATCCCGCATGTCTTTTGCTTGAATTAGAATATTCAAGTTTACATAAAGTTATATATATATGTATACAATGTATATATTATAATATAGTTGATAGGTGAAGAACAAGTAAAAAATAAGTCAAAGCAAGTTAAATCAGCTCAACAAAATGCAAAACAAAACATCTCATAACATCTCATAGCCATTTGTTATCTCACCAAGAGCCACCAAATTTTCTGGTGTCCTCATGACATCTGAGGCTTGAAGCAAGATGAGCTGATCAGCGGCAAGGGCCAAGATGCGCTGCATCCCACCTTGGCCAAGGTGCTTCAGCCCTGGTCGAGCGAGGGAATCCTGGAATTTGGGGATAGCATTTTGATATATGTTGATCTTCATGAAGCTCAGAAGCTCTGGGAGGAGTGGAAGCCCCAAACGTTTTCCAACGGGTAGAGTCCCCTAGTCCTATCCGCCACCTTCGCCACCTTGGGCTACGGATTGAGGTGCTACCGTCGCAATGGGCCACGGCGCCGTTGCGAGGCACCTTAGGATGGGCCTTGTGTATGATTTGAGCAAATATTGTACTTGTACTTGTATAACGATGGGCAGCCGTTTCTTACATATTAATTAATATACTATTACTATGTGTATATAATTATAGTGTATATTCATACACCTACATCCATGTATGTTAGTGATTTACAGTATTCTTTTGCGCGCGCTTGCAATTTCACCCTGCAATCCATCAGTACAAGAGCTGCAAAATCTAATTGAACTTGCTGATATGTGATGTTTATCCAATGCGTTTTCCTATATTTTTTGGGTTGGTATGTTTGCCCCTGCTTTCCCATTAGACTTAGTTGACAACATCCTGAAAATGAAATGGTCATGTATAGCAAGCATTCTGGAAAGGCGGATGAGACATGAATGGCGTAGGCCATCGTACGCTAGACGGCAGACATAAAGAGTGAAGTAGGGGTGACTGTACGAGCCCCAAAATAGAACGGCTACGAAGCCTGGAATTATGAGGTAGGGCGGTGCATCGCGTGTTCCTTTCGTTTTGTCTCGCTTGTGTCCTTCGTTTTTTTCTACGCTCTTAACTTTCTGAAGTAATTTCCAACAGGCTATGGATAATTATGGATGCTACGCTCGCACCTTCGCACGCAATTACGTAATTTCAACACCCTCTTAGACTCTTGGTGCCACGCTTCAACTTAAACTTGGTCAAGTAATTTCCAACACGTCCTTGATGCTACACTCTTTGCTTTCGCAAGTAAATTTCAGCACGCTCTTGATGTTATGCTCTTAAGTTTCGCAAGTAACTTCAACACCCACTCACCAGGGAGTAAGCAAGATGATTAAACAGAAGCAACCTCTCCCACAAACAAACTCCGCTAGGGTCCAAGTGATGCAGGAAAATCAACCCTTCCCTGACAGACAAACAACTCCACCAACCCAACAGTCATGGCGTAATTGATGCATACTGATCAAAAGATGCAACCACTCCCAAACGAAAAAAACATCCACTAAGTCACTAGGGCACAGCTGGTGCAAGGACACCATTGTGAGCTACTTGCCTCTGGGGTCAATATCATCAATACATATCAATAAATTCAATAAATTCATGTTTGATGACCAGGCCCAGGCTGGCCGTTCCCATTTAGCTTGACGGCCAGACAGGCAACAACGCTCTGCAAGAAGAAGTGATCCTTGATATGCTGGATTTCCTCTCTCGAAGCTTTGGCGGATTCAGGGAGGAGATTGGCAAGTCGACAGGTGCATGGTTGGCTTGACTTGCTTGACTTTGACTTTGATGCTGATGCTGCTGAAAATGATGATCCAACTGTTTCCCTTTTTCGATTGTTGGTTGGTGCTTAATCACTATCGCCAATGCTTGGTGATTGATATTCCTGCAATGCTGCAACATGGACTTGTGAATGATTGATTTTCACGGATTTATATTTGGATGTATTTTGTGGTTTCTTAAAATGGTGGATCCCCAAAACAATGGGTTCCAATTTCAATACTGACTAAATACTTGGTGAATTTGGGGGTACCCCCATTTTAGGAAACCTCCATGGATACACTGAGTGGATATGCGCAACTGACAACAGTATCGCCAAGGGACCATCGGTGTTGATGTATGTCCATTCCCATCATGTCACTTTGAAAATCACTGGGGGTTATTGAAAGGGGCCTCAATCAAGGTGTTTGTGATGATTTATTATTTGCATTAGAAACCTTAGTATTTTAACAAGAGTACCAGAGTACCCCTTTGGGGACTTGGGACTTGAGTGATCATGTGAGTTAAGATTGACTGCTTCGCAAACATAATCATAATAGTAATAATGCAACCCTTCCCCCTGCACTGAAATAATGATGATAATAATGACGATAATAATAATAATTGAGTAATAATTCATCATAACAATCATTATTATATATAATATGTAAGATGTACCGCCGAGGACAGGCACCTCCAGGAGACTTCTGCCTCCCTCGCTTGACAGAAGAAATTCAGAAGGCTGGCGCTGGTGGTGAGAAAAGAAAAGGGATCCCCAGGGCAAGTTACATACAAAAAGATGTGGAAAACAATGGAAAACTCATGGTTTTTATGGGAACATGATACTGTATATATATATATAAATGGTGGGTGTTCCACATCTATATTAGTTTACTGGAGTGTGTATGTTACGAGATTGTGTTTATCTTCATTGATTTTCCATCCTAGGATGAATCCGATGATGATCCCCAATGCCAATAAACATTTTTTCAGGGCCGGTGAAGTTCGGCGCAGGATGCCCCGGGCCAGGTCGCCTATGGCCATTATGGGGATTTGAAGCCAGTCTTGCAAGCACACTGGCCAGATATACTATCTTCAATATACTCCTAAGCACTCTCTCAGTATCCCTACAAGGTGGTACCCCACAGTTGGCAACGTTGGTTTAGCAGGTCAGGCTTAAATTCATGGTGGCAGAGATCTATCCTTCCACGCCAAGGCTTTGCCGAACTTGAGACTGCCCAAGTCCACCATGAGCAGGACCTTGGAGTTCATAGACAGCCTCATGGTGGGGGTTGAATATTAGGGCGATGGGATTATTAGGCTGGCAAACTTTGGGGCCAATTTGCTCAATTAGAGGAATATTTATGATTTTATGGATATTTGATTTCAGATAAATCCAATTCCCTCCAATTTCCACTGCAATTGCTGGAAACGGAAGCTAAGAAGTACTCTGGCAGTTTGGTGAAGGAACCATTGTTTGTGCGCTGTTGCCAACTTCGGTTTCTGGTACTAGCAGTTACTCAGATGACAAGTTGGAAGATGTTTCTTCTTTCTACGGGTCGTTTGGATTTGAAACAGCCAGGATCTTTGAACACTGAGCCTGACAGGGCAGTTTAGAGAAGTTTCATCGCGAGTCTGGACAGTTGACTCTACTCAAAAGTTTGAACGAACATTTGGGACTTCTCAATACGTGCAGTTCGGCCGCGTTTGACATACAGAAAATACATGAAAATCACGGCGCGCTTGCTGATGGTGGGCACATTTTTTGATTTGTGAAGGTGGGAGGGATGTGGTCCCCTGCAGGACAGTTGTGAGACAAACTATTGAATTACACCTGAATCAACAGACTGATACATAGAACATATACCCTCTGGTAAACTAGCATAGCTATGGAAAATCATCATTCCATGGCTATGTTAAATAACCAGAGGGTATTATGAATATCTGTTTGTATATATGAATTTATGCTATGCTAAAATGTCAGACAATCGGATACAGCTGATCATTCCTCACTCATTGAGAAGAAAATGTGAGCTGAGGCTTGGTTTTCAAACCGTGGGGACATGCCGTGCCCAAATCCTGAAAATAATATATGCTGGGAAGTTATGATAGTTCAAGGTTGGTGTTTTTTCTTGCCATAAATGTAGGGACAATGAGGAATGTGAGATATTGCTATCCTGCCTTTCCTTGAGGGACTCTATGCTTAGCGACGAATGGCCCTGCAAACCTCCAAGATCTGGGGGATATGGATGCTGTGGATCAGCCATTTCTTAGTACAGGGGAACGCGGGATTCAAAATTTAAAGCACCAGACCTTGAGATGAACAAACAAATATAGAATATTAATATACAATAATAATCAATAATATATATATACACACACATCGATTTGATTAGATTTGATGCTGTTGGTGTTTTATCATCCATTGATGAGCCACCAACAACGCCAGCGGGGTGCAGGTGCGGCAACCCAAACTCAGTTCTTCAAACAGTCCAAAGAAGGCCGGGCCATCGTTTTGTTTGGCCTGGTTTTGGGTGCCAGTACCAATGTCGGTGGCATGGATAGCTATGGACTCTTGGCATCCAGATTCGCCAGCGGACAAAAATCACAAAGAGTACTCTACTTACAAAGACGGGTTTAAGTAAAGCCGTAAACCTTGGGCAGATTAATGTATATTAATGTAGTATTTTTCAACTATTTTGATTGCCAAGAAATTGCCATTTATAGTTGATTTACCAATTAAAAATGGTGATTTTCCGTAGTTATGCTGATGCTAGTTTACCAGAGGGTGTGTTCAATATATAATATACCAATAAGATCCAATGACAATGAGCATGTTTTTTTTGAGATGTGACATGTGTAGCCACCAAATGCCAAGCTATCATTGATATACCCCAAATTCGCGGCTAGCGGTAACCAAAACACACCCAAGGTTTTCTACTCAAAGGCCCAAGGGCTTTGCTCCTTCCCTTTAGAAGGACTTATACTCTACCCTCTGGGAAAAATAAATGTGGCAATGGCACATTCCCTATAAATGGAGGTTTTAATGGGGAAATCATCAATAATTGAGGAATTGTTAATTGCCACGTTTGATTCCCAATGGGTAGATCTTTTGAAGATGAATGCAACTGGCCAACCGTAAGTGTCTTGCACAACAGTCATTTTCAGTAGCTTTAGCTATGTTAAATTACCAGAGGGTATTTGTCATGATTGATCGGGTACATGCCTGGCTGTATCTGGCTATATTTTCTTGTTTCCAAGTGTTTAACCATTCAGTGACTAGGAGAGAGCGGTTCGGAGATACGAATTGAGTTTCCCAGCCGCAACTCAAACATGAACTAAGCATCATTTGAGAACTATATCCTCATGGTCCATACTACGGATACTTAAGGAACATGTTTCATTGGAGGGAAAATCTACACCGGAAACGACGTTTTTTCCCATGAAATCTCGGTTTGAAGTGCCAAGGCTGAGACGACCATGGCACAACCACCACCTCCCAGACCCGCAGGCAGAGCCCATGGTTTTTTCTGGCGAATGTTTACCTACCTACTATACTCAATTTATTATATATATATATACATATACATATACATCTACATATACATATACATATACTGTGTATATATACTGTGTATATATATATATTATATGTATATATAGAGAGAGAGACTGTATATTATATATATAGAGTGCGTTTGCACACACACACACACCTTGTAGACTTATCCGTCACATGCTGAAATTTGGTGTGATTGGAATGGCCAGTGAATCAGGATTCCCAGTTTCATAGTAGGATGGTTTGCATAGCAAACTGTAACAAATTACCACATCCCATTAATTCCACTTATATACATTTCTTAAGATGGTTGGTTGTTATATAATGTTACGGCAAGACCCTATGGTTTGCCCGCAAGGTTATATAGAATGGAATTCAAATATTATCCTTCGACATGCTCAAAAACCTGCGCAGGGCCAGTGTTTTGGTATTTACCAGACGACGAACCCTAAACCCTAAAACCCTAAAGCCCTACACCTTAAACCCTAAAAGCCTGAAAACTCTGAATCCGAAAGCAGAAAACACTGCGTATACGCAGTATTTTCTGCAATTTCTCTTCTCATGTTCGACGACAGGGAATCCTCAATGTTGCAGTCCGGGCAAACCACGGGGTCTGTGCGTAATGTTATATACCCATTATACCATATTATACCATATTCCTATTCTTTATGATAGTATTAGTATATCCACTAACGCTATGGATCCAAAGACTTCCTTCCCGAAGGTACGAGTAGCCACAGAAATCATACCAGAAAAGTACTCGGACGGTACGGCTTGATCCATAGAGCCATATAGAACTGATATTTGATGGCACTAATCGAAGGTTAACCATCAACTTGATGGGATTTTTCATGGGACTTAATGGAGATACAATGGGATATATCACCAACCAGTCATATAATGGGAAGGTAAACCCTAAGATTCGATCAACTCAAGTCCCATTAAATCGGATCAGGCTACTTCGAAAAGAAAGGCGAGGTTCACGAGCTGCGGCAACTGCTTCGAGGTCAGGAGCAGAAGGAACGGACTGGATAGGGCAGAATCGAACCAGCAAAATATAGGAAAAATTGATGAAAACGAAGAAATCAAGGGATTGATGGTGGATTTCTATTTGGTAAGTTGGTTTATAATCAGGTTAAATATGGTTAAATTGGTTTTTTTGCATGGATATAACTATAGCTAGATGGGCTTATAAACCAACTCATAACTGGGGGCGGCACTTCCGGCGTATTTGTTCTTGCTATTTATAAACGGTGGTTTTCACTATCCAGCTAGAAATATTCCGTTTTTTTTGGTTGCAGGGTATCTAATGAGATTGGCCATAGCAATGTGTTGTCATTTGGATGAACAAATTCCCTGAAGTTTTCTCGTTTCCATCGCCATCCGTGGCATGTTTCAGGTGCCTCAGCGGAACGTGATCAGCAGAAGAAGAGAGATGCCATTAAAAAGGCCTGCCGTGCTTTAGGGCTTCAAACATGAAAGGGCATTGCGACATTGCCAATCTAAGATTTGGCATACTTTGATCAATCCTGTGAAAACAAGACAAATCCGCGAACCCGAATCCCCTCTCTCCCCCCCGGACCCCCTTCCGGAGCGTTCCCCAGCGGCCCTGCCATGGGGCAGTCGCGCGGTCGCAGGCCGAAACAGCGAGTGAACACACCCCCCGCCCCCAGACCCCCCACAGTTAAACGGGAACCCTTTGCTCCGCATTCGGGAAAAAAACAAATGTAGTGGGACCAGTAGGATAGTCCCATCTTCCCACCAGCACCTGGGTATGGTTCAGAATGCAGGACCCAGGGATCGCTGGAGCGCAACAACTCGATGAGAAACTCGAGTGTCACAGAATAAGACAGAATTGGTTTGAAGTTGAGGGGTATGTATATTATATATATATACACATTATATTATGGTTACACACATATAGTGGTACACTGCGTTTCCATTGTTGGTGCTGGGATACAACAAAACAAATCCTCTATATGTGTTGTTAAAACCCATCATTATCAATCCATCATGGAAGTTCAATAACTCACACCAAAAAATCTCTATGTTTTTGTTGATCTATTCCATGGGTTTCTGGTGTTTTGATGTATTTTTTTTTGCTGCACATCATCCATCGATCCATCGATAGGTCATTGCCTATATGACCCTGGGCATTGATGTGTCACCCCTCTTCAGCGAGATGGTCATGGTGACTCCTGGGCGCTGATGGTGATGGGAGCTGAGGGATTCCATAGATATAGGGGGGTTCCGCACATGGGGGATGTCCAAAATGGATCAAAATGGATGGTTTAGAATGGACAATTCTATGAAAATGGTGGATATCCAAAAGTTAATGGATGGTTTATTTCATGGAAAATCCGATCTTTTCTTTAATGGATGATAACTGGGGGACCTCCATAGAAGAAGTGCCCAGTTGCCATCGGTTGCCCCAAGAATCACCGGGCAGGTGTAGATCAGGTCAGTAAGATTCGGAACCTCAAATGGTGTAGCGCTCCTAAACGTTAAGTGTCATGAGTCATGAGTCATAAATGATAGTCCTGCCCGTGATCTGATGTTTGCCGATGGGCTCTTAACTGGAAATTAAATGAGCAAAACCCCTGTTGATTGATGATAATGTATGGTATTACGAGGTTACACTATCCAAACATATCTAATACATTGGGAATGATCACAAGCCATGATGGTGTATCAACCGTGGTAGATGTTGTTTTGAACAGCTGGTCAGTTGCAAACTGCAACCAGCGACAGCGGGGTTTTAGCCGACCACAACATCATCTAATCAGGTTGGTGGGTTCTCATTGCCAGACTATCAATGAGGTATTTGAATTTGCCATGCACATACTGCACAACGAGCATGGAAGAATACATACCATCAAGGCCTTTTGAAGCCACCACTGGCAGTATACTTAGACTAAATCCACAATTTATATCAATTGATAGATTTCCGGAAAAACCGGCTGTTTTTTTATTTAATTTAATCTATATGCACATATCTAATCTACCGAGCATATCTTATCATGTGGTTGGGAAACATAGCTCCAACTGGCGAAGGCAAGCGCCACCACGGATCTGGTGCAGAAGAAGATGGTGCGATGGGATGTCCTGCTTCTGGTTATATACAGTAATTATGAATGATGAATGGTGTCCAATAATCAATGATAATAATAAATGATAAATGTTAATAAATTGTTCAAAACATATTTTTCAGATTTATTTATAGTTCCGCATTGCAGGTTCCAATATGTTCCAATAATGAGTGATCAATGATCAATAGAAATCTACTGTATTGGAACCATCAAGTTGGTTATGGTTGGTTAATTCATGTGCGGTTCCCACAATTTCCTGAGATTTCTTCGAAAGGATGAATGGGTGTGGTTGAACATAGTTTATTTTTCAGCGGTGACATGCAGACGTTGAAATATTGCCTCTGGATTCTGGATCCATCTGGTAGATTCTCCAACGAAAAGAAAGTCCCCGTCTGGGCTCCGCCGGATCTGACGTATGTTTTGATGTTACGTATCCCAGGTATCGCTGGAGTTCAATACACTGCCATACATCATACATACAGACTACATGTTCAGCTATAGGGTCAAAACATTGGTCTATCTCGCATATCCAGCCAAATATCCAGTTGTCAACTCTCTGGCATCGACAAAATGTCCATGATATTCAGATGTTGGAAACATTGGCACAGTTTTTCTTTTTTGGTACCAGGGTTGGATTCAAGAAGTCTCTTGCTAGGATCATTTGGACCACAATTCGCTGGTCAGCTGGTGTTTGTGGTGCCCCCCCCAGTTATGTTTTGTTGGTTAATACAAGCCATTAACATCCGTTAACCATGGAGATATCATTGAGATGTCTGCCATCAATCCGTCTAAATCCTGGTTATCACCTTCATAATTCGTGTGCGGAGGTGTATCTGTATTTGGTGAACTACGCTGAGAGCAATTCGGATTTAGCCATCTTGGCGATCAACACTCTGCAGAAGGTCAGCCGGGAAAATCCGGGTCTTTTGAAAGTGAAATACTGAGTGCTGACAGATGTGACAGGTTGCTCTATGGATTAGTTTTGAGTCTGAAACAGTGGAATAGTGAATATGAATGAATATGATATACAGATGATATACATGCATATGATGATTCTATGTTCATATTCTGCCAAAAATTAAGTTTTTACAAAGTATATCTAAGGGTGGCTGGTATCAGAGTGGTGCTGACCGGATCGTCCCAATGGGATACAAAAGAGGGCTACTCGGCTGACCAACTGGTTTTGAACCAGTTACTACCTGCAATGATGTGTATATAAATATACAATAATATACATATGTAATGTTAGCTACAATGATTAGTGTCATGATACCCTATTGTGAGATTTGTTTTCAAAAATAATTCAGTTCGCTAAAATAGGAGGGGGGGAACTCTATTGTGAGAATTGGTTTTCGTTTTTTTCATTGTTTGTTACAATTATTTTTCAGTTTTTATTTTCAGATCCAATTTACTTTAAGAAGCCATATTCATGTTAAAGCCTTAAAACGCAAGGTTTTCCAAATAATGTGATGCCTTTTTAAACCCTTATTAAAAACAGCATCCAGACAATTTTTCAAGGGGGTACCCCACGAGTCGCCCAGATACTCAATAGTATAATTGTTTCGATGGTACTCTATTGTGCACAAAAACTTTTGGAGTGAAAAAAAACACAAAACCTTTTATTCACCTTTCTTTGGGTAAAGCTGGTCCATTTACTTTAAAAGCCATATCTATGTCAAAGCCTTAAAATGCAAGGTTGTCCAAATAATTAGATGCCTTATTAAATCCTATTTTTCAAGGGGGTACCCTATGAGTGGCCCAGATACTCAATAATATAATTGTTTGGATGGTACTCTATTGTGCACAAAAACTTTTGGGGCGAACAAAATCACAAAACCTTTTATTCACCTTTCTTTGGGTAAAGCTGGTCCATTTACTTTAGAAAGCCATATCTATGTTAAAGCCTTAAAATGCAAGGTTTTCCAAATAATTAGATGCCTTATTAAACCCTTATTTAAAAACAGCATCCAGACAATTTTTCAAGGGGGTACCCCATGAGTGACCGAGATCCTTAATAATGTAATTGTTTCGATGGTACTCTATTGTGCACAAAAACTTTTGGGGTGATTTTTTGGATTTGAAAGCAAAATCAATTGAAAGTAAATTGAAATCAATTGAAAACCAATTGAAAGTGAATTAAATCAATTGAAAGTAAATTGAAATCAATTGAAAGTATATTGATATTAATTGAAATCCTTACTTAAGTTGACTATCCTAAAAATTGTTGAGGGGGGGGCGCAAAAAAATGCGAGTTATTCAGTATACTCAAATTGTTTGAGGGGGGGCCTCACACTAATCAGTAGCAAACATTATTATAGTAAAAAACTATTCATACTTATTTGTAAACGTTTTCTCACCAAAAAATTAAACCACTAGAATCATTTCTGGGGTGTTTAATTCATCCAGTTGGGTAACATCCATTCCCACTGCTCACCCCCTTCAAGGCAGAGTGGTCGATCAAGATCAACAAATAACAATAAATGCATAAACATATTTTAAAATGACATAACATGTGTGTTGATAAAAATCAATATACAAAAATTTCCAAAATGGATGGTTCTCCCAGATGACCATCCATGTTGCCATCCCTCCCACATTCCCAAAGGACTGCCGCGACGATGACCCCATGATCCGGGGCTTGGCGCTGCGGTCCCTCTGTGCTCTGGCAGTGATGGCTACCCTCTAGTAACAGTAAACTCAAATGGTCTAAAATGGACCATTTTTAGATGATTTGCCGATCCAGATAATGATGTTCCATGGTCAGCAATGTCAGCTTACCAGAGGGTATGTGATGGGGATGGAATGTGAGTTTAATCAACAAATAGCTGCAACCAAAAATTGGACTTGCAAGCAAGAAACATAAACACACATCCCTTCCCAACAGTTTCTGCCATTGTTGAGTAAACCAATATAGATGAGATGCGGATACCAGTTTTAAGGCACACCAATTTTAACCAACAGTAATTGGGGTGGTTAAAGGCTATGTGTTGGGGACATTAACCAACATGCTATGGGTAATGTGGAGAAGCTCCGAACAGAAAACCAATGGTTTTCCACATGGTACAGATACCATTTGGGATCCATTTGGGTGTGCCTGAAAATTGTGTATACCCTGCAGTTATGGTCATTTTTTTTACAGATGATGAGAATCCATTGGGTTTTGCACCCGACCCAAGCCACAGGATCCCATGTCCCAGGTTCGTTAAGCTTAGCCAACATGGTGGAGTGCCCTGTCGTGGGCACACAGGAGAGCGTCGGGAATGGCCAGGACGTAGCCTTGTTTAGGTTCCATATGGTTCCATGCGAGTTTTCAAGAATGATTTTGTTTTGTTTACAGCAAATATGTCTTTCCTGGCAGTGCGAGCCAAGCATTTGCCCAACATTTCAACACAGCATTCAGGTATCTTCAACCTGCGGTGCAACGCGCTCTGGAGGTTGGGATGTGTGATCCATTAGCGTTTCAAAAATAGTATCAGAATGTACCAGAAGATGGTCCTTCCAAAGGATACGGATAAAGTATTCGCTCATCCTGATGGTTTGAGAGGGTTTTTGTGTTTTCGAGCAATCTTTTCGAAAAATCCGGAACATCATCTGGTTGGTGGTTTGGAACATGAATGTTATTTTTCCCATCATATTGGGAATGTCATCATCCCAACTGACTTTCATATTTTTCAGAGGGGTAGGTATACCACCAACCAGTATATATATTTATATATATATATTAATTTATATTATTATATTATATTATATTATAGTTTTTTATTATATCATATTATACTATATTAATGTATATTATATTAATGTATGTTATTGGCCATATTAACCACAATAACCATATAATTAACCATACTAATTAGCCATATTTTAATCATATATCTGAAGAGTGCCGATCTTTTGGAGTCAGAAGGAGTCTGGTGGACCCAGATATCGGAAAGCAAGGCATGCAGGTGATGTTAGTGAAACCCGACCGCTGGAATAACGTGGATTCACGTTATAAATCTACTTCTCCAACTGTGCAACAGTCCTAAATTAGCAAAGTAAACAACAAACTCCAAGTTCTCATAATGTTTGCAGCCCCAGATGGTGAGGAAAACACTGAGTATGATCCAATCTTAGTCCATTTGTTCTTGGGTTTACCACACAACCAGGACGTCAATGGCTACGTTCGGAAGACCGCGGTCATCGGAGTTTCGGGGCTGGCAAGCCAGGGAAGCTGTGGAGGTCCGTGGGTGTCCTTAGAGAATTTATTTAAGAAGCAAGAAAGTTTTTAGATGATTTAAATGGTTTTTCGATGATTTGAGGTGAATTCAACCAGCAACAATGGGCATTTTGAATCACAATTAAATCATGCAGGATTCGGGTTCGAAATGGCAGTAGTCTAAGTAGTCTAGTTAATCTACTGTAGTTGGAAATTTGTTGGAGGCAATGATGAATTCAAAGATATATAAACCCATTAAGCCACTGGTGGTGGTGCGATTGTGGTGCCATCTTTTGTTGGTTCAGTAGACATAATAATCTCAGGTGTACTGAGTACCAATCAAGGGTCTTCCAGTTGGTTCAGAAATGGTGTAAGAGCTTGGTTCAGTAATGAATAGTCTTCCCTGATCTGTACCTTTTTCACACTTGCCCTATCTTGCTGTGTGACATATGTTCCATCAAGTTTTACAAGCCAAAATGTAACCTTTCGCGACAACTAATCTGCCATTCACATCCATTCACAAGGTTTATCACTATTTGCCACCAGCTATCACAGCAGTTAGGCCTGAGCATTGTCAGTGTGAACCTTGGACCTGGCCTAGGTGGTGAAGATTTTCTACATCAATCCTTCGGTGGTGGCTTGGTTACGGTTGAATGGGCCGGGGTATTCGCTCGGTTGCAAGGTCACGGTTGAAAAAAGGTTGAGGACGGGCAAAGTGTTACATGGTTGCTTGTTTTATGCACTGCTACATTGACCATGTTTGAATGAGTTTTTGATAGTTTTTGAAGGTTGCTTCGGAGCCCCAATCGCTCATTTCTGTCCTGATTAACGCACTTGTGAACTTGTCGTGTCGTCTTCAAGAGTCGTCTTCCGGGGTGGCGCGGCGGGTAACCCAATCCCTGCTGAGAACGCGCTTGCCCCCTATACAATGTATTACAGTACTACAATTGGGTTTACGGGAACATTTGTAGGAACCCACTTATACATAGATATAAATTCCTTTTCCATCCTTCTTAATACTAAATACATCTAAATACCATCCTGGAAACCCTGGTTTAGTACTGGGTTTGTTCACTTCAATAAAGTATAATAAAGTCATACCGAGGGGGGGGTGAGGTTATTTAATATTCCTAGGGGGATGGGGTTATTTTGGGGAAGCCCTGGTTTCCTGCGAACCTTCCCTTGGTTCCCAATGTATTGGATAGTCAAACAGCTCCCCTATCTCCATGATCTTCAGCTGCACATCAACGGAAGAAAGTTTGTTTCTATATATTTGAAGTATCTAGCCCTAGTATATTGCAGTATATCCCAATGATTGAATGATTCGCATGCTCCAAGAAATTACCGAACATTTACATATATCTACCCTATTCACATTTACCCCATTCACATTTACCCTTACCCCTTTCACCTTTACCCCATTCAGACTACCAACATTGGCCCTAAAATTCACATTCATATATGTACCAACATTTACCATACATTTACCATACATTTACCAACATTTTCCCCAAGAATGATCAAGTCATGTGGGTTGCATCGAAGATGGGATAAAATCCTATCCCCTTCGTTCCTTCGTTCCTTTAGGTCACCGAGACAGAGTTGCTCCCTTCTCTGAAGCGGCCTCTTGGACATTGGGGGATCAAGGTCACCAAGAAGAATATGGATATAAGATGTGTACAAATGTACGGAATATACATGATTCATATACAGTATGTATATATATAACACATATAATCACATATATATATACATATACATACACACATATGTTTACATCATGAGATATTTACTGGGGATATCAGAGATTATCACTGAAGAATATGATGGTATTAATATCTGTCTTGTCCGAAACTAGGGTGATATTTTCGATTTGTGGCGAAATCTCAGCTGGTTTCGCCTCAGGTTGGTGAACGACAATGACGCTCACGTCGTGTCCAACACTATTTCTGCGTTAGAGGAGGCCATGCCGCGGTATATTGACCCAGGGCGACCCAGGGTGAGCTAGGTATTTGTAATGCATTTGTTGTAGTATGTTGTAATCCTGTGATCTTCTTTATGTTTGTGTGTTTTTGTTGGCCCCAGCAGTTCATAGTTCATGCACGCAGACTACAGTGAAATCTACATGTAGAATTATTAAATGTATATATATATATGTATAACATAGCATAAACTAGCTATGTACTATTGATATGTGTTTTCTGCATCATATAATTTACATCTTTGGCGCAACCGGACATATTTCACAGATATGGCACGCACACAAACGCCCAGGTGCTGGCAGCCGAGGGTGGCTACATGCCCAGTGAGGAAGTGGCCGCTCTGACATGGCTTCGGAAGTACCGCCCGAGCGTGCCGACGCACAGGTCTGTGGAAAATCCATGGTTTCCCTAGGAACATAATTTACAGATGCTGGGTTTTCCACATCTATGTTAATTTACAGGACCATCCGGTAACATTTGGAGCATTTGTATGCATGTGGTTCGATGATTTAGCTATAAAAGTGATGAATTCCGTGAATTCCAAAATAGGTTATGTAGTTTACTGGAGGGTAACATGCAGTTATGAATATCAGAGGATAAATGGAGATACAATGGTTCATGGTAAAGATTGGGACACGTTTTACCATTAACCTCCAGGGTACACCTCCAGGGTCTCAAGATTTGGTGATCAAAACTGCTAGAAAGATGGTGTCATGAATATCAAAGATAAATGGATTGATGCAATAGCTTCCCCCCAGTGATCATGAACGGATCGAGCACTACGGCAGAGTTTTTGAGGACCTGTTGGTGATTAGGGGCAAGGCATTGGCTGTTAGCAAAATGATTAGTGGCTTCGAATGGAGCATGTTTGCATATATTACTCCAGTTCTAAGTTGCTTTACGAAACATTCATTCATTTCAGGGTTCGTTCGAGTCAGAATCCTGATGGGCGAGACGTTACATGGTTTCCCCTCGCGACCCGGAAAATTGTGTCCAATGAAATGTTCCCTCGTTGGATATGTTCCATATCAGATCTCCATCTTAAATTTACTTAGATTACAGTCATCGGGAAATAGGTTCCTAAGACTCAGAATCATGTACAGTGTCCCGAACATTGGATGTTGTTCTTCTCAAGACACAATTGTGTGGGTGATTTCTAGCTGTATGTTTTTGAAAAGGCTTGTACATGCTTATGCTAACAGTTGCAAACCTAAACGTGTAGTTCTGTGTTTTTTTTGACAAAAAGGACATATTCACGGAGTGTGCTCACATTAACATATTCCGGAGGTTGGTGTGGTGAGTTGGGGGTTGGGGGGTTGGGGGATGCAATCACGTTCTGTTGCCCTGCATTCTTCCAATGCGCTCTTGATGCTACGCTCTTAATTTTCTTAAGTAACTGGCAACACGCTCATGATGCTGCAATCTTCACTTTCTCAGGCAACTTGCCACACGCTCCTCATGCTAAGGTCTTAACTTGTTCACTGTCTCAAATAACACGCCATTTGCTCTTGCTTATGCTACGCCCTTAACTTTGGAAAGTAACTTGCCACGTGCTCTTGATGCTACACTCTTAACTTTCTCAGGTAGCTGGCAACACGCTCTTGATGCTGATTACGCTCTTAAATTTCTCACATAACTTGCCTCATGGTACGGTCTTAAGGGGTGGCGCTGTGGTTTCGTTGAAATGCCTGAACAAACGTCTTTTCTTGTCCCCTCGAAATGGTTTGTGCTTTGTGCAAACCACAAAACTCTGTAAGGGCCGTGCATTTCCAACGGGATCCGGGCGGACGTTTGTCTTGAAACCGGAGTTGCAATGAAGTCACAATGACCCAGCCATGACAAAATCTTGATTAATTTTGCATATGTTGCCCATATTTTGCCTAAGCCCAGACTCTCCACTCATCATTTCTGTATTGGCCACGTATATGGCATGTTGATCTCTTGCTGTTTTCATGTTTGATTCAGCTGCGTTCTGAAATGTTCTGAACCTGAAATATCCTCCCAAATCAACTCCAGGTGTCCTTTATAAAACGCTCCGCACTTTCCTGATGGCCAGATTACTGGCTTGTTGAATCGCATCATGCATTTCTCTGAGTGGGGCCAGTGTGCCATCTTGCGGCTCCTGACCAAGTGACCAGGGGCCATGGTTGGGTGGCATTGAACCAGTGGATGGAAGTGGATAGTTTAAAATCCCTCAGCGGATAAAGGTGGCTTTAGGATTGCTTTAGGACTAAATTTACGTGTTACCTTTTTGAGATCCAATCAACACAAAAATAATATCCGAGCGAATCAATCAAATTTCATGAACTCCTAGAATGTGGGGTCTTAGCATTTTCTCTCTCATGTATCTCTAGGGTTCTTGTTTGTTTGCTGCTTCACAGCATTCGTGGGACGAAATTGGAAACTATCTTAACATCTTTGAAACCTCATAGCCTTCAGTTTTTTTCCATTGCCAAAACACAAGACAAAATTTTGACTGGAACCTAAAGAATTTAGAGTAGATGAGTAGTGCCTTTTTTTTGCCTTTTTGTCGTCAAAGCATCCGTGGTTCCAGACTAAGACCAGACGGGCATTATTTTTTTCTCCGGATATGTGTAGTGCTCCAAGATTTTCTCACATAAATGGGCCCTGTGATTTGGGGGCTATCACTGGTAATCATCAATAGCCTCAAGTGTTTTGAGTTGTCCTCGGGGCAGGGTGGTTTCGGCCTTGGATGTCAGGTACAGTGTGGCCAACGAAGGAGAGATGTTTGACATCATGAACATCCTGGATGGTGCCTGGCTGAGAGTCATTTTGAAGGTTGGAACCCGGAAGGCATGTCGTAATATGTCGTAATTGTGTACGTTTCGGTTCAATTTGCAGGGTGAAATTCCAGATGTCTCGAATGGTTTTGGATCAACTGAATTTGATGTTGAAAGCAAGTTTGTTGAAACTGACATGGTAGAATGTTTCAATGCTGGGACGGTTCATGGAGTTAGTACACGGGCAGTTCTTGGGAAGATCAGATACCTGGCCGTTTGTATCCCTGAAGCACCCCTTGATTAGGTCCTAAGCTTTTCTGGCAGACCATTCCGAGATCCAAGAAGTATCGATTGATGGCAGCCAAGTGATCAAGCAGGTGACCATGCGGTGGGACCATCAGATTCGTTCCATTTCGTTCCCAAAAACCGGCGGAACGTCGTTCAAATACGAGGGAAACCGTTGCCATCTATGCGGCCATATATTGAATGGCTGGATTGGAACCACGGACCATAGCCCACTTCTGGCCAAGAAACTCTATGCTTGGTTCCCAAACTATCCAAATGGATCCAAATCGTGCAGAAACATCCTATTGTAGGGTATGGGTCTCTGAAAATAGGGTACGCATTGTATCCACTGCTGAATTAATCATCCTTTTCCCCATTAAACTCGCAATCCATTGGGGTACAGCATGGTACAGCCCAGTTTCAGGTTCACTCTCAGACTCTCAGTGAAAAAACCTTGGGGACTGGCAGAAGTTGGTATCCAGACAGCAGTAAAACCGGACACCGAGATTTGCTGAAGCAGTCCAGCAGTGCAGTGGTCCTTTCCGTGACCAAGGCATGGCAACTGATGGCTATCTGAGGGGATATACCCTGAAAATATGGCCATTGGATGTCATTGGTATAAATATGTATAAATGATACAAGTATATACAAGTCACAAGCCAAACATGAGTGGGGTATCATGGGATATTCAGGTGCTCAGGGCTTGGTTGATGGTTGGACAAGAACATCCTTACATTGGATGATGATTTCGAAGGACCAATCAGTGTGACTGACGTATGTTGATGAGGGCTTTTGGGGATCATGTGCAGAAGATTGAGAAATTTCAGACTTTTGGAGCGGCACCTCATATCGCATGCTGCGATTTCAGGATTTGTTGGAAGAAAGCAAGGAATGAGCTTTGCCACCCTGCAAGATACTTGTTCGATGGGAGAAGTTCCCATCCCAACAAGAGGGAACATGATCCCAGTTGAGCAAAGTCTTGCTCAGAGTGAGGGGATTCTTAGGACCAGGGAAAGCTATGGTATGAGGATGTCTAAGGCCGATTTTCCTATGCCTTTCTATTATTTCGTCCCAATCTTGGAATCGAAGCCATGAAAAAAGAACCAGCGATCCACTGCTGTTCGCGTGCAGATCTTTGTGGACTTGACCAGCAATCGCCCTGACATCCAACAAGACGTGCTGATGAGACTCAAGGCGGGAATTGCATGGCTGGGTGAATACGTCGCAGCAATCGATCGCGGAAAATCCATCAAGATCCCGTTGTGTTTGTAGGAAAATAACATTTGTTTTGCATTTTGCACAGCTGCAAACAGTGAAGTCATCCGAATCCTAGGCTAGGCCCCTGGTCTAGCAAGGGGGGAACCTTGGTTACAAAGAGACTAGTTCAAGAGCGCAACAAATCTGTGAGTTCAAAGTTTCAATAAAAGCACGAGGTTTCCAATTGTTTTTGAATGTTTTTGATATACCAACTTGTTGCTACACTTGGACTACGTGTTGCGTAGTCTTTGCGTAGGCGTGTTCAATATTCAATACAGCTTTGTCCACCTAGGCTATCATTGCTATGGCATCGGCGAACCATGAAATAAACACAGCCCAGACCAGACAAAAAAGATCAGAAATACAAAACTATGCAGTTCCTCGAATTGCTCGTTTGTTTCCAAAATCAGACAAAACATGAACTCTGGGACATACCAAGAGTGTTTTTTTTTGGCGGTGGTCTCACTTCCAGAAGGATCTCTGAAGTCAACGACATGTCAAAATCTTATGAATTAATTAATTCATGACTTATCGGATTATGTGAGCTTGTCCAAAAAAATGACCCCAAAACTGCCACCTTAAAAACATCTGGTTCGCATGGGTGCGCTGCAAGGCAACGATAGACAACCCATGAGTCCACCAGATGTGGGTTTTGCCAGGGGCCACTGCTGACGTTGATGGCTGCTTCTAGCATGGAGCTGGCCTACACTGTCGCTGTCGCCCAGGATCAACGCTCCAAATTCAATGGGATGAAGATCGTCAGTAAATGATGGGTTGTCCAGCAAACCATGTTTGATTGCCAGAGGGTAGCAATCTACCATAATCTACCATATGGGATGTGAATGGATATGACTCATACCCGAATTGCGATCAGCTGAGCAACACGACTAACATGACTAACATACTGATATTTTTTGCAGCTGGGTTTTTCCATCTACCTGGTATGGTCATCCCAATATATGCCCGTTGACCAATATGTTTGGGAGGGGTTGAAAACACACATCCGAAGAAATCTGGAGCCACGTCTCTACAATGATCCGCCACTATCAGCTATGAATCTTGTGCTACCATCAAATACCCCCTTTTTCAATCTTTTTCATGGGTTCTCTGTGGTTACCGAATGAAGCCAGACTGATCCAGTTAAAAGATCTTAAAAGATATGAAAAGTGGCATGGGCCTTCACAGGAAAAAGCGAACTGGTGTCTTGCACAACCCCACAGGTCCTTTTTAAAAATCGATGGGTTTCTCCCCGAGTCCTCTCTGAGGTCTTGGTTCACATCCATGCTTTGATTAGTAGAGGGCCTCGGCAAGTGGAAGTCGGCTGCCCAGAGTTGGGTGATGTGTCATGGCTTGGCAAATGTTGGCAATCGTGGCTTCCCAAAAACATGAGAGGACAGCTAAGATACTATCGATATATAAGACACTTAAAGATACAGTAACTAATACTACGAGATAATTCTTGTTTGAGAGTGGCTTTGAAAGCTTTGACCCGCCCTCGGTTTGTGACAACCGCTGCAGCCTTTTGCTTTCCAGCGTCAGCACTGCTCTTCGTTTCTCTTCCCCCTTGGTCGCTATGGCATCCATCACAAAGGAGGAGGTCGCAAAGCACAACAAGGCCTAGCTAATCCCAGACCTCAGTAGGTGACATCACAAAGATGATTGTCTATTGCATACATTATGATGCTGATTGTTGCTGCGGGTATTGTGAGTCTGTGGAAGCCGTCCGTCAACGGAACTGACCAAAATCATGAGAGAAATATAATGTGTAATGCGATGGTGGACCAATGGTGGAGGCTACGCATAGCTGAGAGGTGCCATGTTGGGACCAGATCCTTAAGGATTGGGTCCCGCGAAGCCCTGAACAAAGGATCACCCACACCTAATCTGGGCATGTGTTTGGGAAAATCGCATATCCTTGTAGAATATTACTCAAATTGAATCGAAACTAAATGTGTTCAATCCAATCTGTTTGAGCGGTGTGAAACCCCACGGACTCAGCAATGTGTGTTCTTTTTGCGCCTGGTGTTGAGTCACAGGCCGATGATGCTTGGATCATCGTGGACGGAGATGTGCAACATGGAGCAAGGTCAAAATGATGTAATATAGTCGATATACTGTCGATATAGTGTTAAGACCATGGTAGTATGGTATAGTTTACCTATACCTATACGGAACCGCCAGACCTAAACAGTGATGAATCTGTAATTAATCTATCCGGTGGTGAAGAGGAGCAGCTCGGAACTACGAATTGAGTGTCCCAACCGCTAGGAATACAGAAACTGGATGGCTTTACAGTCCCTTCCGCCAATCATACGAACTTCCCTCAAAATGAAACCCTGGTTGAATACTATCCTTGGATTTGATATGATCCGGGGATCAGAATCATGTAATATTTGATTTCTCATCATTCCCATTCTTGGTGTTTCTGTTTATTTCTTCGTTATATACCCATGTTGTGTGGTTAACAACACCAATATTGGGTTGATGGAATTCCTAAGAAATTAAGAAGGAACAAATCTGTGGATCCAAAGCTCGTTTCCATCTATTTCCATCATTTTCCATCTATTTCCATCAAGCCAGGCCCAATCCTTCAGATCACAGGAAAGATCAGGAAAGTCATTGGTTCCGTGACAAGTCAGCAGGTCATCCTATGACGACAAGTCTTTTTTTAACCGATCCAAACCGAAGCTCCAGGTATGACGTGACGAAGTTCGCAGGCGTTCACCCCGGCGGTACGCAGATTTTACTGGAATATGCCGGGAAGGACCGGTTGAAGCTTTTTTTCCCAACAAACCGCCGGCTTGCCAGGCTGGGGGCCCCCAAATTAGAAATGTTGGTGTATCATGTGTATCAACCCATTCAACTGTATCCATGAAATAAATAAACCCTAGCTTGGACCTGGTTCTGAATATAAACGTGTATATATAATTATCTATATATATATTGTATTTATATATTATATATATATTATATATATTATATATATACATACATATAAACCATAACATAATAAACCAAGTTAACAAATATAGCGGTGCTGTTCCTGTAGGTAGGGACACAACCAACACACTTTCCGGGGTTTAACCAGCTATATACTGTGTATATATATATATAGTGTTGATACTCTAGTTTTACATCCAGGAACGGGAAACCTGGTGTGTTGGCGTAAAATGGCGGAAATGGTGGATGCACCCTGATTCAGGACACTTCTGTGGTTAGGCCTCAAGATAAGAATCAAAGAATCGTTTTTCAGTGGAAGAAATTGATGGTTTTTGATTTCGAACATGTTTGATGATTCAACAAGATCTGAGAAAACAGTGTACTTTCATATACTGTTATTTTAAAGATTGCTTTTAAGCCAACAACCAGATCTATGGCTAGTGTAATATAGGAGTCAAAAGTCCCGATACTTCCCGCCGCAAGCAAGATAGAACAAATTGGACCAAAATTGGTTTGGCGTGTAGACAATACATTGTCCATAGGGAAAGATGACTTCAGACCAGCACTAAGACCATGATGGACCTGCTAAACACTCTCTCCTGTTGTGTTCTGTCATTGTGACCAAAGTATGCATTGGATCGCAGTTTGTCGCGTTGGATAATTGAGTGGAAGGCCGTATATTCACATATCCATACATATCCATCATATGCAGTATCTGGTTGTTGGTCTCACATATTGTTTATTGTTCAACCACATTTCCGATGATGATCAAAATTGATATGTGTTTTTTGGATTTTTTTGGTTGAAAGAACCAACTGGATATTTACCATATATGTAGCATATAGACACACCCCAACTTGATCCGGGTCCAAGTCACAATTTGTCAGGATGCAACAGAGGACTTCTATGCCCTGCACAGGTGCGTCTTACTCGCTGAGCCACTAAACATAGTTCTGTTGATGGGTGAATTTGTAAGGGGCTATAATAAGCCCATGATAGGGATATTTGCTAACCAACCAGTCTTTCCTGGTACGAGTTTCATCGTTCAAGTGATTTCCTTTTCGTCTCTTCTGCTTGCTCCTCTCCTCTTCTTTTCCATGCTGGTCCCCAATACCCACTGCTGGACAGCTGTGTCCCCTTCTGGCCTATCACAAAAAGAGTCAGAATCTGTCTCAGTGCGAGACAATATTCCAGATGATATGTCGGACGGTACGTCAGTATGTTTCAGATGATATGTCAGAAAATACCTCAGATAATCTGTCAGCTAATGTGTCAGCACATATCTGGGAAGAAACGTGCGAGAGTATGCCAGAACAAATACCAGATACAGACTGACAAGATATATAACATATACAATTATATACACATATACTATGACATATATCAGATACACACATATCAGATACAGACATATCATATCATATCATATCATATCATATCATATCATATCATATCATATATATATATATATAATTTTGACATATATATATATAGTATATCAATAGTTCTGTCAATATTTTCTGAGGCCGGGGATCACCGGGATCACCAGAGCATGACATGGCTGTGTTGGGGATTCAGCACCAGAAACCGCATCTATTTTGGGTGCCACCTTTGGGCTGGTATTATCCCATTTTTTGTTACTTAAATCATCTTAAATCACCATTGAATCACTGTTTGTTTAATCAAATCACCATCGAATCACTATTTCTTATGGTTAAACCAGGCCATTGAAACACTATTCTTGACGCTTTCACCATGAAATCACCACGAAATATGGAAGATCTCCATGGTTTCGATGGTCGAGGCTTGAGGTGCTGGACAAGTACCAACGCCTGAAGAAGGGTCGTTTGGCAGATGCTCAGGGACCAGCACCCAAGAAGGTCGGGAACGGGACGGGACGGAACTGGGAAAACGGTAACCCGCTTGGTGGTCTCTGAGGTTCCTGAGATGTATTGATATGATTCAAGATGGTATATTATATTAAGATATATTAAGAATAATGATAATAGTATGATAATAATATAGTACAATAATAGTAAAATAATAATATAGTGTAATAATAGTAGTAATAACAATAGTAATAATAATCGTAGTAATAATGTTAATAATAATAATCGTAGTCATAATGTTAATGATAATAATAATAATAGTAATAATAATAATAACCATACTTATTATTATTTACTATTATAATATACATATTGATATATGTAATATCATATATTGTACATATATATATAATAATTAGATATGTGGCTGGTGATTTTTTAAGTGCTTTCTGTTCAATTTCTCATTTAATATACCCCCACAGAGATCAGTGGCACATCTTCAGCTTCTCACAGGCCTCAGAGGTGATTCAGGAGTTCAGCAAAGTGCCCTTCGCAGAGCCCTCGTGACTCGTGCGAAATTTGGACGGGACCTTTGTGGGTCCAAAATATGACGGTTTTACCCTGGGGGTAAACCAACATAGATGACCAGAAATGTGGAACACCTATGGTTTCCCTAGGAAAATGATCTATAAATGTCCGATAAATTGGGAGTCAAAATTTAAGAACCACAACCCAACAAAGAATATCAAAGCATGATGCTTCAAGCTAGCAAAAAATCGTGGATGGAACCCACCCAAGGTGCAGGTTAACATGGCAATTTGGGTACGAACAAACCCCATACATCACATGTTCGGACCGGTCTACAGCGGTAAAGTTTGGGCAGCCTAAAAAGCTCCTAGTTTGTCAAAATAGGAAACTTACGTATTCAGCGTGCTCAGAAGCAAGTTCCCTTACTTTCTAGCTCTTCTATGGGCAGCTACGGCTGGAAAGCTCCTGTTCAGCACCGATCTAGAAATTGAGTCATCAAAGCAGGTCCTGTTGTCATATCAGGCCGACGTAAAATACAGTATTTTTTTATTTCAGACGACGTCAATATTCCAGCTGTAAAAATTATTTAATATAAGCAACGACCTGCGAAATATTTTAAATTGTACAGATCATGGCTATGATACTGTAGGAGAAACCATCCTAAATCAGAATTTCATTGTTGAGATCATTATCATTTACCATAAAATCAAACCAATTTTGGTTGAACTAGTTCTGATCCATACTGTGCTGCCTGCTTTGTGTCGTCTGCTCTGCGGTCTGGGTCAAAATGCTTTCGAACATTGGGATGCTTGGCATGAATATTGGCCTGAATGACCCAAATGAGTGGTTCTGGGAGTCTGAATCCTTGCCCGTGCGGGACGTTATCCATTTTTCGGGTGCCAAGCTGACCCAGGGCGTAAGATAGTCGAATTTCATGTTTTTCCCCAAGATACAGGATCAGTTTTTTTCCTCAGATGAACAACTTCAAAGGGTTAAAAGGTCATGACTCAGACTTTGATCTTGAAATGCTTAGCCTGTGGAGTTATTTGGGCAACACTCCACTGGTACGGCATGACGTTCACCTGTTAAGCTCCACTGAAAGTGTGGTGAATCGGTCCCCATTTCTTGGTCGGCCCTATTTTCTTCCCAAAAAGTCCGAACAAAAATCATCATTGATAATCATTACATCATCATTGATCACACTTTTGGGTGGCCAGATTTGAGCTTCTTTAAGCCCAGAATCTCTTGGGGTGGCCAGCCCTGGCCCAGCCTTCCAGCCGCCGAGGTATTTGCAGGGCTTCAAGTCGCCCTACTTCAACGAGACCCACATCAAGCTGCGCCAGGCACGGCTCCCGAAGTCGACCGTGCTGTTGGTGATGGGGAGATATGTGTAGAGGCAACCAAAAGACAACATGATATGATGAGAGAATATGAATGATGGTAATATATGGATATATATGGTAATATTATATAGCAATAGTAGTAATGTAATACAATTTATGTATACTGTATATATCTGATTATATATATATATAATATCTGTACATATTGGATACGTTATATTCTATACTTTATATATGGGCAATGCCCAGGCAAAGGCTGTGTATAGATGATATAGATATGGTTGTATATGTATGTAGAACTATATGCACATACATGTAGAGAGAAACACAAGAAATGGCCCCTCCAGATAGCAACTTGGTCTTAAACTAGGCTGAGGAGGATTTATGGTGTATATATCTGCAGTTGGATCGGCTTATAAACAAAATTCTTTGTATGTGGGGTCCATTAGCACCCTTTTTGAACCGCTTTCACGGCAAACTCTCAGGAGGCAAGGAAGTTCTTCGCTGGCGAAGTTTGGCGAAAGCGACGGGGAAAGGGTGTGGATTACGCCAAGGGGTAGATGTGGGAAACCCAATCATAAGCCATCACAGGACCATCCCCAATAATTGGCCCAATATGACCATAAATGGTTTGGCTATGTTTGGCTTATTACTGGGTTTACAATGGTTTACATGGGTTTGTTTACCACAGTAATGCCGCAGTGCTTATACCACGGATGATGATGGATTACATGGAATACCATTGTGAGGAATCGTTGAGTACCATATGCATCAGCCATGAAAGGATGTCAAGGTGGGTTTCCAAGCTCTTGCCATTGTACGATCCACAGAAGCAGACCTTAAAGGCATAAGTCTGGTTGGTGGTTTGGAACATGTTTTTTCCATATATTGGGGATAATAATCCCAACTGACTAATATTTTTCAGAGGGGTTGAAACCACCAACCAGAAGTCATTGAAGGCCTTGGTGGTCTGAAAATAGGACACCGTACCACATACCCCGAAGTCCATATTGAGATTAACATATTTTATTTTAGGGTATACATTTTTTTGGACACACCCACCACTTTTGCAATTGATACTGTAGCTATCGTTATAGTTACCTCAAATGTCATTTTATATCAAATAGTGTGTACCATTGCTTCAAGTTTTTTGTTCAAGCCAGTTTAGGTTCCAATTCTGTTGTGATTCATAGGAGTCTTGTTCGGAATGGCCCACAACCACAGTGATTTCAATTTCTTCATGTATCAATCCTAGTCGGTCTCATCTGTGGCTTCCAACGGTTTACAGGTGCCAGTTGGGGTTTCCATGATATCACAAGCAGCGGCCTGTGCTTCTTTGAGGGTATTTGTCTGCTACATGTGGGTTTGGCTCCAGCTAAACCGCAGATGGTGAAGAATTTCGTGGGTCCATTGGTACCACATCCCCACCGTTGTATCCCCATTGTATCCCCGTGAAATCCCCATGAAATGCCCAAAACATGGCCTGAAGCCTGGGGATTCCCATTTCTAGTGAGGAAAGCATGGAGGAAGCCCTGGAGTGTGAGCAGAAATCCACTGCACCCAGCAAGGCGCCCGTTGAGAAGTCACCTTGGGATAGACTGGGGCCTGGTGGTTGGAAATGATGGATGAATTCGGATCGATTGGGGGGAGAATATTTTGTGTTTGTTTTGGTATATCCCTGGTTGGTGGTTTCAAACATTTTTTCTTTTCCATACTATATGGGATAATCCTTCCCATTGACTTTCATATTTATCAAGATGTTTTTTCACCACCAACCAGATCCTATCCCAGCAATGAAATTTTACCTTGGTATCTGGTGTCCGGCGATCCGTTCATTGATTCTGTCGCCTTGGTTGTTAAGACATGTTAAGACCATGGTGTGTGGTGAATTCAAGTTAATTTCCCCAATGTTGCTTGGATATGGCGGTGTTTGAAAATTTGGGTACTCACAAAATCCAATGGTTTTATGATCTATAATCATGTGCCCTTTATAAATGGCGATCAATTGGGATTTCGCGCATTTTTAACCACCCAAATCCTGGAGTGTTGGTTAGTTATATCATGTTATATCACATTAATTCCGGCTAAATCACCATACATTTTCACATATAGTGTATATTGATGTTTTTTAATCATAAAATTACATTCCATCACCAGGAAATCACCATCTGTTCAGAACGCCAGAACCCTCAAGCTTTTGCCCCAAGCCAGGAGATGCGCAAGCGCATGGGCGAGCTGGGCTTGATTGCCATGGTGCAAGGTCCAGGGCCCCATCTGAAGTGCCTTGGCAAAGCGGGGACCCGGGGAAGCAGCAGCGGCGCGGGTTTCGCTGCACACAGAGGTAGCATTTGTTTTTATCTGGAAGATTCATGAATATTCAACTAGTAACCATCTATTTGGATATATTTAGTCAATTGGGATTTTAACTAGCTGGAGTGCTTGGGATCAGGATTCTTCTATAATTATGATATAATTACTGAAATCTGTATTTGTATACGGTAACATATTCAGATATTGCATGCATCTGGCAGCGACGGTTTACAAATGGGCTGTTTTTTCACCTAGCTGCAAACTGTGGAAACAAACACGTTTGGTGTTTGCGAAGCGCAGAAGCAATCACCACAGAACAACATATGTTTGAGGACCGTGCAGTTGCCCAGCTTAATCTAACATTCTGTGGATGGAAGAAATCCTGCACCAGCTGGTAGATGGTTTATCATCCCATTATTTACAGTGTCATAGTTACTAATGGTCAAGAATTTCTTCCATCAGTAGGTGGGGATGGGTGGAAAGGATGGCAATTATGCATGAATATTAGCGGGAGAACTTGAGATGTTCCATCTATGCCTAGCTGGTTGGTGGTCTATGCTGACTTTCCCTTGTGATTTTCACCCCAAGTGGCAAACCAGCGCTGGTGCTGGGCGGCTTGGTGCTGGGCCCCATGAACTGACATCACGAATCTCACAGCTGTTTCTATGACAATAGCGTGTTGGCGATAGCGGACCCCCCTGGTTTCTCTTGGTTTCTCTTCCCCATGAATCTGACTATTTCGGTATGTCCCATAGTATCCCCCAATTTCAAGGGACATCTCCAGTGTTCAACTCATGTTTCGTGACGAGGATTCCCCCCAAGGGCCTTTGCGGTGGAGTGGTGAAGCCGGAGGAGTACCTTGGTGCTCGGCATGGCCTCGATTTTGTTTTCAGGATATGGTCAATATGGTGAGGGAAAAATGACAATTTTCCAGGGTTGCTCCAACCATCTTCAACCCTCTATATAACATATATATATATTATATATATATATACATATATGTGTGTGTAATATTACTGGATATATTTAGTGTATATATATATATACATATAATTACGTATATATATATACATAGGTGAATGATATAGGTGAATGATAGATTTGGTGAGTTTACTGTACCTTTTTAGTTCGTGAGCCATTTTGTAGCCTTGTTGAATCCCAAACAATGAGATACAATTGTGGCGTGGTGTTGCAACTGGTTGGTGTCTTCCCATGAGTAACATCACTAAAATCACTAACCTAGTTGGGTGGCTTCATTGTGCTTTTATGTTCAACATGTTTCAACCATGTTTGGGGTGATGATCCAAAATGACTTCTATGTTTCAGGGGGGTGAAAGCACTGATTTCAGCACTGATTTCAGAGGTATCTCAGTGGAGAAGAACATAGTCCCTGGAGTCAGCATATTCTGCTTCACCCTTTCATGCAGTCAATACAACTGAACAAAAACTGGAAAAAACTGGAATTACTTTACTTCCAGTGATCCCCCCTGGCATCTTATTTCAACATTCTATCTGGCATCCATTCTGGCATTCTATTTGGCATCTATCCTGACATTCTATCTGACATATGTTCTGGCATTCTGCCTGGCATTCTATCTGGCATCTATTCTGACATTCTATCTGTCACATGTTCTGACAGTCTGCCTGGCATTCTATTTGGCATCTATTCTGACATTCTATCTGTCACATGTTCTGACAGTCTGCCTGGCATTCTATCTGGCATCTATTCTGACATTCTATCTGTCACGTGTTCTGACAGTCTGCCTGGCATTCTATCTGGCATCTATTCTGACATTCTATCTGTCACATGTTCTGACAGTCTGCCAGAATGAATTGCACTGCCGGTGACAACATTGAACAACGAGCCATTGAACTTGTTTCCAACCTTGGGCTGGCATTCTATCTGGCATCTATTCTGACATTCTATCTGACATATGTTCTGCGGCATTCTCTTTTGCATGTGTTAGGGCACAGGCGTGGACCACAGCACCTGGAGATGGTGATATGGTGTTCAGGTCCAGGCGTGGCCCACTGCATCCCAAGATCGCCACATGGCTCGGCGGAGAAGGTGGACGAGGACGAAGAAGGAGAACGAGGGGAGAAAGAAGAGGAAGGAGGAGGAGTTGTACCTTTGTTAAAATCTAGAGACCCTCACCTGGAAGGTGGGGAAAAAATAAATCACCCCAAAGATTCCATGGTTTCTGGATTTTTTTTGATTTTCATGGGGTCCAAGCACCCCCCCACCGAATAATAAAGGCTTATTGAGGGCATATTAACCGTCATCACTAATCATGATCGCTTTTTGGGTGGGTTGGGGGTTGGTTGAATCCCTATGAGGATTTTAGTTGCCTTCGAGGTTCACCTATTTCCACGAGATGGTCGTGCAGGAGGAGCGTTGCCGCACCATGTGCCCTGGCTACGAGGATGGCTTGGACGGCGCCGTCTCCATCGGCCTGCCGGTGCTGCTGAAGTATGGAGCCTTGGAAATGCGATGACGTGATGACAGGATTTAGTACATGTATGTGTATATATATATATATACGGTAACCGTATATATACATGTGTGTGTGTACTCTAAGACTCTACAATATCTAGAATATAACTAGTGGATAGATATATAACAAATCATATAGATATATATATATATATAATTATATATATCAGTGTTCACAAGTTTGGGAGAGGCAAAGTATTCGAATCATGGCCGCCATCCACCACCTCAAGTCAAAAAATCCAGATGGGTATCCTCGTCGCTCCTTTACGCGCCATAGCCGTGCTCCAGGGCATAACGCTAGGCATTTTACTCTGGGAAACCAGTGAGCATCGAGTGTTGCGCAACCAGTTGCAGACTGCACTTAGGGAACTAGAGGCCATCAGGGAGGAGGAGATCCAGTTGATAAGGTCTGGTGCACCCATTTCTGATCCGCCACCAGGGGACAAAGCTGCTGATCTGGTTGAGAAGCCGAAAGGTAGTATCTGGTACTTTGGTTGGGGGTCGGAGAGCGAGGTGACAAGTTCTTTCTGGTTGCTCATTCCTCTGGTCTCGGTGCTTGTTTTTCTTTTGTTGGCTGGTAAACTCTGGATCTGGGTGAACGGTCAGAGAGAGGAAAGCCGAGTGACCGATAGTCCAGTCGCCAAGCAACAGTTGGCCAAACGTCAGCTTGCAGAACTTCGCCTAAGGCAACATGGCATTGGTAGGTAGAAAAGTCCTAGTGCATTATGCTGTAGGGGGTCCAAGACTTTGGCATGAGAGATATGTGTTAGCTCATGTTGCTGGGGATACGTACATGGTGGCTACGCCAGATAGAGACGTATATCCAGAGGAATTGGGCCTCTTGAACACGGACATTCGAACTTTGAAGGTGAGACCATTGAATGGAGCAGTGCCAGTTGGCGTGAACGCGGCGGAGATTTACGGCCTGCCTAACTGGGCGCCAGCCGAATTGCAGGCTTTACGAGATGAGGCCCACCAACAGATGGGGCCAGCAGTTCCTGTAGCTCCTGTTGCTGTTGCCGCAGCTGCGGCTCCAGGAGGGCTGATAGGCACCACTGTGGATCCAGAAACTGGTTACCCCGGGGGGACTTTGAAGTGGCTTGCTGCTGAGACCTCCAATGGGGTTACCTATGGACAGGAAGTTGCCGGCATAGCTGTGCAAATGGTGCGTGGCAAGAAGCATGTACATGTGGGGCCTGCCGGGGAACAACTTTTTGTGGAATGCGTGGATGGGGCCGATTTCTGGGATTTTCTTCAACGGCCTGCTCATTTAGACATGCGGGTGCTTCCCATCAAGTTGAATGCCTTGCTACAGCCAGAGCGGAGTTTGGCAGAAGTTGCATCCATGTGCAAGGAATCCAAAGTGCTATGGAAGTTGTCGGGGCCCAGGACATCCCGGTGGTGTGTGAACTACCTTGCCATTGAGAACCTGGGTTTCGAAGAGCATCATGAGAGGCTCCGTACCATCACCAAGGCTGATGCTAGTAGTTGGGGCATTCAAGAACATTTTCAAGTCTCCATGGCTCTGAGACAAGCTCTACTCATCGACCAATTGGACGCTTTCAACCTGCTGACCATTGAGCTCCAATTTCGAAGGCTGCAGACCATTGAGTTCAGCTATGCGGAGAAGGCCCGAGAGATGGAATCAAAGGCAGTGGGCGGAAAGTTGTCATTAGAGGAGCAGACAACTTATGGAGGAGTCACCAGACAATACTCCACTCTGATGGTGTGTCCAGAGCTTCTCACCCACGTTAAGGAGGAGACGGAGAAGGAGGCATCCTTGGCCAAGAATCTCAGGAAAGCCAGGGAAGAGCGAGAGGCTGCCCGCAAGAACAAGGGGGGCAAAGCCAAAGAGGACCCTTGAACTATGGGGTGCAGTCGGGAGAGGTCCCCGGCCTGGCTGCGACACCCGAGGGGCAAGCTGGGGAAAGGAGGGTTGCAAGAGATCTTTTTCCTCTACCTGGCGTGCGTTTTTCACCAAGACCTTTGGGCCTTTTCTCCAGACGAAGTCAGCAGAGGATTGGCAGGCGAAGGCATTTTGAGGAGGAGGTGGATCGAACAGTGGTCTCCCTCAACCAGATGTATGGCCGGCCTAGGGCCAAAGCTACAACTGTAAAGCCAGTGGAGGACCTGAGCGCAGGCCAAAGACAAGTTTTGGAATTCATTGAGCAAGCCAACAGGAGGGTTGGGGATATGCCCAGCCTGACGGGCCCGGAAGCCTTGGAGGAGCTTCGGGTTTCAGAAGGTTATGCAGACTTGCCGACTGCATCGCCTTTGGGATCCTTCGTCCCCGAGCTTGTGTCACTGCCAGAGGTGGGTGGGCAACCTGTTCCACTTGCCAAACTGTGGGGCGAGCGCAGGCAACAAGAGGTGGAGGACTTCTTTCACTCTCAAACACTTGGAGCAGCGGAAGCTGAAGAGCAGAAGCGGTGCTTAGGCCTGACGAGAACCTATGAAGATCCCAAATTTCGTGAACCTGGAAAGTATGCGGCTTTTGTGAGGCGCCTCTATGATCTGCATTTGGTGGATGTGTCTTTGCAGGCGCCTGAAGAGTTTGTCACCATCTTTTTTGTGAAGAAAAAGGGCAACAAGCTTCGCATGATCCTAGATTGTAGGCTAGCCAATACTCACTTCAGGGAGCCTGAAGGCATTCAACTTGCAAGTGCCGACAGTCTGTCAAAAATGGAGCTGCCTGAGGACACCCCATTGTATATGGCATCAGCTGATCTCCAGAATGCTTTCTACACAATGGGTATGCCGGAGCAACTGCGTACCTACTTTGGTCTGAGAAAACTGAGAGCCAGTGATCTAGGGCTAGAGCAGGTTGATGGAGTGAAGGTCAAGCCAAGTCAATGGGTTTTTCCACGAGTAGCAGTCATTCCTATGGGTTGGTCACATGCCATGTGGTGGTGCCAGCGGCTCAGCGAGAAGTTGGCGGAAGACTCTGAACTGACTGCCAAGGAGAGGCTCAGGGATTTTGACCCCATTCCGGATGGGCAGTTTTGGCATGTCGAATATGTAGACAATCTGGTAGTGTTTGGCACAGACAAGGCTCAGGTGAAGAGGCGTTTTTTGAAAGCAGTTGAGACCATGCGAGACGCGGGGCTTACAGTTCATGAGATAGAGTATAATGAAGGCGACAGCAAAGTTCTGGGCTGGTCTATTGACGGCAGTGGCCGTGTGGGCCCCACCCTGGCAAGACTCTGGAGGATCCGGGTTGGGATCAGGGAGTTGCTGCATAGGGGATGGGCCAGTGGCCAACAGCTGGAGCGTCTTGTAGGGCATATGACTTTTGTGTCACTTTGTCGGCGTGAATCACTGTCCATTTTGGGCGATACTTATACATACATCAAGAGACATTACAGCAAAGCTGCACCCCTCTGGAAAAGTGTTAGGCGCGAGTTGGCTTGTTGGGATGGATTGGCACCCCTTATTTTTGTTAACATGACTTCACCATGGGATACAACTATCTATGCGGTAGATGCTTCTGAGTGGGGTATGGGTGTTACAACTGGTAAAGTCAGTGCAATGTTGGCAAAGCAGTTGGGCAGACATGTTGAGAGGTGGAGGTTCAAAGACAAGCAAGCTAACAATCCTAGGGCTTTTGTACAAGCAAGCGATCAAGTGTATGAATGCAACGCGTTGGACGGAGAGTTAGGATTTGCGAAAGCCGTTTCAAGTGGGGGGAGCAAAAATTTTCAGACAGTGCCTTTTGATGTGGTGGACAGACAGTGGAGGGTGGTTGGGCGACATCGCTGGCTCAGAGAAGAAAGCATGCCCGTCTATGAGGCCAGGGCCAGCCAATATGCTATTAGACATGCACTACGTAATACCAGCAATTTTGGTAGGAGGTTCATCATACTGACAGACTCAATGACTGCAGCTGTGAGTTTTGACAAGGGTAGAGCCAACAGTTTCAGGTTGCGCAGGGTATTACAACAAACATGTGCATTAGCATTAGCGACAGGAACCTTTTTCCGATCCCGTTGGGTGCCTAGCGAATGGAATCCTGCGGACCGACCAAGCAGGGGGGGTTGGTTGCCCTCCTGCCCGGTCAGACGTTTCTGGGAAGATGATTCACCGGATGTTAGGAATTCCAGTGACATGGGATCGATCCACGAAGAGGAGGAGAGAACCAAGCTCAGTAGCAAAGTCTGTCCCAACAACACCAAGCAGCATGGAAGTGCCCCTGACTTGGGACATAGAGCTCAGCCGGGAAACGGGTCAGACAAAACAGAAGTTGCGGGCGAAGCGAAGACAGAAGAAGAAAGAACAGGAGCCGAGCAGAACCCTCATGAGGGCCTCAGTGGGTCCGAAGACTTTGAGGGCCTACGACAAGCACTGGAATGCGCTGAAGCAGTGGAGCAAACAGAGCATCTCATCAGACATGAGTTTCAAGCAAATGGACAATGTTCTGACTCAATACCTGGAGTACCTGCACGAGCAAGGCATGGATCTCAGTGTGGCAAACTATGTGACAGCAGCAGTGATTTTCAACATGCCGGGCTCCAAGGGTTTAGCTTCAATGCCAAAGAGTCAGATGTCCATGAAGGGGTGGCGACGTTTGTGCCCTCCACGTGCCAGGATGCCAGTGCCATACGAGTGCGTGTGCCTGATGGCAACCAAAGCAGTGGAGCAAAAGCAGCAGGAAGTTGCTCTGGTCCTTCTGTTGAACTTTGCCCTGTACCTTCGGCCATCGGAGCTGCATCGGCTAAGGGTGCAGGACATTGTTCGACCCATCAAGAAGGGCAGGGGGAACTTCCGGCACTATGCTCTGCTGTTGCATCCCACGGAAGTGGGAATACCATCAAAGACAAAACAGTGGGACGAAATGATCACCCTCGATCTGCCGCAGCATCAGTATCTGGGGCCTGCTATGGAAAAGGTGCTCAAGCTGGACAAGCGGCCCAAGGCCGAGTTGGCTTTTCGGGTCACCATGACAGAGGTGGACACCTTCATGGAGCAAAGCTGGAGCGCCCTGGGGCTAGATCCAATGGGGGCGCCAAGCCTCTACAGACTGCGTCATGGGGGGGCATCCTACGAAAGCCTTCACAAGTTGCGAGAAATGACAGCCATCCAAGCCCGAGGCCGATGGCAAAGTGTCAAAAGCCTGAAAAACTACGAGAAAGGAGGCAGGCTACAGCAGCTTTTTGGAAGCCTGCCAAGAAAAGTGCAACAAGCAAGCGCAGACGCGGCAAAAAGGGTCAGCAAGCTCTTCCTCAAGCTGCGTTGAGTCCTGCAGCCAGTTTGACTTTTGCAGTTTTTTTGGAAATTTTCTGTGGTTGTGGGCGCTTGGGACGACGAGTGGCTGCACAATGCCACTGGCCGGTTCTGCTGTGGGATATATCTTTGGGGGAGCAGTATGACCTGACAAAGCGTGCAAACCAGCAGAAAATCATTCACTGGATGCAACATGGTTTGGTACGTGCAGGGCATTTAGGCACTCCCTGCAACAGCTTCTCACGAGCTCGAGACAGACCTGGAGGACCACCCCCACTGAGGTCTGATATGGAGCCAATGGGCAAACAGTTCCTCCGGGCAGCCGATGCGGCCAAGGTGCGTATTGGAAATATCCTTCTCTACTTCAGCTGTCGTGTTTTGGGCTTAGCCTTGCAGTTGCATTTACCATTCACCTTAGAGAACCCACAGCGTTCTAGGCTATGGATTACACCACCCATTCTCAGGTTGCTTCGTAAACAACACTGCAGTTACGTGGATGTGCATTTCTGTATGTTTGGAACTCCTTGGAAAAAACCCACGAGAGTTTTAGGATGCCACTTGAATTTGGATGGATTACAAGCTTTTGTATGCAGCAGCACAAAGCGAGGCATTTGTGCAAAAACAGGAAAGACCCACGTCCCGCTTGTCGGGCAAAATGTAGATGGGCAGTGGCTCACCAAGATTGCTGAGCCATACCCATGGAAGTTTGCAACAGCTTTGGCCAAAGCGTTTTACAACACAGAACTTGCTACGATCGCAGCAGAGTTTGCGCGACATCTGGATCTCCCTCGGCGATAACCAGAGGGCTCAATCACACAAGTTTGGGCAAAACCGGGCATGATTCATTTGGAAACGCATCGCTGCTATCTTTGGTTTGCTGTGGTAGGTTTGGAAAAACCAAGCCTGCAAGTGCTTTGTATCAACCTGGCCAGAGCAGAAAAGACTGAAGCCGTGCCATATCAGTGTTCACAAGTTTGGGAGAGGCAAAGTATTCGAATCATGGCCGCCATCCACCACCTCAAGTCAACCCTCCTCCCCCACCCAAGGTGGTGGGAGGGGGGCATGATTCATTTGGAAACGCATCGCTGCTATCTTTGGTTTGCTGTGGTAGGTTTGGAAAAACCAAGCCTGCAAGTGCTTTGTATCAACCTGGCCAGAGCAGAAAAGACTGAAGCCGTGCCATATATATATGTGTGTTTCTGTTTACATAACATAATCATAGTTCAGAAATCACATTGTATATACATGAGCGGGTTCAACTGGAGGCATAGTAAGGCACTATCCCACTAAATGGTTAACACTCACTCGTTTCTGGTGATATTGGGGGTATGGGTCAGACTTTGGTACCGCAACATGGGTTGCCAAAGTGGTTTTCAAATGTGGTTGTCCGAAAATTATGGGACCCAAAATCTAATGGCTGATCATTGTTTTTTCCGGTATATATATATAATATTGATGGTCATGTTCTCGGGGTAAACCCCCCAGCCTTGGACAAAACTAAACATCATCCAGGTGATATGTTGGTTCTATGTTGGATCTATGCTGGTTATACAGTTATATGTTGGTTTATCCCATTATATCCACAACAAAATTCGAGTTTCTGCTCGGTGAAGATCCCCCATCATATCCAAGCACTTGAAACGCCAAGGATCTGACTGGATGAAGCAGGAGGCTGCTCCGCTCCCAGTGAAAAACAGCATGGAACGCCGAGCCCCGGAACCCAAAAACGGTTTCGGACTTCGGAGAAAATAATCTTGGATGGCGGCAGCAGTTGATGTTTTGCCTTATTGCAATGAGATGTATTGGTAATCTTCTGCTCGGATGGTCCTGGTCAGTCTTTCATCAGATTTCAATCATCCCAGCAGGGTGGTTCCACCAACCGCAGGTCGTGCCGCCAATCATCATGGGTGCCTCGGCGATGGCATGGGTTGATCCTGAATTGGGAGAACTGTGCCCGAAAATTCAGTGAATATTTGAGGTCAACCTTTTCAAGAACAAGTGTTGGTTGACCTCAAGTCAATTCAATTTTGGTTAGTTAATCCCATCATTTGTTGTGTATATAAATAAAATAATGTGTATATATATATATGGATCCCAGTTGAAATTTCCCCTATGAAATGGCTGGCCTCCAGGCCCATATAAGCCCGATTTCTAGGGTCATGTTGTAGGAAATCACTTTCAAGAGCCCAGCCATTTTGTAGCATGTACTAATTTGATCTAATTCGAAGGGGCTCAAGGCCCATTTCGGAGGCCATTTTGTAGGAAGCCTGCCTGCACCTTGCCTCATTGCAATAGCAATAAAATAGATGATTTACGCATAAAATCGCTATCATATAGCAATTTCAAAATGGAGTTTTAAAACTTGGCTGGGTTGGGGCCATTCATTGTGTAAGGAATTGATTTTAATGGTCATTTTTTTGGTAGGGATTCATGCTTTGCAGGGATTTTGGATGGTTGTGTTGCAACTACTAAATGCAACGCCATGCCACTTGTCCGTGTCAGCCTGGCTTTCCAACACAACTCGACTTGTGGGCAAAAAAAGAAGGGGTATGAACGCTTCACTTTTTGTCAACATTGTAAAAAGACAGGCCGCACATATCATTGAGCCAATTTCCTTACAAAAAGGATGGGTTGCTCCTTAAAGACAATTGAGAAAAACGCAGGGAAATGATAGAGCAACAGGTTCTTACGAAATGATGCCTTTCTTGGGGTTCAGGGTCCAAGCATGCAAGCAAAACTCATACTCAGAAAAAAAAAACAGAAATCAAACATCCGGGCAAAATATACATCCCTACAAAAAGTGGGGGTGCTGCAAAGAGCTGGTTGATGCACAAAGCCTTACCATTTTGTATTGAGTTATTTTTGTTTGCGCCCATTCATTTTGTAGGTTTTTTTGCAAGACCCTGCAGTATATAGCTACAAATAGCGGAGTCTGACCCCTTGGGGTGAATTTCAAGGGGGATATATATGGTTATATATGGTTATATTTATATCAATTATATCCTGTCCTTTCCTGGGTAGTTTAGATAGGTTCCCTCATGGGATCGAAATTGGCATATTTCACCACGAAAGATGGCGATGAATGCATCTCACTTAGGGTTTACAAAATTGCAATTTTCAGATGTCACTATAGTGATGTTTTTGTTTTTTTGCCGATGAAATTCATCATGTTTGCTTGTCAAATCCAATGTTTGCTGCTTTCTGATCTTCCGAATTGTTTGCTGGTTCAATCCCATTGTTCACCATGTTTTTGCTGATCAAATCTGCATATTTGGTGATCAAATCCTAGCGTTTGCCATTTTTGATGGTAAAACATTATTTTAAAAAGTTAAACTAGACTAATCTAGTTTCCACATCCTTCCACAATTCTTCGTTGATTAAATCTATATTTTAATCATTAAATCCCAATTGTTGCTGGTTACTGTAAATTCTCCATGTTTGCTGGTTAAAAATTTGACTGCTGTGACGACCAGTTGGCTAGCTAAGCCTTTTAGCGTGACCCATCTAAGTATCAAGCATGTCAAACAACACACACACACAAATGCATCGTTACATATGTATGGATATATATATATATATGATTATATATGTATATAACAATAATAATAATAATATTATATATATATGCTACCATTAAACCAACGTTCTTAGATGGGTAAACCGTTAAACCTCCCAGTTGTTGTTGGTGAAGCCTTGCCACCACGGTCCGGTCGCATCCACGGTAGGCGACGTGACCTGCGTGCTGTCCATCACCGAAGCCTTCGCGGGCTCCGACGTGGCCGGGCTGCGCACCACTGCAGTGTTGGACTCAACGGGGGAGCGGCTCGGTTTTGGAAAAAGGGACTGGTTGAAGCAATGATGAATGGTTAGTACTATTGAACCATTAATGGTTAATAATGATAATTAGAGGGATAATGGTTTTTAAGTTACTATACGCTACTATAGTATGAACCAACGATTAATGGTTAATGTGGGTAAAATAATGCCATAAACCACCCATGACTGGGAATGGTAAACATACCATCTATAAAAATGGTGATTTGGAGGATGGTTTATTATTGTTCTATCCACATTATATAGTACTAGTATGTACTATTAACAGTAGTATGAATGGTTGATAATGATACTACTTAGGACTTGATAATGGTTCATTCATACGTTAATACTCTTTAATACTACTACTTCATAACACAGAGATCATCCCACTTCGTAATGGTTGAGTACTGCTTAATACTTTTTTTTAATAACACTTAGTGACTATTGAATAGTAGTTGATAAATGTTGATAGTAGTGGTTCATATACTGCATTTTAGCATTCAGACACATGGATTCGTAAATACCCTTGGTTGGAGTGTAGGGTCCATTTCCATAGCACTGCCTAGCAGGGCATCGCAGGGCGATCTAAAGCCTCTGGGCTATTTTTCGGCCACCTCAACGAACGAAAACCGCAAGTGAGTTAGTCAATGTCAAGAAGGAAAATCATGTATGTAAATGTATATTATATATATATTAGTTTTTATAGTATAGATAGCAATATATATTTCTTGAACATGTTATACGCAAAAATAAGAAGGCCATAGAAGGCCCAGAAATTTCAAATGAATCCAGAAAACTGGCTGTAGACTGTTTATTCGCCATCCAGCGTACCTGAGACGATGATTCCCAATGACTGCTACATTACTGGTACCTCTCAGGAGAGTTGAAACCAGCAACCAGAAAAAACAGTACCTCTATGTACAATAAAATGGCAAAGTTGTTCCTCTATGTTGTGCTGTGTCAGTGTCAACGCGAGATTTTGAGCCATTGGGATTTAGACAGTGGGCTTGAGCGTGGATCAAACTCCAATCATGCAAAACAATCATGGCCGGGTGGGTTTTGATGTTATTCCAATACTATATGGGCTAATCTTGGCTATATTATATCCCCAATATTCCAACGTTATTCCGGTCCAACACGCTGAAGATCTTAGATCAACATGGATCGACATGCAAGATTTCAGGCCTTTAGAAGGTATTTTTTGTACAATGATGGGCCTAGCTTGCGTTTAACGTAAACCCCAGCCCAATCAACTGCCATTGAAGTAGCCCTTTGTGAGGGGTAGTCACGGGTAGTCACCCCATGAAACACCTTGAAATATCTGCCTGCAGGAAAGTCATTGATTTTGCCCCTTGTCGTGCTCCGCCGTCAGGAATTACATTGTGAACGGCACCAAGAAGTGGATCACTGGTGGTATGTGCCTTGGGATCAGCTTGATCCAGCTGTAGATTTCACTCAGTGGCACTAGTTCCGTATAAATATATCAGTGTCCAATAGTTTCCAACAAGATTTCAATCATTTCTATAGTCTATATCAATCTATATCATTATATGATATGATATGTGTTTATTTAGTTCAGTTTTGTTATGTTCTGTTTTTTTTGGTAGCCCTGGAACTCCCCCTCCCTCTCACCAGATGACGGCCATGTCACAGCCGGGGCCACTGTGCGCTGAGGTACGCAGATTGGTTCGTGACGGCGGTGCGCACCGGTAAGCAGGGCGCTGGTGGCATCAGCATGATGCTGATTCCCAGGCGACGGAGCCACGGAGCCTCCATGGCTTTTCAGAGCTCCATGGCTTGGGCCTGAAAAGTCGAGTGGTTTTGTTACGGTTTCACTGTAGTTCCCGGAATGTTCCACCAAATTCTGGGGATCGGCGATAGCTCATGAATGCTCATGATAAATTTTGCAAACCCCAAAGATATAATTTTATAGAAAAGCATAATTGCACCAAAATAGTGATTCATATCATAAGATCTGGATGTGATAATGATAAATTGGACAATACATTATATATCAAAACATAATATCGACATACCCCAATTTGTAGCAATTCTAAGTGAGATAATGAGAATAATCCGTTGGCACGGATCATCCAAACTGGGTGGCGGCTTTGGCTTGACCCATAATCTCGAACATCTTATAATATTCTATATCTTTCGTGATTGCCTACAATGACCTACACTTGGAATAGAAATGAAAAGATGAAACGATCAGGTGTTTGGTTTTTTCCATTTGAGGGATGGAGCCATGATTTTGGGCCACCGAAGGCCGAAATGCTTTGCTTTAAGAACATGTTAGAACCATATTCGTTCTTTGTTTTTACTGTATTTGTTTTCAGATATACTCATGCTAGTGGGTGGGTCTAAAAGTGCACGAGGTCCTATTGGATTGGTCTTCGTTGTGGTGAATTATGGTGGATTCTGAAATTAAAAAAACAATACCACAATTTCCGTATCAATTGATTTACGACTTGCAGGATAAATTAAGTCAAGGATATTTAAGGTCAACCTTGCCCGTGGCACAGTTGCTCCAACATGGGGAACGACACTTCTGAGAATTGGGTGAAGAGAAAATGCGGAAATCCCCGCGTTTGATGGACACAAAAATGGTTTGCAGCGTTTTTTTTCCTTTGTCTTTGGAGTGACAACATATTGCACCTCTTCAGTGCAACATTCCAGTGGGGCACTGAAACGTTTTTCGCAGGTCTGATGCCGTTCAGACCAAGATCATGAAGAGTAAATACTCCAGCGCAGCAGGAACCGCCTATGTGACCTATGAGAACTGCATCGTGCCCAAGAAGTGTCTTGGAAGGTCAAACATGGCAGGGAAATGACGGTGAAAAAGTGGAAAGCCACATCTTGGGAACATGGTTGAATCTCATGGTGTTGGTCTGCTTGAGGTGTGCCCTTCAGCATCATAGTGGAGTCAAATTCCACCAATCCCAGCTCTTTTTCAGGGTCCACCAAGTCCACCCTTGGTGAAGCGAGGTATTTGATTGGAACTTAGGTATTTGATTGGAACTGAGAACAAGGGCTTCCAAATCATCATGTCCAATTTCAACCACGAGCGCTGGATGATCACCGGGGTTTGCATTGCACGTGCGCGCATTTGCACCGAGGATTAGTTGGGGGATGGGGAAGTAACACTAGGAGGGTGGCACAGTACCCAGTGGTGGAACTTGGGACTTTTCCATGCGGGTTTGTCTATAGGCTACGCCAACTCCAATAGATTCTCGTAATAATTTCTCTATTGGAATGGCTATTGTCTCAAGGGCATTTCAACGACGCGGACTTGGATGCCTAAGGGAGAAACCCTTTGCCAAACAACCATGTGAGTTGTTGAAATTACCATTATTAATTGGTTATGAAACAGGGATTATACGAACTGGTTCGATGGAGAATATGATAGTTATGATAAACCATAGTAGGGAAACCTACAACCAGTATAATGAGATGGGATAAGGCAGTGTTTTTACTGGCTCATGTAACAATTCATGAAAGGTCTCTTTTTGTACCCGACGTTCCGAAGATTTTCCTCTTCCAAAGATGTCTCCAGGAGACCTTCAAGTGGGCCATGCAGCGTAAGGCAGAGGGCACTGGCAGCGGATCCCTCCCAAGTCCGGAGGTTCACCCTTTCTTCCCCATCCATGGCCAGAAATGGGTGTTTCTTTCACTGTGGGACCCAAGTCACCATGGCTTTCAATACGAAATAGTTATCTAATTTTTGATGATTTGGTGGTGCCCCTCAATTGGAAAGAAACCACCACACATGGGCGCACCATTTTCTGGATAAACACACCTATATAATCCTATATAATTATAATTAATTACAAGTACCCGGGCAAGCCGGCGGCGGAAGTTTCCCAAAAATAAATGACCTATAGTTCGAAGAAAAACCTGTCCCGACCGTGTCCTTCCCTCGACAAGCGGTTTTTTTTCAGCGAGAGACGAAGCAAAGTCTTCACACTCCACACTCCACACTTCACACTGCACTCTTCCCACTCCAAACTTCAAACTTCAAACTTCACACTCCACACTTCACACTTCACACTTCACAGTCCACACTTCACACTTCTCACTTCTCACTGCTTCCTTCACACTCCAAACCTCACACTTCACACTTCACACTTCACACTGCGCTCTTCGCACTCCAAACTTAAACTTCACACTCCACAATTCACACTTCACACTCCACACTTCACACTTCTCACTTCCCACTGCTTCCTTCACACTTCACACTTCACACTGCACTCTTCACGCCCCACACTTCACACTGCTCTAAACGTACGTCCAACAAAAAAACACTAGTGCCAAAATGGAGAAATCTGCTAACAAACCCATTTCGCAGCCTTCATGCAGCCACCCCAAGACGATTTCCGAGATCCAGCTGCAAAAGACAATAGTATTACGAATGCAGCCACAGCACGAAGCAACCTTGACGCAGCCATTACAATGCGATCTGCAGAGACTGAGTTGCAAAGCCCAATAGAACTACGCGCAACGGCGTCGGAAATTGTAGCTCCAAAACCGGATCTCGACGCCAGAGCGAAAAAAAGACGATTTTGAAGCACTTTTTAAAAGGATTTTTAGAAGGAAATTCACTAGCGCCAAAATGGAGACAATCTGCTGACAAATCACTGTGGCAGCCTTCATGCAGCCACTCCAATACGATTTACGAAGTCGAGCTGCAAAAGACAATAGTATTACGAATGCAGCCACAGCACGAAGCAACCTTGACGCAGCCATTACAATGCGATCTGCAGAGACTGAGTTGCAAAACACAATAGAACTACGCGCAACGGCGTCGGAAATTGTAGCTCCAAAACCGGATCTCGACGCCAGAGCGAAAAAAAGACGATTTTGAAGCAGTTTTTAAAAGGATTTTTAGAAGGAAAATCACTAGTGCCAAAATGGAGAAAATCTGCTGACAAATCACTGTCGCAGCCTTCATGCAGCCACTCCAATACGATTTACGAAGTCCAGCTGCAAAAGACAATAGTATTACGCATGCAGCCAAAGCAGGAAGCAACCTTGGCGCAGCCACTACAATGCGATCTGCAAAGACTGAGCTGCAAACCGCAATCCCATTTACATTGCGGGAACGATCGTACAGTTGCAAAGCAGAATGGAATTCCATCGGCAACTCATCCACCAGCAACACTTGCAATCCCATTTACATTGCGGGAACGATCCTACAGTTGCAAATCACAATGGAATTCTGTCGACCGCACATGCACGAAAAACAGGTGAAAGCCCATTTACAATGCGGAACCGATCCGAACATGATCCGCCCATGATCCGACCACACACGAGACCGTCTCGCAACCGTCGCACCGCAGAGGTAGATCATCGAGGTTCGGGGACAGACTTTGTATGGAAAAACATAGGCTTTCGTGCATCTGCTGCTATCTCTCACAAACGCATTTCGTGCGAGACTTCCTTCAAAACTCCATCGGCAACTCCTCCACCAGCACCACTTGCAATGCCATTTGCATTGCGGGAACGATCCTACAGTTGCAAATCACAATGAAATTCCATTGGCAACTCATCCACCAGCACCACTTGCAATCCCATTTACATTGCGGGAACGATCCTACAGTTGCAAATCACAATGGAATTCTGTCGACCGCACATGCACGAAACACAGGTGAAACCCCCATTTACAATGCGGAACCGATCCGCCCATGATCCGACCACACACGAGACCGTCTCGCAACCGTCGCACCGCAGAGGTAGATCATCGAGGTTCGGGGACGGACTTTGTATGGAAAAACATAGGGTTTCGTGCATCTGCTATCTCTCAAAAACGCATTTAGTGCGAGACTTTCTGCAAAACTCCATCGGCAACTCCTCCACCAGCACCACTTGCAATCCCATTTACAGTGAGGGAACGATCCTAGAGTTGCAAATCACAATGCAATTCCATCAGCAACTCATCCACCAGCACCACTTGCATCCCATTTACAATGCGGGAACGATCCGACAGTTGCAAATCACAATGGAATTCTGTCGACCACACATGCACGAAAAACAGTTGACACCCCATTTACAATGCGGAACCGATCCGACCATGATCCGCCCATGATCCGACCATGATCCGACCACACACGAGACCATCTCGCACCCGTCGCACCGCAGAGGTAGATCATCGAGGTTCGGGGACGCACTTTGTATGGAAAAACATAGGGTTTCGTGCATCTGCTATCTCTCAAAAACGCATTTCGTGCGAGACTTCCTTCAAAACTCCATCGGCAACTCCTCCACCAGCACCACTTGCAATGCCATTTGCATTGCGGGAACGATCCTACAGTTGCAAATCACAATGGAATTCCATCGGCAACTTATCCACCAGCACCACTTGCAATCCCATTTACATTGCGGGAACGATCCTACAGTTGCAAATCACAATGGAATTCTGTCGACCGCACATGCACGAAACACAGGTGAAACCCCATTTACAATGCGGAACCGATCCGAACATGATCCGCCCATGATCCGACCACACACGAGACCGTCTCGCACCCGTCGCACCGCAGAGGTAGATCATCGAGGTTCGGGGACGGACTTTGTATGGAAAACCATAGGGTTTCGTGCATCTGCTATCTCTCAAAAACGCATTTCGTGCGAGACTTCCTTCAAAAATCCAACTTGAAGATGTCATTTACAATTAACTCTTTCCCTCACTAACTCTTTCTTTGACTAACTCTTTCCCTGATTAACTCTTTCCCTAACTAACTCTTTCCCTCACTAACTCTTTCTTTGACTAACTCTTTCCCTGACATTCTAAAAGTCCGTAACACGGAAGTTTCTCCCCCTAAACTTCCTTTGATAATTATATCCCACCTGTCCTAGACCAAGTGTTCACAAGTTGTTGATGACTTCTCTGTAAATTCAGCAGGCTCCTGGCCTATGTTGATGTCCGAAGTGCCCTCCATTTCTCAGTGTCCATGTTTTTTATTTTCCTGGGGAAATTACTATACTCCATTCCATGTTATTCTACGTCTACGTTCCTGCCAGTGATAATGATAAATCTCTGTTTGTCGCTTACTGTTACTTATATCATCTTCCATCAGCTTTTTTCAGGAACCCGACCGAACCAAGATTCAAAGATATATATATATAATTATATATGACGAACTGTTGATGTTGCCACCCCCATTGCTGCGGGCCACATCTTCCAATGGGCATGCCATGATATTCCATTAGGTCCCTTGAGATTGTAAGTGATTTTACCCGCTAGATCCCCGCTAGCAATGCGCTAGCAAAAGTTTCATAAAACGGCTTTGGTTGACCCGTGACCCAGTCGCCACCAGAGAACTTGTAGTTTATCCTGTCTGTTTGACAAAGCAACAGTGACAGCAAAGGCAACGACCAGCTCTGCAGATATTCCAGCTCCACCACTAATAACTAGCAGCGGCACCCACTTCATACAGACGCGCGTTGGCATTTACTGCAGGTTTTAGCTGGGGCTCCAAACATGAAAGATAAAATGCAGGGTTTCAGACCATTTAGATAAGAAGCGGCACGCAAGGAATTTCGATTTATTAACAAAACCAGGAAAAGACATTTTGACAAACCGACACATATATATATATATACTATATACATATATCTGTATATATATATATTCCATTAGTTAGGTCCCATTAGATAATATACCATTGTGAGAATATATATATATATATCTATCATTATATCCCGATTGTTTAGCAGTTAAATCCCCATTACAAGTCCAATTCAGTCCCACTGAGTCCAATTCAATCCCCTTATCACCCCTTATCCCGTTGATATCATCATTAAATCACCATTACATCTCAATTTCTTCGCCATATCGACATCTCGAAGCATCGAAGCTCCAGGTCTTTGGCAAGCCGCTGATCGAGCAGCCTGTGATCCGGGAGAAGCTGGCGCAGATGTTCGCAGGTTGGAGGATTTGGGGATTCGGATTGGAGGTTTCCTAAGTCATGGGGATACCCCAGTCGCTGGAGGCTTGTTTTTCATGGAAAATCCATGACAATCCTAAAATATCTAAAATGTTGTTTTTTTCCTAAGTCATGGAGGTACCCCAATCGTTGGATGGTTTGTTTCAGGAAAATCCATCTATAAAAAATGCAGGAATCTCATCCATCAACACATGGGGTTGGTGACTAACCAACATATTGGGGAAGATATGGGAATATCAGAATGAATATCAGCACTACCAATGATTGGCAATGTTCCGTCACTTTGGATCTGTTGGTATGGATCCCAATGGGCTCAACTATGTGTACTGTAAATCCGTATCAAACCAGAATTTCTGGAGGGTGTTGAATATGAACAGGGGATGGGATTCAATGGACAATAGTGGATTTAACATAATTTAACCAACAATACATGGTTGTTTAACCAAGAATAGTGGGAGAGAGTGAGTATGTAGTAGTCTGGGTGTGTCTGAAAAATGGGGGATACTCAGCAAATTGCCATTTAATAGGAATATGAAGATAATTCATGGGATTGAAATCCCAAAAAGAGGCGATGGATAGTGGCCTCAAACAGCCTGATAAGGTTAGTGTTATTTGATGGCTTATGTTTATGTAGTTGTTTTTTTCAGAGTTGGGTAATGGGTATGAGCCCCCGTTTTATACGCCCTGTCGTCCAAACAAGGTTTGCTGGTCAAAATCCAGCAAGACGAAACATGGGCTACTTGTTCACAGCCAGGATAGATCCATCTTCCAACTAAACCTCCAGGGCTCTTTCCGGGAAAGGCCAACCAGAGCATCCGCAGGTGTGGAGACGTGCACTCAGATGCTCTATGAAACTTGGACTGGGGGGTGACCAGGATCGACCTTTGGGGCCGAGGCTCTGGGATTGAAATGATACCCCCCAAGTAGACAACCCAGTCGTTGATTCATCCAGGGACGGGCCGCCAGGACGGGCAGTGCGAAGAACAAACCTCGCCCAACTTTCAGATGTGACTTGAGATCATCAACCTCAACCTTTGACCCAAAGCACGTGCATAGGAATCAAAAAATAGAACATGTTATTGTGATGGTACCCTTGTTCGCTGTTGCTGTTCTTCTTGTTCTTGTTCTTGTTCCTGTTTTTGTGGTTATTGTTGTTGTTATTATTGTTGTTGCTGTTGGTGTGGTTGTGGTTGTTGTTGCTGTTGCAGTTGCTGTGGTTGTGGTTGTTGTTGCTGTTGCTGTGGTTGTTGTTGCTGTTGCAGTTGCCGTGGTTGTGGTGGTTGTTGTTGTTCTTGATGTTGCTGTTGCTGTTGTTGCTGCTGCTGTTGTTGTTGTGGTTGTTGCTGTTGCTGCTGTTGTTGTTCTTGCTGTTGCTGTTGTTGTGGTTGCGGTTGCTGTTGTTGTTGCTGTTGTTGTTGTTGTCGTCGTTGTCGTTGTGCTTGTTGTTCTTGTTGTTCTTGTTGTTCTTGCTGTTCTTGCTGTGCTTGCTGTGCTTGTTGTGCTTGTTGTGTTTGTTGTGTTTGTTGCGGTTATTGTTGCTGTTGCTGCTGCTGCTGCTGTTGTTGTTCATCGGTGGCTCAAGCTGGCTGTTTTCCAATACATGTTCCTCCACAGTTGTCAGAACATGGTCGGATGTGGACCCAATTTCTGGCCACCTTAGTAGTCTGACATTGTTTATAAACCTCGGGATGTGGGGTCTAATCTCTCCATGTTTGGGCGAGCCGCACTTCCAGTTATTAATGCCTAGTGCCTCCATTACCTCCTTTTTTGAGGGTATAAGAAAAAAACTAAGTTTTCACTTTTTGCTAAACATACATAAACACACGTCATGGGGCCGTGCCCAAAGCAAAAAGGTTATTGGACGTAGCATAACCTCATGCGCTGTCACTTAACTCATGCACAACCAATGGTTCACACACATATACATATCATATACAAACACGTCACAGGATCTCTGCTCCACCATGATGCAGCACAAGGTGGCACAAATTTGCACTCTTTTCCCGACCTTCTAGGTCAACAATCCCCTCTTAACAAAAACGACTTAAGCGGATACAACGCAACGATCCAAGATTAGTTTTCGTCCGACCCCCAAAAGGTCCCGCGGTCCTGTGCGAAGAGATCCAAGTTGTTTTGAATTTCCAACAGCGCATAGCAGTACTGTACCAACTAAAAGTATACTGTCAAAAGTTCGGTCCTTCTGGGTGATCATGTGGATGTGGCTAAATCATGCTAAATCCATTTCAATTTCAACAAAACATTGACAAACACAATAGATATTAAAATGAATGAAAAAAGCTAGGTGTTCCAGAAAAATACCCATAATACCCCATAATTAATTATGGGTATTTACGGGTCCAAATTATCGGTATGTTTCATGCTGGTTACAGCTCAGTTACGATGCATTACGAACCAAAAAAATGTTTTTTCCCTTGTGATTATGGTATATTGTTCATTTTGGTTACTGTTTTTCTCCATAGATTACGGGTGGTTGCGGATTACGGGGCAATTATCGGTAGAACGGGTTTTAATTGGTCTATGAAGCTAAGTTCCCAAACTTAAGCTTTATGTGATTTGTTCAGCCCCAAGAGTTGGTTTGATAACCATGGATACCTACTGAACCATTTCCTACTTCAGCTTATATAAAATCTGAACAGATGGTATTTGGAAAAAATATGCTTTGTGTTTTAATGGAAAAAAACTAGGTCTTTTATGGAAAAAATGCTAGTCTTTTTAGTCTTTTTTTGGGTCAATCAAAAATAACCTATGTTGTTTATTTTCAACCCTAAAAAGACCCTAAAAAAGTAAGCAAAAGGTTCGGCAGGTGGGTAGATACAACCAGAATGTGTCTTTCCCATATCCCAACAAACATGGGTGCGAAATTTCCATAGTTATACCATGTTATACCCAAAAAGATACTCCCAATTGGAGATAGTTTTGCTATAATTATCCGTTGAATTCTTCCATTATCCCATAAAACCACATAAATTGAAGTGGTGATATATGATCCATGATCTAGTAAGATCTATATATTAAGTATAAAATTCAGTGATATAGGATCCATTATCTTCACTAAAATCGCCATGATCGACCTGTGGATGAATCCTGGTGGATGAGGACATCACCTACAACATGATCTCCATGGGCTCTCAGGGCGCAGACGTTGGAGCTCGCATTGCTCTCCTGAAGCCTCTTGGTTGCGGCGCAGCAGCTGTTGGAGAAAATCTCCGCTTGTGGTTGTTTCTACGCTGTGGTTACCGGTCACCAAACATGGCAATTGGAAATCTCTATAAATGACGGTTTAGTATATCTTAATGGGAAAATCATCGAACTCGATGTGGGGAATTTCCAGCAAACCATGTTTTATTACTCATAAACCAGTTCTTAGCAGCTATATTGTTGATAGTATTTGTTGAATGGTTATAGAATCAACCAACTCTATTTTGTGGGCGACAATATGGCATAACTCTGGCAAAACGAGAGGAATTAGTCGTTGGAAACAAAATGGTCAGTAGCTTACACCTATATTAGTTGGATTTAGTTTGTAAAAATTGTTGATGACCAAGAATAAGTATGGACATGTATGGACAATGTTCAATATATAATTAATCCCATCCGCCGATGATATCAAATATCCACCCACACGAAAGCCTAATTCAGTACAGGATTCATTCATTTTAGGTGGCTGTACAAGGGTGGTATGTAAGACCACGCGGATGGAATTGCAAAGCGATCCTGTGCTATAAACTGCGAACATATCAACCTAACCAGCAAAAAAAGAAACAGGGTCTCTAAGATTAGGATTGCATCGGAGGCAACGTTGGGATTGGAGTGAGCCAAAAAGGATGCGTTGAAACATGGTGAAACAGTTTTTTGTTTTGAAGCAACAAAAAAATAGAAGTTGGGATGAAGATATACTAAAACCAAAAGAAATGGGGTGTTGAACTTGCCAGGTGGGGTTACTGCCGGCGGATGGGTCATGATACTTAATCTCCAAAGGTCAAGGTGGGATTACCCCATTTGTATGGATTTATTGCGGATAGATGGGGATAGTATCTGATGATAAGAGAGACATCATCTACTGGTACCTGCAGTACCTATCTGATAGTATGTCTAGCTCTTCTGACTCACTGCCGTCCCTGCACATAGACCAGCGGTTGACTACGAGGATGGTAGTTGCTGGTTTTTGCCAACCAGCGGTATCCTTTGTCAAGTTGAAGTTATGCTGAATTATCCTCTCTGTTGCACACTGATTATATATTGCTTTGTGTGTGAGGCATTCAGCCCAACAATGTGAGTGGTACTGTCTTGTATCTATGATCATCCGGAAGTGGATAGAAGATCAAATTATAGATACGGAATTTATGACCATTCTGGGGCTTTGGGATGTGATTTTACGTGTCTATCTTTTTTGGGGGATGCCATACATAGACACTCCATAGACACCCCACCAGGACGACGCAACGCGCCGCCTTTTTTCGAGGTACCAGTCTACTCGCATGAATCACTTGGTCGCTGACAATGCTGTTCAGGCGCAAGGGTCGATGTAACCTCTGGTAATTTAACAGTTTGATATTGAAAATCATTGATTTTTAATAGTATTCGTAGGTAAATCATCTACAAATGGACTATGTTCATTCATTTTCCATAGCTATGTTAAACTACAGAAGGGTATAACATGTATAATTATCAAAGGAAGTTGGGAAGCAATACTTCCGAGTTACGAATGACTTTTACCTGATGGAATTGACCTTGATGAAGGGTGGTACATCACATAACAATACATAACAAAAGAATAAGAAGCTATGACACAGGGTGGTGACGAAGGGAAGTGGTGAGGAAGGGGGAGGTGACTTTGGAAAGTGGTGAGGAAGGGAAGTGGTGATGAAGAGGGAGGTGACTTTGGAAAGTGGTGAGGAAGGGAAGTGGTGACGAAGGGAAGTGGTGAAGAAGGGAAACATGTATTCATTACTATTAGTATGATATATGATGTAATTACAACTACTACTGTATCATAATATATATATACGACTATACTTGTCATGACTATATAAGACTCTAAGAGAATATATTTTATCGATATGCTACTATATCTATATTTTAGATACAGATTTTATATCTACTATATCGACTCCAAGATTTCTAGAAAGATCTCCGTTGCCAGGTGCTGGGCGGCCGTGGCGTCACCCAGACTGGCATGGGACGAGTTGTGGAGGTCTTCTCAAGGATGTACAAGATCCCTGCAGTGACTTGACATCCCGGTGGGGATTTCATGAGGGGATCCAATTGGTTTATTGGGTTTAATGGGGAATTCCATTATTTATTTATTTTTCATGCTAAATGGGACTTCACTCATGGGACGTACAATGGGATTTCACCAGGTTTAACCATCGCAGCAACAGAAGGGATTTGAAGAAAACACAAATTGGGGTAGGAACTCCAAAATCTATGTCTCATCATTATCATGTCTCCCAAAGATTCATCATCTGGCGGAACTAGCCCTCGCCACAGCAGCTTGTGCTTCAAGAACTCTTGGTGAGCGAGACTGGGGATCCTTACTTGGAAGGGCCATGGGAAAAACGCGGAGGCTGGAACAGAGTGGCAGATCATGATACTGCCAGTGAAAAACTCCCGTTGCTAACCACTTAACTAATTCCTGGTAAGTGGTTATCATGGCTGATTGTTTACAAAGTTTTCCATTCATCTAACTGGATCATACTGGATCTATATTTTCCATACATTTCCTATGGCATTTCCGAAATGGACACAGGTAGTTGTCCTCTCTTTTCCTGAGATTATCGCTGTTCATATTTCCTATGGTCTTTCCGGATCTTCCATTTATCGAACTATGAGTATTTCCGTATTTGCAAAAAACATAGGATATAAATTACCACGCTATGTCCATTTCACCATGGTCTTTCCGAGTTGATCGGCCCAGGTCTATGGCGGAAGTGAGGAGATCATGGCGGATCTCTCGGTGCGCACGGCCATCAAGGCCTACCCAAAGAATGCCCGGCTCTAGGTCTCGCGGTGTCGACAGCAAGAACGACACAACACACGGCGCAGGTGTAGTGAAAGGTTGATGTTGATGTTAGTTAATTGGGGTTTTAAAGGGAAAACATGAATAGCACTATTTGTGAATCTCTGTCAATTGTTTTTGAAAGGGAACACACATGAGAACAATAAATTGGAGATTCTAAGGCGAAACTGGAAGGGCAGAAGAATGTATATAGAAAGGTTGGGGGAGATGGATCCTTCAGATAGTCATCTTGCAGAGGCCAAAGAGTTGTTATGGGAGGTGAAGTGTGTAGGGCAGTGTAGGGTATGATCCACTTGCAGAACTTGATGTCAGCCTCAGTATCCAAAAGAAGGAGGCAATCTTGGGAAGAGAACTCCAGCCATGCAACAAGTATGATATCTATGTAGATCAGAATCTGTTTCAGATGCCATGTGGCTAGGCTATAAGTGTCAGTTTCTTGGCACCTGCGCCTTGTGAAACCTGTGCAAGACAGACATGGTGCCGACACGTCGTTGGCTGACGCTCACAGGAGCGTGAGGGTCCATCTATAGTTTTGGAGACTGGCTGGAAGATTGCACAGGCTGCAGCCTGTGTTCCAGCAGTTTCGCACTCGTTCCACTGTTTGAATTACAGGAGTTGCACTGTCCCGATGTTTGGCAGAGAGGTGGACAAAGAACACCAGGAACGTAATGAGGAAAGGACAGTGCTGTTCTTAGTTTGCCCAAAGCGACTCGCGCAGAGTCGAAAATCTGTCAAGCATTGTCAAGCTATGTCAAGCTCAAACCGCGTAGTGAAGACTGGGTTGTGCTGTTTCTACAGAGCAATTTCCACAAGTCGTATATGGTGTTTACTGGTTAAGCGACTTCTCAAAGTGCCAATCACACACTTTTTCATTCACGTATATATATATATATATTACCGCAAACAGAAGAGGTTTCACCCCCTAAAGCGAGACTTGCATAGACTGCAAGATCTGAGGCAACCACTGGGAAATCAGCCTCTGTGAGCCATGGGCCAAAACCACATCTAGCTGGTCACTGGTAAATGGATGTAAATGGGTGTTCATCTTCCCCACATTTCCCACTATGGCATCACGAGTTGTTGCACCATGTTGCACCCCTAGCCGCAAAGCCAAGGTCTTTCAAGCTGACTTCAAGCAGTTTTTCTGCCGCTACAACGAGCCTTCGTGCGATCGGGTTGAGTTCACCATGATGTGGTCGTCAAGTCTCTATCAAGTCAGTGGTATATGCAGGCTGTTCAACTGCTCCAGAGAAACAATCTGCTTGATCATTGGTAGTTTCGGAGTCCTGCCACAAGCAGGTTGTTCCGGAAACGTGTTCAAGTGATGAGCTGGCTCCAATGGCTAAGCATGATCAGTCAGCTGAAGAGGTACATCAAGCAGGTGAAGATTGATATTCTCACCATGCTTGCAGACTTCAATAGTGCTATTCTCAGTTGCGCCAGCTACTGAGGCTACTGAGGTTTTCCCTCAGTGAACATCACCTCAATTGGTGGTAAAGAGCTGTGAATCTCCCAAAAAAGGTGATGACGATTTGACTTTTCGAAAAAAAAATAAGCTTTGGTGGTATCCCCAACAGCCGCGACGGTTTATTTTTACAAATCTTTCTGAAGCGTGCTGCGAAGCAAAGCGCTGGAAACACCTCAGCTGGGTTTCAGTGAGTTAAATGGCCGCAAATCCTGTTGAACCTGACCTGGCTCTACCAAAGCCTCCCAGACCTTCTCCGGAACCTTCTCCGGAACCCTGACCTGGCTCTGCACCAAAGCCTTGCAGACCTCCGGAACCTTCTCCGGAACCCTGTTGGACCTGACCTGGCTCTGCACCAAAGCCTCCCGGAACCTTCTCTCGAATCTTCTCCGGAACCCTGTTGAACCGGACCCGGCTCTGCACCGAAGCCTCCCACATCCTCTCCGGAACCTTCTCCGGAACCCTGTTGAACCTGACCTGGCTCTGCACCAAAGCCTCTCCGACACCAAGGCTTCCTGGAACCTTCTCCGAAACCTTCTCCGGAACCCTGTTGCACCTGACCTGGCTCTGCACCAAAGCCTCCCAGACCTTCTCCGGAACCTTCTTCAGAACCCTGTTGAACTTGAACTGGCTATGCACCAAAGCCTCCCGGAACCTTCTGTCTCCGGAACCTTCTCCGGAACCCTATTGAACTTAACCTGGCTTCCTGGAACCGTCTCCGGAACCTTCTCCGGAACCCTGTTGCACCTGACCTGGCTCTGCACCAAAGCCTCCCAGACCTTCTCCGGAACCTTCTTCAGAACCCTGTTGAACCTGAACTGGCTATGCACCAAAGCCTCCCGGAACCTTCTGTCTCCGGAACCTTCTCCGGAACCCTATTGAACTTAACCTGGCTTCCTGGAACCTTCTCCGGAACCTCTCCGGAACCTCTCCGGAACCCTGTTGAACCTGACCTGGCTCTGCACCGAAGCCTCCCAGACCTTCTCCGGAACCTTCGGAACCTTCTCCAGAGCCTTGTTGAACCTCACCCGGCGCCTGCACCAGTGCACACCAGAGCTATTCTGGGCTGAAGACCCCATTAGCTTACACTGTTGGGGAAAAACACACACATTTTGGTGGCTACATGTCCAAGAGGTTTGCACACCCGGAGTTGAATCGATTTTGTGATTTCGCGGAACGTCACCAGGGCGAGATGGTGTGGTTCGAGTGGCTTTCAAGTGTCGCAGCACAGTGTAATCGTGCCTGACAGGTGCCGAGCATATCGTCCTTGAGCTCAGCGAGTGCGCAGAAGACAATCAGGTCAACATAAAATTGATTACCCTCTGGTAAACATACAAAAAACATCAAAAAACTATGGAAAATCACCATGTTTAATGAGAAAATCCAGTATTTCTATGGTCATGTTCAATAGCAAACTGTTTGTTTACCAGAGGGTAAATTACTGGTGAAAATGATTGGGCATGAAACTTAGGATCATCTGAGTGGAGCTGGGCTTCTAAGACTGGTTGACCTTAGTGATTGATTTGTAGAGGGAACCTCCTTTAGAGGGATACTAATGTATCATCCAAATTGAATATGGATCAATATGGATCAATATGGATCAATAGGGGATTAAGAAACAAATCTCAACTTGTGTTTGCTGTTTCAAGCCGATTGTATACATACCCACTGTGATTGATTATTATGATACATTCTGATCCATTATGTTTTGATGGTGTCAGACATTCCGGTGTTCGTTGCTGACATCCTCGCTGTTTTCTGGTTATCTCTCCTATACATGCCTATACAATCCTATACACACAGTTCCCATGTTTTCTGTTTATACAAACTGAGTTTCTGCGTACCAAATCAGATTCTTGCTGTTTGATTGTTCCAGTTGGTGCTTTACGAATTGGTGTTGCTTGGAGGGTGCCAGTTGATTTATACCTTGTTTGCGATCCCCTTTTTGTGGATAGAATCAGTTTGCTACCCAACGGACCCAACCACTATTGCAAGCTGATTCCACATCCATGCTTGCTGATTTATATCCCATGACACTCCATGTTTCTATAAGATCTATAAGTTGATAGGTTGATAAGTTGTCAACGAATGTCACAGACTTATTCAATAGGTGAATATCCCCAACTGTTACTGGGTTTTTGAGCCCTTCGTTTACAAACTTCTTGCATTTTTGTTGTGTAAAAATGTGTAAAAGATATCTAAGTAATTTCTAAGTAAACAGATACTGATGAATAGTTATATAGTTAGTATATGTTATAATGTATACATCATGTAGTTTATATATGTATAGAGAGAGAGATGGAAACAGACCCCCAGAATCTTAGATCCAAATGATTTTGACTTGATTCCCTCATTATAGCTATATCAAATGGATTCGAACATTATACTTGTTGGTGGAAATCCCTGATTTTGGTTCTTTAAATCCAATGTGTTGTCTTTAAATCCCAATTCTTGGTGTTTAACATTGTTTAACTCCATATATATCCATATATTAGTTTGGTAGCCTTATTCCAGTTTTTCGGGTCCTCAACAAACCTATGGTTGTGAACTCCCAATTTTGGGCTGGTCAAAGTTTTTGTGATGGTGGTTATTTATCGCAACTGAAGACCAACTATTTGTTGGTAATGTTAAATCCCAGTTTTGTGGCTTCCATTTTTTAGGTGGCTCAATTTAAAGTTTGTGGTTATCCCGACCAGTTGAACCCTAACTTGGCGTTTAAATCTCTGAAATCCCAATTTTTGGCTGTTCCATCCCACATTTTGATGCTTGGATCCACATCCACATGTTCTCCAGGTACGTTACTGAGGTGGATGTGGAGATAGCCCGCAGAGCGATTCGTGCGATTGGCACTATTGCGGTGACTCGAACTCTGAGAAATCTGAGATCGGGAAACTCTGGGAAATCCTGCTAAAGTATACCTGAAATGCAGATAGGAACTTAAGAGATTGAAATCCAAAGCTGTTTGGGGTTGAAATGGACCCAGTGTAAAAAATGGAACTTCAAGTACCAAAGATGGGGATTTTCAGCGATGATTCGATACCTTGGGAGACCCATAGCCAACGATCTCAGAACCTGACGCGCACCTGTGTCTGTTGGTCAAGTCGGGGAACTGGATGAGTCTGGATGAAGGGGGAAATAAAGCTCGGAAAATACATGAAAATCAGTTTTTTTTCCATGTCTTTCCATTTTTTCAATGAACCCCCACTGGTTTCCTGTGTTTTTGCTGAGACAAACCGGTTGGGTAAGTCGCTGCCATGTCCTCGCTGATCCCATAACCCAAGGTGCACGTGCCCTCTACCTCTGAGATGATTGTGTCTTGGCATTTCATTTTCAAGTGGTTGGTAGTTTGGTTCCATGGGGTCTTTACATCTTGGTTTGATCATGGAGGACTAGTTCATCATCAAACGCACGTAGTTCTGTTTAGATCCTTTTGCATCCTTTTGCCGGATCCCTAAAATCCGTCAGGTCAGACTCAGTCAGACTTCAAGCATCTTAGATTTGATTCCTACCGCCAAAATCTCCGATGTTTGTTTTTAAAAAAGTGGCAGGTCTGTGGCAGCTAAGGTTAGCTCCTTGTCCAACTTGCTGGAGTTGGATATCGATTATGTTGGGAGCCTTGGAAGGTTTTTCAGGGCTCGAAGATCCTCGAAGATCCCTGTGGTGTGGATATAGATCCCTGTGGATTGAAACCGGGTGGACCGTCATGAGTCATAAGTGCCATGCTACCAGGACCTATCGAAACATTGAAAAGCAGCTGCAGCCCATGCGTGCTCAAACATTGTTTATGGGGCCTGGCACGTTGGCGCCTTTCATTTTGAAAGTCGAGGTAGAAGTACATCGAAACATGTTTGCTCATGTGGATTGGGACATCCAACACTTTGCATTGGACCTCACCCTAACGTCCAGAGAGTATTTGCAACCCCCCTGGGCAGGGTTTCAGCCTTTTAAAAGCAACAAAATCAAGCATCTGATGGAAGATGGATAATCAGAACTCTGCGGAAAAAAGAGATGACCCTATGACCTATGACTTTATTTTTTCATGATGTGAAACCATGACCCTTTGACCCACTTGGATCACTCGGCGTCCAGGTTTGTACAGAAGCCGCTGTGGTCATGAAGGACCTGGTACGGAAGTAAGGATCTCAGAGATACAAGTCTTGTTGGACGGAATTTTCCAGTCTATTTTGTAGCTCCAACAGCTGTGATTCATACTTCTCAGCACTGTCATCAATGTTCCGTCTTAGAATAGAACAATTGCATAAGTACCCTGCTCCGGTGATTGAACATAGCTATGGAAAATGGCCCCATTTGGATCTATTTGGTTTCATTTTTTACCTGTCAAAAGTGGTGGTGTTCAATAGCAAACTGTGAAATTACCACATTAGATCCACAGGGTATAAACTTGATCCCCCAGTTATAGATCATTTTCCCAGCTATAAGCCTCCCTTTAACTTTAATTTATACAGTTCGGGGATTTCCCAGCGATGTTTGAATCCCTTGGCCCCAGGTATCCCGAGCAATTTCAGCAAGCCTCGGGAGCTGTGCAGCTCGGGAGTCCCAGATTTGAAGCCTGTGAGACCATCAGGATATCATGGGGATATGACATAAAAATGACCATCAAATGACCATAAAATATGACTCAGAATATGATACAGGTCCTGTTGAAAAATGGTGGATTTACATATTTCATCATATTTCAGATTTCACATGGATTTACCCCATGTTTGCAGTTTTTATGATCAACAATTTGGGAGGCCCAATGTTTGCGACAAAACCACCTGAACCATACGATTGTAAGTCAAAAAGCATTGGTACCTGAGTGAGCATCCCAATCGCGATGAATTTGTTGAAGGAGTTTTTGTATGTTCTTTGACTTAGATGAAGGGAAGACAGCTAGACCCCTGTTTTTGATAGAATATTTGGAGCGAAGGAACAGTAATTTGTCAACTGGGGCGTTGTTTTTTTTGTGCAGCTACATCAGGAATTACAAACAGGTTGCCCCATTCGGAGATTCGCTTTATTCCCGCATGATGCAGAAATTGAATGAAAATGAGTCGGTTGAGTTGTCGGATACCACCAAAACTGGATGGATGCTTCCTCCTAGAGGCAATCATCATCTTCCATTCTTCCATCAAATTTCATGAGACTTAAAGTTTGACCCAATGGCTCCCATATGGATATGGACATGGATGTTGTGACCATTGTGGTTGGCCGCGCGGCTGGTAAGCCACCAGGAAATGCCTTAAGATTGTTAGCGAGCCCGATGGCAAGAGCGTCTCTTGGTTGGTGAAATTGCCTCTATGGGAATGAATGAAATTTGGATCCAAAAAAATGGATGCCTGAGATTAGATTCCTAAATTTATCCCAACTTGCGGGGGTCTCAGATTCTTTGATTGTAAGCCACGGGCCAAAGGTATCGGATGATTGAAACTGCAGTTGAAACTTGAAACATAGTGAAAGTTTGACCCTGAAGAAATCACTGACAGTGGCTGGGACATTCCAGTTCAGGAGGGTTTCAGATGTTTCAGTGCGTTGATGGGGGTTCTGGACATACGTTTGTCTCAAAATGTGGCATGCCCAAAATTACCTTTGATTGACATAGACCCTGAAAATAGAAAAAACATGAAAAAAAACAAAAAAAAGTGACAACCAGTCTTCCAAGCCCTGATGTCAGGGTCTATGTGAATTTCCTGGAGGGTAGGGAAACTGATGATTAACGAATGGATGCAATGGGGCACCTTCTTCTTCCCGGCAGTTCCCACTTTCCCGGGACCTTGGTGTTTTTTTTTGTGCTCTAAGATGTTGCTAAAAATAGACATGGGGATACGATATATACATATAATATATATATATATATATATATATATGCAAAGATAGATAGATAGATAGACAGACAGACAGACAGATAGATAGATAGATTAGTGTGTATATATATATATATACATCCAATATAATGATATTGCATGATAGATATGTGATTATATGATGTAATTAGATTCACCAGCTAGAAAACGCATGATTTTTGCATGATACAATTGGTTGTGCAGGGCGTCCACCAAAAAATCTCTGGGAATTATCGACGGTCCGAGGCCTTGCTATGGATCCTGGGTGAGTATGGTCTCCTCATTGAGGTCCCGCAAAAGTAGAGCATGAACGGGGGATGGGAGTCAATGGACAATAGTGGATTTAACCAACAATAAATGCAGGTTTTATGTTTGTTCTTGGCCTTATGGTTGTTAGTTGTGAACCAAGTTTGTTTGGAAAATATATATGACTGTAAATCCCAATCCCATATGAGTGAGGGGGATTGCATAATTATATGAGCATTTTTTTACATGATGGAACAAAACCACGGTACCCTGGTTTTCGCACCAAAATAGTTGCTTTATGGTTGCAGCTGGATGTTCATCACCCAAGTTGGTTCCATAGCTATCCATAGCCAGGATGCTCCGTACTTGCTTGAACCCATGATCGACGGGTTCATGGAGGACTTGCTGCAAGATGCATCATATAAGGATTTGTTGGCATCATATGACATCCTATCATATGTATTATCTACAGTTTACAGTGGAACATGTGTGTAAGTGAATATATGTATATGTACAGTACATTATATTAATTTATATTAGATGTATTAGGTACATTGGATACTGGATAGATTAGACAGATTAGGTACATTAGACAGAATAGATAGAATAGATAGAATCGCCAGAATAGATAGAACAGATAGAATACATAGAATAGATAAAAAAGAATTAGACTCGTATAGAATGGAACAGAATAGAATAGATAAATATGATGTAGAGCCGTCGATGACATATGCATATGCGTATATGACCTTACACTTACATAACCAACAAGTACAGGAATATCGGTAATGGGCCTATAAGTCGCGATATTGGGAAGATAGGTATCAATGATGGGGACATCGATAGCCAACCTAATAAAGTTTAGTAAAGTGTAGAGATAGATAAAACCAACAGGCACCCTGACTTTGAATCTGAGAGGGCAGTTGCCATAGCACATAAACCCTGATGATTCTGTTCACTGTATCCCTTTCAACGTTGCTGAATCGAGAATTTGACCTGTTGATCTATCCCTTCCTGAAATCCAAGACCCACCGTTCGGAAAGGTTGGAAAAACATCCTGAGCTTCTGCATCCCAATTAGTATGGGATTGTACTACATGGCTCAACAATAAACATGAATACACTATTTGTGCAGTGGATGCACGTACCTGTACATATACACGTGTTTTTATTTGCGTACATATGTATAATACATATTGTAATTTATATATATATACATACAATATGTATATTATATATATTATGTATATATATATATGATATGTGTATATATGATATGATATATATTTATAATATGTATGTATATATGACTATATATGTAATATGTATGTATATACACATACAAGATGTATAAATATATACATAATATGTATGTATATATAATATAATATAATATGTACAATATATATATATATAATGTGTAAATCTATATACACACAGATCCATATTTGAATCACTATGTTACTTTTTATCCGCCAGTGTCCCGGGATCTCACAGCCCTAGATTCCCACCTGAGATCTCGCAGGAACCCAGCGGGGCAGTGCAACTGGAGATGCTGACGGCTACCGTTTGGGAAACCCTGTGATCGGCTAAGAGGGGCTAAGCCCTTCAGGAGCAGTTGAAGAATACAGAGGGATACATCGTTCGATAGAGAAATAGATAGACAGACAGACAGACAGACAGCCAGGTAGGTAGGTAGGTAGATATACAGTATGTGTTTCAGTATATGTATATGTACATGCATATGTAGAATTGTATACACTTTTATACCTATGTATGATTCATGGATACGTGAATTGATACATGGGATATTGAACCAATTGGTGAATTACAAACCATATGCCGGAACAATGCTAACACGTGGAACCCCAATGGGTCAGGATGAACATCCTGTAAAGGCCAGCTGTTTTGGTGTGGTTTAACGGTGGATAGTTGATAGCAGAGCGGCTGGACCCATGTTCATATTTATATACCTAATTTGTTCTATGGTATCTGGAGAAATGTATATAACATTGTATAACACTTGGAATTGAATTTCATTGAATGGAGTAGATATTTCATGGGAGTAGCACCTAGAATTTCATCATAAGTCTGCACCCCACTTTTTCTGCCGGCGGCCCGGAAGTCGTCGTTTTTTTGTCGCGTGGCGACTGAGGTGAAGCTCTTCTTTTGCCGACCGCCCGAGGCTGATGGCAAAACCAGATCTGGATGGGATGTGGATTTGCAACAGTCATTTGATTGGCATTTAGCCATCAAAATTTAGGGATTCAACCAATAATATGGGAACGTTTAACTGGTTGGTGCTTTGGAACCATGGAATTTTATGACTTTCGATCGGGAATGTCATCATCCCAATTGACGAACTCATATATTTTTAAGAGGGGTAGGTATACCACCAACCAAATAAGCATATATGAGCAAGAAATACCAAGAATACATAATCTATATAATATGGGTCGTGGCCAACAATGGGGAATTCACCCTACATTCATGGCTTTGATTTTGGAGTATGCTATTTTTAGAGAGAACCCAAATGGTACGTGCTTTTAGCATGGAGAGAATAAAAGTTGCTTTCGGTTTGGTGGTTTCGGTTTGATTTTGTGGTTTGTTGTTGGTTGGTTATTTGGTTGGCTAGCTTCAAGATTATTGGTTATATCCCCCTTTGGCATGTTGCGATGATCCCAATTTATGCCTATCTTTCAGGGCTTTGGACAGCCACCAAAAAGGAGAGATTGAGTCAAAGATGGTTAGAGAATGCAGCACCTAGATACTTAGGAAATCATAGGGATATTGGTTTGAACCAACCAGCATGGGAATAGATTGCTACCATTTTGATATATTTTCATATATTCCGGGAACATCAACCAAGAACTCAGAACGACAACCACCCAACCTCTTGGCAGGGTCACACCTTGTGGATCCATATACCATGGTAAATCCATTTAAGAACCATCAAACTCGGTGGATTTCCATAAATACATAAGTTGAAGAACAACAAGAAATCCTACAAAATGTTTCATCTCACCATTGTATATCCAAATTGTATCCGCATGTTTTTTTAATGTTCCTATTTTGTTTCTTTTCATGCCGAGGCCTCCCATTGTTGTGACAGCATGACAGCTTCATCCATCCCTTACCTTCCCACAGGTACAAAAGATGCTGGGAAGACTTCTGCAGGAGGTTTGGGCGCAAGTTGGTACCGTGTAGATCCGTGTAGTAATTTAATATAGCTAGGGAAAATGGACATCTGTAGATGATGTTTACTTTAAATTGGTGATTTTCCATAGTGTTCTTTGTTAAATAGCAGAGGTTATTACCTAACAACTTGTTTAGTCAACTGAAAGATTGCAATATTACAGTATATAATTATATATATATACCGTAATATATACTCAATCTGATGTGTTGGATACTTTTTCAATGTGTAAGCAATGGCACCGCCGCCGATGATGCGGGTGATGGTGGCTCACTTTAGCAGCAGATCGTCACTTTTAGGGGGTGATCCATAGCCCAATCAATCTGAAACATTCTGCAGGAAGATGTGGCCCCAAGCAGTCCTATAATATATTTTAATGTATTTTAATGTCCTATATATATATATATCATAGTTATATGATGATTTTAATGTCCTATAATCAGATATATAATCATCATTTGCACTCGAAGAACCATTGAAAATCCTCGATCAAATCCTCCAATCTGACCTGGAGGCCATCCAGGAATGTACACACCCTGACGTTCGGGATAGAGCCCTGCTGTACTACAGGCGGCCGTACGTTTTCGGCGTGGCACAGTGGCAAGTGGCTTGAATTGTTGATAACTGGGGTGCAGCACAGAGATCAAAGCCTGAGATATCAACTAAAGCAAGCCATGTTAATGAAACACGTCATCTCAACTAAATAGAAGTTGTTTTCTTGTGGGATGTTTGAGGTTGACATAATATTAGTGGCAAAAATTAAGAGCTGCGAGGCACCCTTCTCCTTCAAATTGTGCGCCCGATGGGATACCAGTCATAGCACATGAGGACCCAAACTCTCCTAAGATCATTTACACAACTGGCTGGTGGTTTCACTTATGTTCCTCATTCTCCAAGCATGTTCAACCATATTCATTCCATATTTGTTATTTGATCTCCAAAGAAAGACTATGAACACATGGTTATTTGGGCGCTCACCGTGCATCACCGTGCCGCGCCAGGCTATTGCAGGTGTCGCCTGAAGAGGCCAGAAGAGTGATCTGTGCACCCAAGGAGGTGGTGGAGGAGTTCCAAGAGGAGGTTCGCTCGCCGACTGGATGACCAAAATGGCCATTTAAATGGCGACCAAAATGCTGGAGAGATGACCGGGAGTGGACCTTTATTGAAGCTCGTAGATTTCAATATTCCCAAGTATGGCTCTTGAAACAGCAGTTTCACTTAGACTATATGAGTGGAAACAGCCAAGAGAAGAAACAAAGAATTTCTCAGGCAGATTATGTTGGCGCCCGTACGAATCTAACCCCAGTCTGGTGCTCCAATCCAAACCGCAGATGGACGCGGACCTGAAAGACCGGGTCTTTGAGGAGTTCAATTCGCTCCTTGGTGGTGACTTGGGACAGGAGTGTATCACCACAAGCTCTGGAGACAGAGCATGGAAAAGACCGGGATTCAAAGTGTTCGACCTGAGAAATAGGGATGATCCAAGTGATCCAAGCAAAAATTAGATCGCTGTTCAACCAACAAAATGAGAGGTTTTGCAAACACATATTTGGGTTTGACCCACCAAAGATCGAGGATTGACCATCAAGTGATCAATAGTAATACTTACGAATCACTTATGAATGATATCCCCAATTCCAAGTAGGTAGATCATCTATGCATAGAATCTATGCGTAATTGACTTGTCATTACCATTCGTATCTTTATGAAAGAGCCTTGTTGAGTCCAACAACTTGTTGAAGATGAATCCCTCTGACCAAGATGCTTGTGTACATACATATATATATATGTAGTTATATATAGTTATATATATATATATATTACCCTCTGGTTATGACTAACATAGCCATGGTATAGATGGCCCATGGAAATAGATGGTTTACCTCTATTAATAGCATGGTGATTTTCCATGGCTATGTTAAATAACCAGATGGTATATATAGTTTTCATGTCAACCCCTGAATGTATGGCTTACTTCTATAGATGACATTGGTGACCCCAAGCTGCGTGGCTTCCTATCTGGGTAGCACAATCTGGTAAACGCAACAGTAAACTGTGAACCATAGTCAGCCATAGCACCATTTACCCAAGTTTATATACCATTTATATACCATTTATATACCATTTATATCCATTTATATATCATTTATATACCATTTATTGCCGAGGCTGAGGCTCAAAACAATGTGTTATTGTTGTCATTGGGTGTTGGATTTACCAGATTGATATGTTGTGACCCCACGCGTTTTTTCGACTGATAAAACCAACGGGGCGATGGACTCCCCCCGGTTTTTGGTCCAAGGTTGAGCACTGTCTACAAACAGCCAGCCTCGAAGTTCATCCAGGCGGACTCAGTGGGGGGATCCCCATGGTGACGACTGGATGATGACTGGGGGCTATCCCTTTTTTTTCGGAACCCCGAGATGAGGAAAAGGAATAGCTGTTCTATAATCCGCACTACTGGGGCATAGACTGGCATAGACTCATAGACCGCTTTAAAGGGATTGGAACACACAACTTGGGAGGAATCCTGAGGAGGCTGCTGTCCATTTGGGAGAATACCAATTTCAATGTATAGTCTATTCTTCAGTGGCTTACATGAGCATGAGAACGGGGCCACCAAAGTTGTTCTTGGAACTTGTTCATCCGCTGACACTGCATAGGAAGCGGTATTCCAATCCAAAGAATTCGCTGCTAGGGTATATTGGCGGTAAACCCAATCACAAGCTTGTTGGGGGTCTTGATGTGGAAACAACAGACGAAGGCATGTTCAGTTTCAAAGGGCACCAAGACCACTTGTTTTTCAGATATTGGATGGGCGTTTTGTACCTTGAAGTTTCCTTGATTACACAACATGTAATTTGATGGGTTGAGACTCTTGGAGAGGAGATTTGATATTTTTTCGGTCGTAACCAATCTGTGGGTATGTGTTCAGTTGTATAAATTTGCGTATATTGTGTATACACACATTATGTACACATACAATCATATGAACATATAATATATATATACACACAGATATACTGTGTATATAGATCTATACAGTCTATACATGACCCAATGTCAGCCTACATATAGGATCATATAGGTATATCCTGATTAATACATAATTATATAATTATATATATACATACTTTGTACATCAATATTTGCTAGTTACAATATGTTACAATTCCTGTAACTAGCTGACTCTCGCCTCCAGCTCTGTCTGCGGTAGGTCTCTGGGAGCCCCTTCGTGGCAACAAAGATGCCGCCACCTCCTTTGGAGGCGATCGGAGCCCGTGGATCGGTGGGCGATTTGACCAACGTGGCATGGGTTACCAACAAAAAGGAGGAGCTAACATCAGATTTAACCAACACAAAAAGCTGGTAGAATGGAGATATGATCAGATTTTTTTCAGAATATCATGTGGATTATTTTGGATTATCTGATTGTCTAGATTCTAGATAAATTTGATCGCGACACAACCCTGCCGTGAGTCTCTGGAGTGATGGGAATCGAATTGGGGAAATCATCACCACATTGCCATATTTTGAAGCTTGGTGAATTATGATGAGATTTAGCCATAAATTTGTTCTACACTTGTGATTTGAAACCACCCTCTTTTTGATGTTCGTCATCCCAGGGATCGGAACTGGTTTTGATGTTCGCATGGTGAGTTCCTCCAATTTTAACATGGGATGACAAGAGGATTGGTGGACTTGCAGTTATTTTGGGTATGGGTCAGATTTTCACGATGCTAAGTTGTTGCATGATTGTTCAACACTCAAAATGTGTGTGTTTTGCAGTTTTGATCCATACCCACCTCAACAACGTAGTTGAAAGAAATCCTCCAAAACCTGGGCTCCAGATATAGGCCTTGCACGGAATGAACATGGATCAACCACTAATTATTTGGATCAACCTGCAGTGAAGGCAGTTCATCTTCGTTGCCATGGATATTTGACCATATTTGATTTGGACTGATCATCCTGTTTCCTGGCCAAATCGTCAATTCCGCGTAGCAAAATCCACATGTAAACGCATTCCGTGGTTCAACCGTAACCATAGTCCAGAAGCAAAGTAGCGTAGACTTGGTTGAAGGGAGAGTTGCAGGAAACCCTTATATTTGGTTTAAAAAAACGATGGTTTCCTGTAATCTTTCCCAAACGTATCATTCCGTTCCACAGTTTGGTTTAAACATCCGGACAGTCCATCGTTGTTGACGTTTCCCAATGATGTCATCTGCAGGGCGAGCCTCCTGCCGGCTTTGCCAAGCCACCCCCTGTTGGGGAATCCCAGGAGCACTGGGGCGTATTTGGTAAGCCCCTAGAAAGATTCAGAAACGGCTCTTGCTGTTTACTACCTGGTTTGTGTATAAATATATATATACATATATATATATATATATATACAGCAATAAAATTATAGTGATAGTGACTAGTGCTTGTCTTTTGGAAAGATACAGTATGTGTTTTTGTTTTCTCCACCTTCTTGTTGGGGGTTGCCATACCCCAAAATACCATGGTTCTTCGTGTCCTCATTTAAGTTGCAATAAGTTGAGAATAGATTGGACATTTGACCATCAGTGACCAGCTTGAGAAAATGCATAATATTGGCCTCCGATTAATGTCCTGGCACCCTATTGTGAGTTTCCTTCCCTGCCCAATTGAGTATCTTGCCGTTTGTTGGGGGTGGGGCTCTATTGTGAGATTTTTGTTCTCAGATCCAATTTTTTCAGGAGGAGCTTTATCCACCTTTATACACCTTTCTTTGGGTAAAGCTGGTCCATTTACCGTTTACTTTAGAAAGCCATATCCATGTTAAAGCCTTGAAAATGCAAGGTTTCCCAAATGATTAGATGCCTTATTAAACCCTTATCAAAAAACAGCACCCAAACAATTTTTCAAGAGGGTACCCCATGAGTGACTGAGATCCTCAATAATGTAATTGTTTGGATGGTACCCTATTGTGCACAAAAACTTTTGGGGTGAAAAAAACACAACCTTTTATCCACCTTTCTTTGGGTAAAGCTGATCCATTTACTTTAGAAAACCATATCCGGTCCATGTCAAAGCCTTGAAAATGCATGAAAATGCAAGGTTTCCCACATAATTAGATGCCTTATTAAACCCATATTAAAAAACAGCACCCAAACATTTTTCAAGGGGGTACAGTACCCCATGAGTGACCGAGATCCTCAATAATGTAGTTGTTTGGATGGTACCCTATTGTGCACAAAAACTTTTGGGGTGATTGTTTAAAGGTTTGAAAGGAAAACCAATTAAAAGTATATTCAAATGAATTGAAAGTATATAAATTGATTTCAATTATGAATAGATTGTTTGAGGGTTTTAAAGGAAAAACTATTGAAAGTAGATTCAAATGATTTGAAAGTAGATGGGTTTCAATTGAAACCCTTCTTATCAATATATTTTTTTGAGGTTTAAAAGGAAAATCATTTGAAAGTAGTTTCAAATGAATTGAAAGTAAATTGATTTCAATTGAAATCCTTTCTTATCAATAGATTTCTTTGAGGTTTAAAAGGAAAATCAATTGAAAGTAGATGGGTTTCAATTGAAACCCTTACTTAAGTTGATCATCCTGAATCCCCCAGGACTTGTTCCCCAGAAAATGCCGAGTTATTGAGTAGCCTAAATTTGTGGGGGGGGCCCTACACTAATCAGCGCCTTACATTACTCCGTTTGAAACAATGATGGGTTTGGTGGAAACCCACCAACAGAGACTTTCTAGTGTAGATGTGAGATAAGCCGGAAAAGACTGGGATTTTGAGCAAGAAAGACGCAATGGATATATTTACTGGAGAATCCAACAGACCAACCAGATTGAAGAAGCAATCAAAAGTGGATCTACTGCAGCAAATTGAGCATCCCATAATTGAAGGTAACATTCACCGGAAATCCCTCGATTTGGGCGTAAGGAAAAGCTGTTTCCTGATGTTTCCTGCTAATTTTCTCCTAAACAAATCTACCAACAGCAGCTCATTCTCTACCAATCCTGACAGGTGAATGGTGGTGCTGCCTACGCTGTCGACCACCAGGCCAAATGATGAAATTGAACCTCTGGCACCTTGTGTCTCTTGATCATCTAAGCTGCTGTAGGAAAATGAAGCCTTGAATCATCTCAAATCTGAGTTTGCTTCAAAGGTGGATACTGCAGATACCATTAGCTTTCCATAGTTTTCCCACAATTGGCCATGAAACCTAGAGGTTTCCTAAGTCATAGGGCTACCCCCAAATCATCCAATGGATTTTCTAACCATCCAGCTGGGGTACACCCCCATCACTTAGGAAACCTCCAGTCCCAGGTGCCAAACCCGAGCCCTGCGGAGACGGACCTGCTGGGCGAAAGCGGAGGTGGAGCTGCTGGAGGCTCAACGGGATTGATGTGAAAGTAGATCCTTTTCCTAGGAAAGCCATGGATTTTCCACATGTTTCTGTTAGTTTACCCCAGGGTACCTCTTCAAAAACATGCTTTTCCACATTATATATAATTATATATATACATACATGTGTGAAATGACCAGAGCATACTGTATGACTTGCCAGGTCTGTTTGTATGGGTCAAAGCTGGATACCAGAAGACAAACATCTCGCTTAAGGTCCTGAAAATGACCACACATCATACTGCGGTGTCAATTTGGTACTCGTAGCTTAGGATACACCCACTGGATCGTCACAAGGTTCCTGATTCTCCATGATCATCTTTGGGGCTGGGCAAGGACAATTTAAACACCCAATTTGTATCAAAATGTGATGTTTCAAATCCACCATAGAAATGGAATGCTAGTTTTGGCTCAGGAACATCTCCCATGGACATCTCAATTTCCCATTCGGGAACGAACTTGCCTATTGAAAAAAACACAAAAAATTATAGGACCGGATGACCCCACATGTTAACAACTTCTCCAGACTTAGACTGAGCACAGAAAAGCAACAAGGGAAGAGGAAGTATGAGAGTGATGGAGGGGTGATGGTGGGTGACTTTGTGTGTATGTATGTATGTGCATGTACAGTTGAGTGTGAGTGTGAGTGTGAGTGTGAGTGTGAGTGTGAGTGTGAGGGAGGACAGGCGGGAGGAGGAGAAGGAGAAGGAAGGAGCGGATACAGCACTAAAAACAAAAACCCCACACGTCAATGTGGGGAATCATAGTGCGTCTCAAAATTAGGTATACCCATAAAGTAGCCATTGCAATGGCCAGTTGGCCAGTGCCATGATGAACCATCAAATTTTGGGGTACCCTATTCAGACGAACCCATTTCTCTTCAAGCTGCTGGAGCTCTTGTCCAAAAAAAAAACATATCCTGCCGTTGTCTTGGAGCCATCTTGCGAGGAGATCTCTTGGATGACCTCTTTTCGGGTCCTCCACCCGCAGTGAGCGCCGCGCCGGCGACCACGCCCGCAGCGGATTTGGCGAACCTGACTGGATTCTGATGCGAAGAAAGGTGCAAGAGCCAGGGAATCCCGATGTCAAACTAAAGGGAAGATCCTAGAATTACTGTAGAAGCTCAATGAAGCAAACATGTCCTGAATTGCTTCAACTCCCACTTGGTCTCTGCTTTGAAGTCAGGTGTTCTTTCTCCTGTCTTACCTGTCTTTGCTTTGTGCAGGCTACAATCCATTGACCAAACTGCAGCATCTATAGAAGAGCCTGTTTGCGTTACCCAAAGACACCTGTTCAGATTGTTCAGATATTGTTCCTTGCAGATATTTTGGGGGTGTTTGACTTGAATTGAAGAAGAATGCAGACTGTTACCCAAGCAACCTTCCACAAATGGATTTGCCGCACTCCTCTCTGTGCTACGCAGCCTGGATCAATCCATCGGAAATTGATGATATTTATCAATCCAACAGAAATTTTATTTCAACAGAATAAAACATAGATTTGGATTTCAACCACTGAGATGAGGGTTCAAGAAAAAAAACGAGGGAATTGGAATGTCACCCTCACTGGATTTTCCTGGGTTTGAAACTCCATATTTCCTATTTCGCGGCAATGGCGAAGAAAGTCCAAAAATCGATGTTTTTTACTGTCCGGGAATCTTGCCAATCTGGCTGCAGGGTATGGACGCACAGAAGTAAGGACAGACTGAACATGTGTGAAAATCTGACAGCACCCCTGACTGGGTTCATATTTCCTCAAACAGCGAACACGTCACATCAAGCATGCTGGGCGTGTTACACCTGGAAGTAGAGGCAGATAGTGTTAGTGAGTTTTTGACACGGACTTGAATATCGTGAGGGTTGGGGTGACTGTGGGGTCTTTGTTTGATATGACAGTGGGGCCGGGTCTTCACAACCCAACCGAGACTCATTTCCAGAACACACAGCCCTCAAAAACCATTTGGGGGCCCTTTCGACTTAGAATGGGTCGGGCCTTGGGGAGCCTCAGAAAAGAAACACATGCCTAAGAATGGGATGGTGGTTCCATGTGGTTCCATTTTTTGCCAATGGTTCAAACGACAGGAAAGGACCATATTCGGCAGAAAACCCACCATTCTTCCGAGCACCGGGAAGCTTTTTAAGTCCTCCAACTGAGGACGAGAACATGCGAACTGCCAAATGCACTATCCAGAGATCGTCCGCAGCCATCCTGGGCACCCGTGGCCTGGCAACTCGAATGGGGGAACAAGACTGGAATTCAGAAATCGGAATATCTCCAGTCTGAAGCTTCTTCCAAGCACCTTATATAATATATAATATAATATTTAAATGTATAATATATATATATATATATTATATATATATAATACATATATAATATAAGGTAAGAAAATATAGATAAGCTTGCTTTGGGACATGCATCCTTAAGGAGTCATTTGGCCTATCTTAGCCAACCTGAATGTGCTGAATCCTTTGCAGCCCATTTTTTGAGGCTACAAACCTTCTGATCAGACGATTTTATTTTTTGCAGCGGCACGGCGGGTCGGACAAGATGCCCAGGTGCAGCCGCGCAGCACAAAGTGTCCCTGTAACTGTTCTTTCACCAATTGCCAGCAGTTGTACAAAGAGAGGTAAGGGTAGTTCACAATACTATTCCAAAAGAGGAGCAGTATCCCTTATCCCTGACTCCCGATGTCCTGCATTCATTGCAGGCCCTGGCTTTGTGCCGGCTGCTGGTGGACCGCAAAATCAACATTGACATCAACCACGGTGATGTAGCTTGGAGCAGCCTCGAAGTGAAGTTGGAGGGCTACTGGATAAGCTTGCCTCCAAAGCCAACGTTTCCAAACATCTAAAATCTGAAATCTAAAAAGCTCTGATAAAAGCAGGTTATATACCTATACACCTTGCATCCATGACCATTTTATGATCAAAAGTAAGGGCCTACTAAGCCTACGGCCCGACCTAAATAATATTAAATATATTTTAAATATTTGAGGGGATCTAGAACTCTAAAATGATCTACTGTAAATCTGTTGGTTCCACAGTCTAAATACAAGACCGACTAACCCTACATCCTACCGAATACACGAATCTATTGGCCCATTTTCGTTCAAGAGACAGAAACCGATTTGTGAATGGGTTTCCTATGTGCATCCAATTGTGCAGGCAGCACTGCCAGCCATTCCAGTTTCATTGAGACGTGGGTGGTGATAGTGCAGGAAATGCACGAAGATAGAAAGACCAAGTCGCTGCCTATCCTGTTGGGGAGACAACCTTCCACAAGCAAACCAACGACAGGGTTGATAGCTGTTCAAACACGTTATGAAATTTTCATCAAAGATGCTGAACCCCAATTTGCTGAAGCTAGTGGCGTGGGTGCCTTTGTAGGTGAGTGATGCAGGTGAGAGAATTACTGTACTTGAAAATCTGACACCTTTGTACAAGGGTGGTTGATATTCGTAGTGATGAACATGTGCAGGTCAGAGGGCTGAAACAATTTTGTCCAACGCCCAGATGATGTCGCAAACTGCTAGCTGAAGTCGCTCTTGCTTTAGCAAGGTTGATGGCGGGCAGGAACCGCCAATCTCATGACAACTTTACAGTCAACCCTGCCCCCCGGCGGGGCAACCCTCGTAAGCTGATGTACGGGGGCTTGACTGGTTCTACTACGCCATATCACATTCATGTTGTCTTCAGTTTTTCTTTGCTCGTCTTGCCTTGCCTTGGAACATAGTTCTCCATCTTATATACACATGTGGACATATCTGCACAAGTCTTTCCAACAAGGCTGAAAGTGGGGTGTGAAGTCGAATGACTCAGGAAAAATAGCTCCACCTTGTGCGTCAGGGTGAAGGCATCATCATCGTGATCATCGGGCTCATCGTCATCATGGTCATTGTCCATCATCACCATCAATACCATCATTACCATGGTCACCCTCTTTACCTTCACCATCACCGTCATCACTGTCATCACCGTCATCACTGTCATCACTGTCATCACTGGCGGCGTCGTCGTCCTCGTCGTCATCATCATCATCATCAATATCAATCAATTAAGGTCATCCTCAGCCATCCTCTTCTTTTCCCTCTTCCTCTTCCTCCTTGTTTGCCTCCTTTTCTTCCTCTTCCTCCTCCTCACGCCGCCACCATGACCATGATGACCATCATGACAATCATGATCATCTCATCGTCATCATCATTGTCCATTTCCATCACTATCCCCCCCTCACTTTCACCACCATTATAGTTTCGCAATGTTTCGCATCTTCACCATCAATTTTGAAAGCCATTGCCTTTGTCTCCGATATCACTGTGTTTTTCTTGTTGATTTATTTGTATCAATGCCATTCCTTCATATAAACCCTACTGAAGAATACCAGCCCAGCTGGCTTTCGTCCCTCACACGCAGCCTCGAGTCAGCTGCGGCTGTTTCATGTGACCGCTTCCTTTTCGTCTCCGGCTATCCGGACACCAAGGCGTTGCGCCAGACCGCGTTATTTTACGCGGCTCGTCAAGGGCATGCGGATACCATCAGGCAGGGTTAGTCCAAACATGGTCAAATGTTCAATCCGTTCAATTACACTGGAAACCGTTTAGTTTATACATTTATATACATTTTATACATGTGTATAATTGTGTATACATCTTCGTGGACAGTCCCTCTGAGCCACGCATGCGAGCGCATGCAGTCGCATGCGGTCAACTTGTTTAAACGTAAACCTTTTAATCGCCAGTTAGTTTTGACTTTCCCCGATGTGATTCAGGAAACCATTTAATTTGAACATGTTCAAAGACAAGGTTTCAACATGTTCAAACTGCTGCACGATCCAGCCATCACGGGGCACTTGTTGTGTTGGGTGGTTGGATTCAGAAATCATCAGAAATGCTTAAACATGATGTTTCAAGATTCGTCGCTTGCTCAAGCATTTCCAGCCGGCAATTTTTGTGCAGTTTGGGTCAAGAAATTACGGTATCCCGGAAACTGCTCGGATATGAGATATGTTCAAAATTTATTGAAATTATTTGTGCTTGCGGAATGTTGCCGCAGGGATTGTTTAAACATATGTGGTTTTAAAGTTAAACTTCTATCTTAAAAAGTTTAAAACATGGTTTGAATAACGGGTTATTGATTCTATTAAACAGGTGCTCGCCCCAACCTTGCTATCAGGTTCTTAATCAGTTTGGGCGCAAACCCCAACGTCAAAGACTCCAATGGAGAAACGGCGCAACTGATCTCAAAAAGATCAAAAAAGGATGTTTGAAAGGTGTTTGACATTCATGATGGACATCAGTTGGTGCCAGGGAACAGTTTCAAGCTCAAGATGAAACCCACAACATGCGGGCGGGCGGTGCCAGGGGTGCGCATCTGAGGATGTTCTTTGCTGTGCGAAAAAAACGAACCGCTGCAGTCAAGGCTCTTCTGGACAATGGGGCACATTTGAAAGCGCCTGTGCAAAATTGGGCGAATGCGGATAGCAACCAAAACTCACCCCATGGCAACAAGCTGGGTGCTCTCACTGAGGTGGTCAACAAATGGCACCACACTTGCTTTAGTCTCTCTCCCGCTGAAGTCCTGCCTGTTCTACAGGAGGCGGGGAATTCGATGAACCAGAGAGGAAGACAGGAAGACAGGTCATTAAGTGTGACGTATATTGGCACATGTGTCGTGTCTATAAACAAGTGATCAGTTTCAGTATTGTTTGGATCTTGCAACATGTGTGCCTCTCTTAGGAACGCCAAAAGAAACGCAGCTATGACGAGTCAGGCCTGGTTCTGCCTACATCCTGAGTAAGTACCTCCCACACTGGTGTCCCTATTTGACGGATGGTGGCATCCATCCTTCAAGGCAACCATGTCCGGCTAGAACATCGCCTATTCATATCATTTCACATCTATCGGTCAATGAATGTCCCAGGAAAAGTATGGGGGTTCCAATGCTCCAGCCTTGTTTGCTTACCTCCGGTCAAGTTCGCATTCTGCCTTGGATTCACTACTGTAGACTATGTTGGACTTTAGTTGGTGTGTTTTTGGGATTCGGTACGACACGACCCCAACAGCCCTAAAGCAGGTGAATAACATGTGATCCTAGATTTTTGTAGCCCGGACCGTGGCGCCGGTCACCCATGTTGGAAAGCTTCTAGCTCGTGGTTTCTGCGGCAATATTTGAAGAAGTCAGTGTTTCTGTGAGCCAAGCGTGCCATCTGCCCAAGTTCCAGCTCATTTGTATAAGTAGGATATGTGGATTCTCTTAAACGGTATGAAAAAATGAGGTACCCAGACCGGTTGGCTTCATTCATGGACCTGGAGGAGGTGAGCTGTGAGCATGTTTCCAAGCAGTTTAGTTTTGCACATGAGCAGACGCCAGACCACCAGGTCCAGGGCCAAAGCGCCGACGGACAGCTGCGGAAGAACTGCGTGCTTGGGCTGACGAGTGGCCAATAAAGGAGCCAGTCGTCGGTACCTTGGATTCAACAGCCCTCGCCGCCGAAGTTCAGCAGACTCACCAGCTTTAGGGGCCTCGACAGGTCATCACTGGCCACGGCTGGTATGCTTCAATCATTTTGTCCATGATCGCCTTGATGGGAGAGTCTTATAACTATTCTTTACAGATCTGGGGTGTGTCAAATCAAAGCTACTATGAACTTTGGGATAGTTGACTCAATTTCCAAGATCACCGGCGCTGCGGTCCCAGAGTCTGGACCAGGCGGGTTGGTCCAAAAAAGTATACCCCTGTCACTGGATGCTCCCACTACTGTACAAGCAAACATGTTTTGGGCAGACGCAGGTGATGAAACCAATGGTTTTACTTGCCACTTCTGTTTGCCAGAAGGCCCATATGCTTTGGGTCTCTTGGGGTAGTTTGGCATTAGTCTATATTTATGGGCATTTTTGGGGGCATGGCAGGCCCCTTGCTACTTGCAGCCACGTTTCGACCATTGAGGCAAAGAAATCGATTTTCGGGAAGAGGACTGATGGAGAGTCCACATGGGACCTATCTGCCCTATCTGGGGACCTATCTGACCGTCTGACCTATCTTACAATCTTACACATTTCGAAGTAGAGGAATCATAGTCCAGCTGCACTTCTATCATCTTATGAGCAATATTTAATATGTCATAAATATACACCTACAGGACATCTATGCACACGACAGGCTTATTCATCACAGGTCACATCCGATTTGATAAAAGTGCATGATCTTGATGGATTCACGTGTCCATGCATGGCGTGTTCCAGTCAGAGGATGTTCTCGCTGTGAAGAGCGTCGACAAGAGCACTGGCAAGCATGGAGAGTATGCTGTCCTCAGCAAGTGCCCTGGAAAGTGTGCTGCAAGATTGCGACTGTCAGAGAAAGAATTCGTCTATGACCACGCCATGTTTCTTGCCCAGCGATTTGGACGTGGGTCATGCCCGGGTAATTCTTAATTGGCCAGATTTTGGGACCGTACCACCACCAGAAACTTTGGAAACGACCAATACAGAAATTGGATGAAATTGGTCAGGTTACAACTTACTGTACAACAGACAACTAATATCAAGTGCATTTGTGGTCCCAGTGCTGAACAATCCTGACATTTTTTGACCATTTTTGACCCATGCAGTAGCAGGGATGATGATCATAGCCAGAGTCATCCAGAGGATATCAAAAGACGACCGGGAAGGTCGCAGCTATACCAGTGATGGTTGAGAATGCAGAAGCCGCTTGAAAGGTCTCTTCGAGACCAAGCCAGGCAGCTGAAATTTAGCCACACAGGGACGTGCTGAAACATGTCGACATGTTGGGGCCAAACTTGGCATGATGCTTATGCGCGCATCCAAGGATGATGAAAGACGAACTCTTCTTTGAAGACCTCAAGCCAGAGGACCTGAAGAAGCACGCGTGTCGGAACTGTATCCGCCAGAATTGGTGTATTTGAGTGGAAATTTAGAGGAAACCTTTGCATGTGGACGGTGACCCCAGTCTGTCCTTATTCTCCCAGTGAGACAAGTCCAGGACAGGATTGCGCCTGTCAAAATTCGAACTGCACACCAGACATCTACGTTTCCAACACATTGAAAGCATTTGTGTTTTTGGGGCTGTGAATTTTCATGGCTTCTTCGGACGTGGAAGCCACAGCAGGTCTTTCCTTATGTCTCAACAGCATCATGTTTGGTCGTGGGACATCTTGGCATTGCAATTTCCAGAAGCGGTTTGATGCAAGATTCGCAGGGAACCTGAGTCGTGGATAACTAGTCAAGACTGGTAACCAAGATGTTGGTTAACCCTGATGCTTGCAGTCTCAATTCACACTCTTGAGCGCGTGCGTGAAATCCAAGTTTCACTTGTTTAAGCAGCACCAGGCCGATGATTGCGAAACCATTGATGATTCAAAATTGCTCTTGTTGCTTGAACCACTTTGCATGGTTCATCCGCTTCCGATTTGATGCTTTGACAGTGTGCTCCTCTTTTAATCTCTTTTATGGGTTCGACCCTAGGTTGGTTCAGCACAACCAAGAAGCTCATCAACCATCAACCAACTTGGCACGGCTTTCCAGGACTGGTGCCAGAACGTGGGCGTCCTCACAGACGCTGGCGGTGCAGTCGAAGGCATCAAGGCTGGGACTGATCTTGAAAAGAATGCTTTAAGATGGTGAAAGGGGTTATAGACAGTGGTCTGGGGCAAGGGTACGTACAGCTGTCACCATCGTGAAAATAAGGATGTCGACGGTAACAAACTGACACTTCAACAACAAACACAACATGCTATTCTTTTGTGTTTGTTTACCAGTAGTACCGCACGAGGCGACCGTGGAAATTTCAATGATAGGCATCTATAGGAGAGGCGAGTTGCTGTGTGATGCATGAATGGCAGAGCGCAGCCACTGGTTGGCCGAAAGGTGGTTGGAGCTGTGCTTTGTGAAATAGTTGCGGTGGTCACCTCACCCACAACTGCTGGATGTAGTGTGGTGTGGTGTAGCGTAGCCTAGCTGTAGCTGTAGTGTAGTTGTAGGTGTTGTAGTGTAGCTGTGGCTGCAGTTGAAGTTGAAGGTGAAGTTCTAGTCAAGTTGTAGTAGTTGCTGTTGCTGCTGTTGCAATCGTAGTGTAGTGTATTGGCAGTTGTAGTGGTAGCTGTAGTAGTAGCTGTTGTTCTTGTTGTTGTTGTTGCTGCTGTAGTTGTAGTTGTAGTTGTAGTGTAGGGTAGCGTAGTGTAGCAGATGTGTAGTGTAGTTGTTGTTGTAGTGGTAGTTGTAGTTGTAATTGATTCTAGTGCAGTTGTCGTAGTTGTAGGTGTAGCGTAGTTTTACTTGGTATTTGTATAAGTAGTTGTACTGGTGGTGTTTGCAGTTGTAGTTGCAGTTGCTGTTGAAATGTAGTGGCAGTGGTAGTGGTCATGGTAGTGGTCATGGTAGTGGTAGTGTAGCTGTAGTTGTAGTGTCGTGCAGCGGTAGTTGTAATTGTACTTGTAGCTGTAGTAGTAGCTGTTGTTGTTGTGGTAGTTGCGGGTGTAATGTAGTGGTAGTTGTAGCTGTAATGTCGTGGTAGTTGTAGTTGTAATGTAGGGGTAGCTGTAGTAAGTAGTTAGTGGTTAGCCGAAGGAAGTTTAGAAGTCAAACTTCCGACTTCCGACAATATGGACAGATGAAAAGCAGAGCAGGGAAGAGGCAGAGAGAAGAGAAAGATTAGAAGAAAGAAAAGTGAGAAGAAAGAAGATGCAGATGTGCGAAAAGGTAGGAAAGTCGCGAAACACTGTTTTTCCAATGATTTGGGGCTCCGGAGGGTCGAAAAGTAGGCTCGCTAAAGCGGCGAGTGCGGAGCCAGCTGGCCAGCTGGACCACTTTTGGAGGTTCAGATGTCGAAAAAGTGCACGCCGTTGTGGCGCGAAGCACATTTCGAAGTCAAAATGTTAAAAACACCAGGGGTTCGGACCACTTTTGGAGGTTCGGATGTCGAAAAAGTGCACGCCGTTGTGGCGCGAAGCACATTTCGAAGTCAAAATGTTAAAAACACCAGGGGTTCGGACCACTTTTGGAGGTTCAGATGTCGCTTCGCTTCACTACACTACAGGACATTACACTACACTACACTCCAGTACACTACATTACGCTACACTACGCTCCAGTACACTCCACTACACTAAATTACACTACACCACACTACATTACACTGAATGACACTGCAACACAGATAGTCAGGTAGATAGATAGATAGATAGATAGATAGATAGACAGATAGATAGGTAGATAGATAGAAAGATAGATAGATAGACAGATAGATAGATAGATAGGTAGATGGATAGATAGATACATAGATGCATAGATACACAGATACATAGATGCATAGATACATAGATACATAGATAGATAGTCAGAGAAAGAGAGAGAAAGAGAGGAGACCTCAAGCACCTTTCGGTCCATCAGTGGCTTCGCTCTGCCATCCCTGATTCACAACAACCAAGCTCTCCTATAAATTTCCTATTTTTGAAACTTCCGCCACCGCCTTGTGCGGTACTACTGGTAGTACTAGTAGTACTAGTACTAGTACTAGTAGTAGTAGTAGTAGTACTAGTACTAGTACTAGTACTAGTACTAGTACTAGTACTAGTACTAGTAGTACTAGTAGTAGTACTAGTAGTACTAGTAGTACTAGTAGTAGTACTAGTAGTAGTACTAGTAGTACTAGTAGTACTAGTAGTACTAGTAGTACTAGTAGTACTAGTAGTACTAGCAAAGTAGTAGTAGTACTAGCAAAGTAGTAGTAGTAGCAGCAGTAGTAGCAGTAGTAGCAGTAGTAGCAGTAGTAGTAGCAGTAGTAGCAGTAGTAGCAGTAGTAGTAGCAGTAGTAGCAGTAGTAGCAGCAGTAGGGGTAGTAGTAGTAGTAGTAGTGGTAGTAGTGGTAGTAATGGTAGTAGTGGTAGTAATGGTAGTAGTGTAGTAGTAGTAGTAGTAGTAGTAGTAGGAGAAAGAGTAGCAGTAGTAGCAGTAGTAGCAGTAGTAGCAGTAGTAGCAGTAGTAGCAGTAGCAGCAGTAGTAGCAGTAGTAGCAGTAGTAGCAGTAGCAGCAGTAGTTGTGGTAGTAGTGGTAGTGGTAGTTGGTAGTAGGAGTGGGAGTAGTAGTAGTAGTAGTAGTGGTAGTAGTGGTAGTAGTGGTAGTAGTGGTAGTAGTGGTAGTAGTGGTAGTTGGTAGTAGGAGTGGGAGTAGTAGTAGTAGTAGTAGTAGTAGTAGTTGGAGTAGCAGCAAGAGGAGGAGTAGTAGTAGTAGCAGCAGCAGTAGCAGTAGCAGTAGCAGCAGCAGCAGCAGCAGTAGTAGTAGTAGTAGTAAGTAGTAGTTTGTTGTTGTTGTTGGTGGTGGTGGTGGTGGTGATAGTGGTTGCTGTTGTTGTTGTTGTTGGTACAAACAAAGACTGGGGCCCTCAAGACAAGCTACCCGAGCTTATTTTGGAATTTGCTTGGTGTTCCTTGAGGGCGTCCATGGAGTTTTCCACCGTTTTGAAAAAGAATTTTGGTGTAGACTTTTGGCTCCTTTTTTTAGTTGGGATAAAGCTTCCGGGACTCCTTTGTGACCGCTCAGCAGCCGAAGTCTTGCAAAAAAGGCGTCCAGCAGGGCCGCTTTGGATCATTATACTTTTTCTGGTTGCTGGACCCCTTGAGGCGCGCCAACGGCTCAAAACCAAAAAAGGGGTCTAGCAGCCTCTATTTTGGATTTCCATGATCCGACGTTTCATTTTCTAGCTGCTGGACCCCTTTTTGTGCTGTCAGCGGTCTGGATCCGCCAAAAAGGGGTCCAGCGGCACCTGACTTCAGACTTGCTACCTTTTCCTGCTAAAAAGGGGTCCTGTGACCTGGCTTCAAATTTGCTTCCGGGTCGACCTTTTCAGCAGCTTTGCTACACGGAGACGCTGTACCTGTGTTAGCCCTCTCTGTTCCTTCTTCTGCTTCTGCTTGTGGCCGTCGTCTCTGTGCGGCGGTTGTTGTCTGGAGATCCCTCCTCTTTTTTGTTCCAAGATCTGCAAAGCATACCCTTTATGCAAGGGCCGCCTAGCTCAGTCGGTAGGGCGCAAGGCCCTTAACCTGAAGATTCCAAACCTGAAGATTGAAGGTTCGAGCCTGCCCTGGGTCATCATATTGTTTTTCCGCCAATGAGGCTCTTGTGCCAATCTTGCGGAGAAAAGTGTTCTTGTTCTCTCTTTCTCTCTCTCTCTTTTAGAGGCTGTACCTATTTTATCTCTCTCTTCCTTCTTGGCTCATGGTCATGCTGCCTTTGTTGATCCATCAGCCGCCTCGCTCAGTTGGTAGGGCGCAAGGCCCTGAACTTGAGTTCCGCCCTTGTTCTGGAAAAAACTGAATTAGACTCTTGGTGCTGGACCCCTTTTTTGTGCCGTGAGCGGCCTGGATCTTCCAAAAAGGGGCCCACCGCAATAGAACCTCAAACTTGCTTCCGGATCGACCTTCTCTGTGGCCCCGCCACACTGAGGGTGTACCTGCGTTAGCTCTCTCTGTTCCTTACTCTGCTTGTGGCCGTTGCTCTGTGTGCGGCAGTTCTTGTCTGGATATACCCCCTTTGTTCCAAGATCTGCAAAGCAAACCCTTTATGCAAGGGTCGCCTAGCTCAGTCGGTAGAACGCATGGCCCTTTTTGGAGGATCCAGGCAGCTCACAGCACAAAAAGGGGTCCAGCACTAGGAAAAAGGTGAAGGTCTGAGCTGAGGTGGCGGTGGGCCCCTTTTTGGAGGATCGCTCACAGCACAAAAAGGGGTCCAGCACTAGGAAAAAGGTGAAGGTCTGAGCTGAGGTGGCGGTGGGCCCCTTTTTGGGGGATCCAGGCCGCTCACAGCAAAAAAAAGGCTCCAGCACTAAAAAAAAGGTCAAGGTCTGAGCTGAGGTGGCGGTGGGCCCCTTTTTGGAGGATCTAGGCCGCTCCCGCCAGAAAAAGGGGTCCATCACCACGAAATTGAAAGGTATGTGTGGTTGTGATTGTGGTTGTGGTTGTGGTTGTGGTTGTGGTTGTGGTGGTTTTGGTTGTGGTTGTTGTTCTTGTTGTTCTTGTTGTTCTTGTTGTTCTTGTTGTTCTTGTTTATGTTTTGTTATAGTTGTGGTTGTGGTGGTTGTTGTTGTCTTTGTCTTTGTCTTTGTTGTCTTTGTTGTTGTTTGTTCTTGTTGTTGTTGTTGTTTGTTCTTGTTGTTGTTTGTTCTTGTTGTTGTTTGTTCTTGTTGTTGTTTGTTCTTGTTGTTGTTTGTTCTTGTTGTTGTTTGTTCTTGTTGTTGTTCTTGTTGTTGTTTGCTTGCTTGCCTGCCTGCCTGCCTGCCTGCCTGGTTGGTTGGTTGGTTGGTTGGTTGGTTGGTTGGGTGTTGATGTTTGTGGTGGTGGTTGTTGTTGTTGCTGTTCTTGTGGTGTAGTGTGGGGTGTGGTGTGGTACGGTTGAACGTCCAAAAGTGGCCCCAACTTCCAAAAGTGGTCCAAAGCTGAAGTGTTTTGTCCATGTTTATTCCCAAATGTGCTTCGCGCCAACTTCCAAATGTGCACTTTTTGATCTCTCATCTCCCTGGATGGCTCCGCGCCCGCCGCTTTAGCGAGCCTACTTGTCGACCCTCCGGAGCCACAAAACATGACAAACACAGTGCTTCGCCATTTTTCTACCTTTTCGCGCACCTGCATCTTCCTTCTTCTGACTCTTTCTCTTATTTGATCTTCTTTCTTCTTCTCTTCTCTTCTCTTCTCTTCTCTTCTCTTCTCTTCTCTTCTCTTCTCTTCTCTGACTGCTCTTCTCCCTGCTGCTTCATCTGTCCATACTGTCGGAAGTTTGACTTCTAAACTTCCTTCGATAATGAGTTTACACATGTCACATGTAGCTACTTGTATCCCTTCGTATCTGCTTGTATCTACTTGTATTTGCCCGTGCTTGCTTGCGTCTAATTGTATCTATATACTTTTTCTACTTTTATCTAATTGTTCCATTTGTCTGTACTTATCTTCTGTTCATCTATCCGTGTATTGGTTTATGCAACATCACTACATATCTGTGTTTGCCTACATGCACAAAAAAACGTGTGCATGTAGATATACAGTTCACGCTTCTTCGCGTACCAGAAATCCTACAGTCATCCATCCGCCTATCCATCCGCTGTACATGTGTAAACCAGGAGTTCAGCCTGGGGGGACCACTCACACAGAAACTTGTCACGGTCTGCCCTTGCCGACGTGTTTGGACATTTGATTCCCAGCTAGATATTTTATAGCAAGTTGCTCAGCTATACAAGTGAGGCAAGTCTACACGAACGCAAGGGCCACGCTCCAAACATCTCCATATGAAAGCCGAAGGTACTATTGAAGTACTTGGTGCCAGTGGGGCTCTTGGTAAAAATCCGCCACTCAGGGCGTGGTCACGGGCAAAACCGGTTCGCATTTCACCTTGCCTCTGGTGCAGAAGGAGACCCAAACGATAGCAGGCTATGTGCACGACGCTCGGACGGGCCCTGTGCTGATGTTGGTTTCTCATGCTTTCTCTTCATGTAATAGCAATAGATGTTTTTTCAAGCTTTGAAAATGTGATACTGATAAACGATGATGAATTTTAAAAGCGGTGATCCAAGTCAAAGTTCAACATCATTCACATGTTTGGGTCTTGGGGACCATCTCTAATCCCAGAGGTGATGTTGTAAGGTCTCCCACTTCGCCAATTCGGACAAGTTTGACACTTGTTGAAATAGCTGGGGGCACTCGATGTAGTGTCGTGCTTGTCGCTTGGTTTCTCCAATTTGTTCATGCTGCTTTCTAAGGCAACCTATTGTGCCGAAGAACATGGGCTTCGCATCGCACATTTAAAGGCAGCTTGGATTTTCCAACATCACTTTTTGCCTCGTTCGTTGCAGACCTTTTTGTGGGATAACTATAGTGCCCTTTCGCACCGGGTCGGCAGTTTCAAAAAAAATGTTGAAATAGAAGATCATTGGCCTATAAGAATGCTTAGAAGCAATGAGAGATTGAGGTTGTGAGGTGCATCAGCGAATGAGCCAGTGATTGTTGAGGTGCCACTGAAAAAACATGAAATCAACTTAATGGCATGAAAGAATAATGGCTGCCAACGCAATGCATGTAGCAACCTCCAGCTGCAATCCCACATATCACAAGACTGGCGCTATTCTATGTATTCATGAACTATTTTTGTCGCAGTTGTCGCAATGCGTTTAGCAACTTCCAGCTGCAATCCCTCATATAGCAGCAGAGCCACAGCATCCCGAATGCTTTTCTGCGCGCGTTTCGTCACCTCCATTTGCAATCCCGCACAGCACGGGCGCGCCATCGGATCGATACCATTTCGAACCCGAAGCCGTCTGCGCGCACATCCGCTGCTACCCCGTCCACTCAGCCTTTTAGCCTTTTTCCGGGATATCGAGCTTTCAGCACAGTCTCGTGTGTATTTTGCCGACTGTACTTGATGATGTGGTTGGCAGGATGATGTGGTTGACATGGGGGTGTGAAGATTAACCATAACCGTGGCTCGGACTTTTGCTAAATAAATTTCCTTTGACATTTCTTAGTGCCCCAACCAGTTCCTCCTGCCAAGGTTGACGAGGCGCACATCGGCCAAGGCCTGGGAGTGCTTCTTCTGGATGCTGCAGAGCAGCACAGCCACAGATGCTTGGCTGCGGCTGGGGCAGGGTTTCATCCCACTGTAGGGCGTTTTCTTGGCAGGTAAAAAGAAAAGGCAAAAACTAGGTGCCAGGCATCTGAAAGGCCCGCGACTGTCGTCACTTTTTAAACATTTTTTCTGGGGGAATTGAAAAAGGCTCAAAAACGAAACTTTCGTTTCATCTGCAACATCGTCATGAACATTATCATCATCAACAACAAGATCATCATCGGTGGTCGTCGTCGTCGTCATCATCATCATCGTCATCGTCATCATCACCATCATCATCATCATCACCATCATCGTCATCGTCATCATCACCATCATCATCAACAACACCATCATCATTACCATCATTGCCATCATCATCACCATCATCATTTCTTTCATCTTCTCGATCATCCTGGAGATGACAGCAAAATGGGAGCGCATTTTTTAAGCGTGCACGTAGGGTAGCACGACGTATGTGTGGAAGTGCAAGACCCTACAGCCGCGTAGCATGACGTATGTGGAAGTGCAAGAGAACCTACAGCGGCGTGGAATGACGTATGTGTGGAAGTGCAAGAGAACTTCCAGCGGCGTAGCATGACGTATGTGTGGAAGGGCAAGAGAACCTACAGTGGGGTAGCATGACGTATGTGTGGAAGAGCAAGGGAACCTACAGTAGGGTAGCATGACGTATGTGTGGAAGTGCAAGAAAAGATACAGCCGGGTAGAATGACTTATGTGTGGAAGCGCAAGAGAACCTACAGTGGCGTATGACATGACGTGCGCGTGGAAGTGCAAGAGAATTTACAGCGGCTTCGCATGCCGTATGTGTGGAAGCGCAAGAGAACTTACAGCAGCGTCGCATGACGTATGTGTGGAAGTGCAAGAGAACCTACAGCAGCGTAGCATATGAATGAAGTGCAAGAGAGCGCAGAGTACGGTAGCATTGTATGTGTGGACGTGCTAATGGCGTTTTTGTGCCCCCCCCACACCCCGCCCCCCAAGCCCCCCATCCAATGTTATGTTGATAGTATGATGCAAAACATGACAGCAGTCGCGAGCCTTTCAGATGCCTGGCACCAAAAAGTAGTCCATAGTAAGGGTGCCGAAATTAGAAGGCGCAGTAAACCATCAAATGCTGGATGAACATGGTGTATGATTTGAACCATGGAAGTCACGCTGGCTTGGCTGTGTTCTCCTGCCAAGGCTAGCTAGATTTGAAGATGCAAGTCGAAGACATCTAGATTTAGGTATCACCTTTGAGATTTGAGATGTAGCCCCAGCCTCGCAGCTCAGAATGAACCCAGCCCGGGATGCTCTTAGATTTTAGAGCGATGTCACCAATCAGTGGTTTTTGATTGTTTTTGTTGTTTTTTGATTCCCCAATTCAACGATTGAAGGGTTTGGAAATCTCAGGGCCGAATTTCCGTGGAACTGTTGCGTGTCAGTGTGCTGCAGCTAAGATTGTTTATCCCCCCGTAGGTCCATCTGCCACACAGGTGATTGAAATCAAAAAGAGATTTCGTTGCAAGTGGCAAACTATATCCAGATCTACATATTATATAGGGCATATCCCACATGCAACAAAAGACACAATATACCCATCCTATAAGTGGCCCCGCTCCGTTTGTTAGGCATGGATCCTAACTTCAGGGTTCATCCATGTTACAGAAAGAGAGCGCCATTTTCGTTGTTGTCCGAAGGCATCGGCTGGAAGTGCAAGCAGACGTTTCTAAGCGTCTTGAAAGCCAACGTGACTCGACTTGGAGCAACATAGACATAGAGACTTATGTTCACCAATCCTCCGTTATCTCCCTTTGTTTCGCAAGGATTTTTCAGTTTATCCCCTCTGTAGTGGGGATGACTGTGGATGAGCGAAAGTTGCTTTAACTAGACTGCTTGGGACTAGCAGGCGGGGCTGCCCAATCACCAAACAACTGCATGCTCTGTTTCACAATTTTGTGAACATCTCCTGGCACAATCATTGAGAAGATTCTTGTCTTGAGGATGGCCCCCTTTCCTGTTTGGTTTTATATATTCTAATTTTGGGTTTGAACCCGCCCTGTAAATAGCGATCAACCATTGAGTGTTCGTTGACAGAAGCCAAGGCACGGGCGCGCAAGTGCTACGCAAAAGCAGGATTCCGCGTTGCATCTAGCACTGCTGCTGCCGGTTGGGGCGCAAAGAAGCAGCATGCCTGGTCCGAATGGCAAAAGCTTCGAAAGCGCCAGCTTGGTCATGCTGCCCCCACAAGATCGACAAGAAAATCAGCAGCCTTGAGCTGTGTAAGCGGCACATTTCTTCTTTGTTCATTTGTTTCTTGTTGGGGTCAGTCGCTGACAGCAGATGAAAACTGCACACTTCGTCATGCAAGGCGGTTGGATGTTATACACACCTGTACAGATATATACGATGCACAGAGTAGTGGGCGAGGACTTTTGTTGACATGTTTGTTTTTCTTGTCAATGAAGTTTCCTTGTTATTTGCGGGGTTGGCTAGATTTTCTGAATCAGCCATTGGAAACATAGGCACGCGGCAAGTCACCCGCAACATTTTGGAGCTAGAATAGAAGCAATTTCCTTTGTATTTGCAGGATCTCGGCACTAGAATCTGTGATTTGCTCTATAAGTTGCGATATGTTGAAATTAAGACTTAAAACCTTCTAATTCCACAATGTTCTAGCACTCTAGCAATTCCAAGTTTGAACTGCTACGTTTGCAGCACTCTCGGAGAACATTTCCGCTCCTGGTTTTGTCGTTTATATTGGATACATTTTCTTAGCATTTAAATTTGATTGGCTTTCTGTTCGCACGGCGCATGGAACAGTGATTTTGTGACAGTATGCGCAGTCGACATGCACATGGACATGTCACAAGCGTCACTTCATGCGAAAATTTACAGGCAAAAGGCCGCAGACCAAGAGCAAGTCATTTTCGCACCGCATGTTTTGTGCCAGCCTGCGGGGTCGAAATGCACATGGACATCTCACAAGAGCCATTTATGCCGAAATTTACCGGGAAAATGCCGCCCCCCAGAGCGAGCACCTCGATCAAGCTCCGGCCTTAATTAATTCCTACCGTACGAACCCTTCAGTGTGGACACACTGTTTGGGGAAAAAAATGCAAATTACTTTACTTTGAGTGATCCGCGCCATGACATTTTTTGTCATAGCTTCTGACATCTCATCTGGATGTATATATGATATATATATATATATGTATTATATATATATGTGTACTATATATATATAGATAGATATTATACAGGCATGCTATTCTGGCATTCTATTTGACGTTCCATTCTGGCATTCTTTCTGGTATCTATTCTGACATCCTATCTGGCACCCTTTCTGGCATCTATTCCGACAATTTTTCTCTAGCATTCTAATTGGCATTCTTTCTGATATTTTATCTAGCATCTGTTCTGACATTCTTTCTGGCATTTATTCCGACATTACTTTCTGGCATTCTATCCTGACATTCTTTCTGACATGGGCACAGCTGAGGTTCGGCAGTGCCCACTGAGATCTGGAGCTGGAACGAGGAAGGAGGGCGAAGGAAGGAAGAAAGGAAAAAAGAAGGAAGGAAACAACTCTGATAAAATCTAGGCCCTTACCTGGCAGGTCGGCAAAAAAAGTGCTAAGAACACAAAGACCACAAAATCAGCCACAGGCCGGAGATGAAAAACAAGAAAACAGAAAACTTATCTTTCAGAAATATGCGTATATACATGATTGCCCCGATTATTATCTGCAAGTGGGCCCCTTATTTTGACATGATTTGAACCTAACACCTTCTGCGGATTTGAAATGGTTTGCCTCTTCCGCCGGCATTGCCAAGGTTCACAAATATGCCTTGAAGACGCCCGCCGCATAGTGAAATGCCCCTTTGCTCGCTTTGATTGGAAAAATACCTGGAAAAACCAGTGCAATCCAGATGGACTGATAAATATTGGTGATCCAAATTGATCCCGCTATGTAATTTAATTTAATATATTTAATTAAGTAAAATTGTTTTTTGAAATTTATGTTATTTATATATTTTTTTTCCTATTATTTGCTTATATATATTATGTAGTTTATTAATAAATTTCCTATTTTATTTGGGCGGGGGACATTATAGGCGGAAAACGGGATTATATATATTATATATATTTTTTTTAATAATTATAAATTATTTTAATAAATATATATATATAATTATATATAAATATAATTAAAGTACCGGATAATTTCTCATATATATTTTTTTTTTTAGCAAGTAACAAAAGAAAGATGGTATGGGGAGAGCAGGAAAAAGAAAAAAATGGTGAAGGATTGGTGTGGAATAAGTTGTATGTGGAGTAAATTATGTATGGATAAGTTATATTGGATGGATTGATGGATGGATGGATGGATA